GAGTACAATTGATCCCTTTTCGGTTATGTTGATGTTTTTAAAACTTGAATATTTTTGACTCGTCATTAAAATATTCGGCCTGTTTCACTAAAGTGGATTATCCTCGATTTCGGATTATCCACTTCAGTTTTTTGGAAATATCTTAAACTTTATGGGAGGTGTGGTATTTCTAATTTTGGATTTTAATAGAGTGAACTATGTCTGAAATTTCTGTATACTATAAACTTTTACTTGTTGGTAAGAAGTATTAATTATTCAATTTTCTAGCCAAATCTAGTAGATTAACTTCGATTTTTGCTATAATTCTCAAACCAATGAAGATATAAAAATTCTAAGTATATGTTATTTTAAGGAGCAAAGTACTCTTGCTAGATCACACATTAGATCTCTTAATAACCTTAAGCGTCTGGCGATATTTTCAAAAAACTGAAGTGGATAATCCAAAATCGAGGATAATCCACTTTAGTGAAACAGGCCGATTAAGATTGATTTTCGCACTGGTACACAATTTTTTGTACAATAGTTTATATTTATGATTTTTAACAATTTACCCAATTTACTAATAATCACAAGGGAATGCTGCTCGCCTTCTTTTATTGTTATTGTAAGGTAAAAAATTGTACCGACAAAGTTGTAAAATTCATAATTCTTATTATAGGAAGTTTAAATGGTTGCACTTCTTGGAATGATGATTTTCTAGACCTTAAAGCTATGGAAGAAAATTTAAAAGGATATTTTTGTTTGGTAATTGCAAAGAATCATGTTGTGTACCAATATTTAAAATTCTTGGCACATTTATGAATGAAAAGCTCAATTTTCAGTCTAAATGTCCTTCAGAGAAGTCAACTGACTTCACTTTTTTGCAACAATTAAAATCATCATTGAGGAAAAAGAATCAACATCCTGTCCTTGACAATTGAGAACTCACACACAAATAGAAACAACACTTCCAAAAATTTCAACGGATATTTCATCATTTTATTATTTATTTTGTGCTTCTTTAAACAAAACAGAATTGTGATGAGCGCACCCACAAGTAGCGGTGCACTTTTAATTTCCTTTCTTTAAAATGTTTAAAATCCTTGATCCATTTGTGGCGCTTCAAGAGAATGAGAAATTCCAATCAAACAATCACATTCCAATTGTTATTATGCTTAATTCACCGAAAATCCCATTCCTCACATATTCACATGACACATAAATGAATTCACATCGGCATTAAATCTTTATGGAATTATGTAGCATGTTCTCAATTCACAAATTTCAAGTGAATTTTTTCGGCACAAACACTTTTTCTATTTTTTAAGGCATTAAAGGAAGACTGAGAAGAAAAAAAAAGTAAGAAATGCTAAGTTTTGCAAAAGGAATAAAAACCCGTAACGAGAATACTTGGAACTATATAGAAGAACTAGATATTTTTATGATTTTATTGTTGCACACGCATTGTTGAGCCTTTTGGATTTGTGAAGAAACACACATATAGAGAAATAGAGATCAACTCGCTTCTCAAATTACACAATAAAACTTTTTGTTCTGCATGTAATTGTTTTGTTGGAACCAGATCATGCAATTAACAATAAGGATATGACAACAAATTTTTTTCTCATTCATTCATAATTTTTTTGATCTTGAAAAATATTCGCATTCTTCTTTATGGATTTTTTTAAGGAAACTTCCCACTGTATTTTAGAAGAATTTCTAGCGAATTCCTTTTAAGGGTGGTTGTTTCTCATTGATTGGTACATCCCTTACCAAATTCCAATCTGATATTGCATGAAATGTTTCTCTGTTCAGAGTTTTAATTTTTTTTCCTTATTCTTTAAAATTATTGACAGTCTTTGGATTGATAGGCAAAGATTCTCTTCTGCCAATCTAAATGATTTATTTGGAATGTCATAATTAACTCAATATTTTTAAAAGACACATATCTTGATGTATAAAATTAACAATATTTTTATTAGGGCATTTATTGCAGCTGTTCTAGTTGATTTGTGTAATTTTTAATCCTTGTGTAGATATGATATCAATTCATTAAAAGGAAACCGCAGGGTGAATGTGATGACCCGTAGAGATGTGTGTGTTTTAGTCAAACAAGTTTCAGTTATGTAATCTATCATAATAATGTCAATCCTTTATATGTACTTTCTTTACATTTCACGTGATATGATCATATTTACATACTTCCTTTCTTTCTTCCGTCACTTGATTTTCATGTAATTTAAACTTAGAAATCAGCGACAAAAAATTAATTTTCTATTCAAATGATTTTCAAAAGCAGATTAATGTGATTTTGAATGCCTTTTTTGCCAGCCTTAAACTGAATACAGAAGGTAAAAATCTTTTCTTCCCTTATATTGTTGTATTACAAAAAATAATCATTATTTTTTACCTCTATTCATCGTGAGCTCAACCTGAAAAATGTGCAAATGAAATAGGTACGTATTAAGTATAAAAAAATCACGTCAGTTCTGAATAAACTTAAATACAATTTTACTGTACAATGTATTAAACACGTAATAAATAAACAGTAAATTATGCATTTTCACATACATTAAAGAAATAAGGAAGAATTTGGCGCAAAATTAAAGAGAATGAGCACATAATTTTTCTATTGTGAATACATTTGGATTGTCATGAAAAGAATTTCTGCATGACATAACTCGACGTACATAAATACATTACGTTTATGATGAGAAAAATGCAAAAAAAATTATAATCATCAACTCGATTTAATTTTCGACTCCTCGAAAGGGGTCGTTCACTTATAACGTCCATCAAAAAACCTGATTATTAGACCCCCCTCCCCCCGTCTGTCACAATAATTCTTTAGAAAAAAATTTCCATTGTTTGAACTGTAACAAAATCCTAGACCACACCCCCCCCCCCCCCCCCCCCCCCTCCCCCCTAAATGTCGGACGTCATAAGTGATATAAAACATCAATAATCTTATTAAATTTATCACCGATTCCAATAAATCATTATTATTACTAAGCTATATAGATTGAATCCCATTCCAATACACCTTCTCTTAACCTGTTAACATCAATTTCCTATCAGTTTCATATATCCTTTCTCCAAATGTCTTTAAAATCTGCCCTCAATAATAAAAATAATAAAAGGCTTTTCTCAATAGAAACAGGTAAGATTTTTTTTTCAGTAACACGTTGATCATTGTATTCTTGTAGGCGAGGTATTGTATGCCGATTTTCATTGTTTTGTCTGGCTTGTGCCAAAATGGGAATCAAATTGGATGATGCACACCTGATTTTTGTTTTTTTTATTCTTTCTTTCTTATTTTCATCTCTTTATTCTATGGTTGATGGTTTGTCTGGGTTTGACTTTTGGCGCAAAGTTCCTTTTACAGTAACATAGTTATGAAAAGCAAAAGGATGTAAAAGTGTTTCGTTCAACTACACACTTGAGCAATTTTCAGTAACGTTGAATTGCTTCGGTGATCACAAAAGGACATTAACTTATAGTTAATAATTTCACTATTCAACCTGTCGCATTTCCATAATTACAAGTGCGCGCGTTCGTTACTTTTACATTTAAATAACCGCCAAAGTTTTAGATATTAGCAGCTTTCTTTAGAGACTGAATCTAGACTCTGCAGATGAAATCTTTACATTGTTAAGATTTCAACCCTCTAAAGAAAATAAACAAATATTTCCCCTCTTACTTTCTTGAAAGGTTGGACTAGTTTTCATTGATATCATATTGAGAGAATATCATCAAAAGCAGAAAGCAAAAGTGAGTAATGAACATATGATTTTACGTTCATCAAATTTATGTATTCCAAAAATAAAATTATATATAAACGTAAGCAAAAATGAAAAAAAAAAAAAATATAGGGAACATGACCAGGTGTAGCTGTTTAAAATTTTTTCCTTCTCGTCATACATGCTCTATATATAGTTACACTAAAAAAAAAACCCCCAATTGCAGCAAGGGCATCGAACCAAAAAGTTGAACTCGTTTTAAAAATAAATATATGTAGCTCAAAATGCAAGGACTTATTGGAATATATAAATTTTAAGGGGTTGTTGAAATAATTCGAGATAAATTTGAACTGAAGTAAGCAACATATGGTTCCAATGCCGCGCAATATTAATGAATTTTAAGGAAGTTAAAATTATCATATTGATGTCAATGTCTGTTCCATTCACCCAAACAACTTAACGCATTAAAACAATGAAATTTAATTACTATAGAAAGATAATGTATTTTACTGACATATGTAATAAGAGCAGAGCACGAGCCAAATAATTATTGGACCACAATAATTCAATGCTGTACAGCAGACAAGAATGTATCTTCAAGTTTTAGACATGACAAATTTTTTTTTCTCTAAACACATTCTTTTTTCAACAAGACCTTAATGTTCTTTTATCATTAAAATTTATTGACTATTATATATTTTTATAAATGCAGGCTACTGGTAAATTTATGCAGATCAGTATTGAAAATTCCATTGAATAAGAATGATATGAATAAAATTAGAAAAAGTAATTTTCTAAGACATAGAGGGACGAAAATGTGGAAGTAACTTAAAATAAACGTATGTCTAGTGTTCCTTACAAAAGTCGATGAACTTATAATCAAGATGATTGCACGCAAGGAGCTATCATAACAGATGTCTTTACTACCGTTCTTTTTCTAAGAAAAAATTTGTGTCTTTCTAAATGACTTTTCAAAAATTTCTATTGCTTTACTTTTGTCTTCCACCCTCTTTAAAAATTCTTGGTTCCAAAAGAAATTTCTTCCTTCGCCTCACATCCAAATATAATTATACATATATTATTAGTTACAGCACGAGTCAAGGACTTTTCTGAATTCATTTCAATTCTTAATGCCTCTTTTGAAAGAATCGACGTATTGAGCATGAAATTATGCAACAATATACAACATGATAAACATAAGAGTCATTAAAACTCATTCAATTGATAAGAAAACGTGTAACGTATTAAAGTTCATAATAGCATGGATGCATACCTTTTCTTATGTTTATGAACCATTTTATAATCAATTTTTTTAATTAATTACGTCTTAGACAGTATTTTGAGACATTATCTGTGACTGATAAAGAACATTTGCGTGTCTGATTCTTATCTATCTTTGACACAAAATTGTCTCAGCCTTTTCTCAACTCTCGCGAATGTAAAATTTATTATGTGAGAATGAAAAATAAAGTATTTAAAAGCACTAGACGAGTCCTCAGTCATTATCAGTCTGAATTTTTGTTCTGAAAAGATTAAAAGTAAATTTTGCAAAGATGCTGTTTATAATAATAACATTTACGTTATTAGCTATTGTCTGTGCATTAACCCTTGCATATATTAATGGAAAATACAAATTTTTCAAGACTCGCAGGATCGTCGGTCCGAAACCAGAATTATTTTTTGGAAATATGCGAGAAGCTTTTTTCAAACGTCGTCATTTTTCCAGTATCATTGATGATTTTTATCAAATGTACAAGGACAGTGAACAAATTATTGGATTTTACAATATCACTACTCCATATTATCTTCTGACCTCACCAGAAGTGATAAAGCAAGTTTTGGTCAAGGATTTTAAGCATTTTCGCAACAATGAGTTCAGTGGCTTAGTAAGTAAAGTGCAATTAACGCTTAATAGTTTTTCAATTGATTTCTGGATGTTTGATATGCAAGCATCGTTTCAATGAATACTAAGCAGTAAGACGAGTGAACCAAGAAGGCTTGTCAATCTATTGTGTCATACGCTAAAGTATTTTGCATAATTCATAATCAGTTTCAACTCACATTCTTATCAACAAGACAGTCTGTAACCTTTGATTCAAATTTTATAGACAATTTGGTTCTATTAATAATTTAATTTATAATATGCTGCGTGATTCCTTCCTATATATAGAAAAAAATGTAAACAGATGCATATTTGTTATTTTTTTAAATTTCAGTCAGATAAGAAGAAAGATCCCGTTATGGCGCTAAATCCTTTTGTGATGCGTGATGAAGAATGGAAGGAAAAGAGGACTGAAGTTGCAACAGGAATGACACAAAATAGGTTAAAATCAATGTTCCCATTAGTTCAAGATGTAGGCAAACGATTTGCTGAATATTTAAAAGTAGAACTAAAACACAATCCGTCAAAAAGTTTTGATTCGCGTGAGATTTGTGTCCGATATACTTGTGACACAGTTTCAAGTTGTATTTTTGGAATTGACGGTGGTTCATTCACAAAAAAGGAATCTGAAATTATCAACATGGGAAATAAAATGATAAGAAGTATTTCAGACGCGGCAAAAAGTTTTCTGCCAAAACGACTTATGCCACAAGATGTACAAGATTTCTTCATTTATCTTATGGAAGAAGCTATAAAATATCGTGATAGTCACAGTATCAATCGCGATGACTTTTTAGCACATATCATCTCATTGAAAAAGAAGAAGGAAATGTCTAATATTGAAATGGTCGCACATGGCGTAACATTCTTTTTAGGTAAGTTTGAGAAATTATTTTGGCTTACCTGTAACCCTTATATTTGGACGTGGTTGCATACGTAAAGGAGATGTCTATTCCAATTCATTCCTTCGCCTATGCAGTATGCAAAATTTTAGTATTAAATTCTCAAAATTTTTCAGATGGATTTGATACATCATCTATTGGACTTGCACCGATATTCTACGAGGTAATTGAAGACTTAAATAGATCATTCTGATATCCTTATTGTACCTTTTTTGATTTCATAGCTGGGCAAAAACCAGAGAGTACAAAATAAACTTCGAGAAGAGCTATTAGCTACATTCCCAAATGAAGACGATATTACATACGATAAGTTGCTAGATCATCAATATCTCGACAATGTTATTTATGAGTCACTAAGGATCAATCCTCCCATTACTTTCGTAAGTTGTATAAATGATTTTACGATCATTACGTTCATCATCATTTTACATGATTAATATAAATTACAGGCAAATCGAGAATGTTCTGAAAATATTACACTGGAATTAAACAACAAAAATATAACAATTGGGAAGGGAGAGAAGATCATTATTCCATTAGTTTCCATTCAACAAGATCCAGAATACTTTCACAATCCAAAAGAATTTATTCCTGAAAGATTTGATCATGGCATTAAAGAATATAGAGATAAAGGACTTCTGTTTCCATTTGGTGAAGGTGTGACTGTAAATTTAAAATAATTTATCATCAAAAAAGTAATTTTTAAAATTCTAGGTCCGAGAGAGTGTCTTGGAAAGAGATTTGCTCTATTACAAGTCAAGATTGCTATTTACTCCATTATTCGAAACTTTGAAATTTCAGTGAATGAGGAGCTTACAGCAAAGAATTTAGAAATTGATCCCGAGGAGCTGTTAATGAATGTTAAGAAAGGTGGCATGTGGCTTAATTTTAAGAACATCCCATGTTAAGATTAATTGATGAATATATTTATTTGTCATTATGGATAGTTAAAATTGTGAATAAATTGTGATATTGAGAAAAAAAATAAAAAAGCTATTTTTTTATGACATGTTTCGTCAAATTATCTGTTGGCAATGCTGCAGTCAAGATACGGTCTAACAAAATTAAAATAAGTCGTTTATTAAGCGTTTGATGCTGTAGCATCTCATAAAAGTTTAATAAACCAAGCTTAGTAGTCTCAGAACCTAATATATGCTTTAAGTCATCTGCAAAAATAAGAAGGGATTAAAGTTTTGCCTTTAAATTATAGAATTTTAATTTCTTTACCGGTGAAGAAAGCGAAAATTGCTATTTTAGCTGCCATTCTAGTTCTTAGCTTGATAACATCCTCACGTGGTATTGATTCTTGAAAGACTCCATTTGGCCATGTGTTATTCAAAACTCCACATAGAACATTGTGTATTACGCTTGGATCAAGAATATTTTTCTGCACAATTTCCTTAATTTTCCTATTAGTCGATTGACTGACAAAAGGAGCCAAGATAATTCTTTGAATTCCACGTTTTAACCATTGAGATCGTGCATCGAGGTCAAATATAGAATCAAGAAAATTCACGAATGATGCTAATGTCGGAAAGTCAGCAGTATTGGTATCCATCATATCACTAATTTCAAACTTTTCAGAATTTTTCGCAACAAATATTTTTGAAAGACCTCCAATAACATTATCTGGAACACTTTTAATTGTCTTCATTCCAGACTTGATTGGATTTACAAAATGCTTTACAACTTTTGTTCCATGAATCTGTCGATCGTCGTTGTCAGGTTCCAAAAACTCAAAAACAATTGCTAGAACTAAAGTATCAGTTTCAGCTCGATTACAGACAATACTAAGGAATTCGTTTAAAATAACCATTCGACGTTCTAAAAGATCACGACTGGTGTTGTGAAAAGTTTGCTTTTTCGGAAATGGAAGTGAAATATTTTTAAAATATTGAAATTGACGAACAAGAAGATTTTTAAGCTCTAGGAATTTCTTGTATCTTCTGTAGACATGCCAACTTTTTTGCTGCTTTAGTCCATCTTTGGTTGTTTCGTTCGTTACAACATTGATTGCGTACACAGCAAATTTTCCATCGCTATTAATTGCAGTATTAATGATTTTTGCTGCCAATTTTCTTTCATTTAATTCGTTGCTGTTTTGAATTTTTTGTCTATCCAAAAGAACGCCTGTATCACTATGCGATCGTTGATGACGATGAACAGTGATTCCTAATGAATTTCCTTCATTGAAATCATCTTCCAATAAATCTAATTCATCAATTAAGTAATCTCCCGAGTTACTGTCACTGCCAGATTCTGCTTGATTTGAATTAAATTTAATATCTGGGATGTCTGATTCATTATCTTCCAGCTCAGCAAGTAGTTTTTTGTATGCTGGTGATTCGTAAAAATTTTGAAGGAAAACGTGCTCATTTTTTAACTTTTCGTAGAGAAACTTTAAGATTGAATCAAACCATGATGGATCAGGATTCAAGTAAGTGTCTTTAATTTTGATATGCAAAACTTCAATTAATCCCTGATCAATTTGTAAAAAGTTTGATGATGATTTCACCAGAAATTCTTTAAAAAGCTCAAAAGCTCTGTCGCGTAAATCTTTTGAAAATTTTTCTTCTAGAGTTCCATCATTTGAGGACTGACTAATCTTCTCAACTACTATTTGCTTCCAATCTTGAGCCAAGCAATAGAATATTACATATTTTTGAAGATTCATAACTTGGAGATAATCTAAATAATAGCTAAGTGCAATGTCTTTTGATAAAATTTCATCAAGTGTTAAGCGAGTGAGCTTTAATGAAGATCTATCAATTGAAGTTCTATCCTTATTATTTTGAAGGCTTGTTATTCGTAAATCAATAATCTTTTGTGTGAAAGAGAGTGATGAAATCTCACCAACACAGTTCTTATCTTTATATTTCAAATCCATTTCACGAGTAATTAAATGTCGTACGGAAAGCAGTTCAGATAAATCATTTGATTGCCTGATTGTTTTGATTAACCAATCGGATGGAGGTGTATTGTTCATGAATATTTTAGCAATTTGTAGATTTATAAAGTCAGGATCAGCAATATTGCTAGAGATTAATTTTGACAATAAGCTACCAATAATTGAACTAACTGCTGTTCTGAGAGAATCACAATGAAAACTATTTGGATCAAATGAATAATACATACACGTTTCCATAATAGACACAAAATGTTTTTCTAGCGCCTTATCATCATTAACTTCTTTCTTGTATACATCTCCAGTTATGTCAAAAAAGGTTTCAATCAATTGTTTCTTAGGATCTAAAAGGCTTTCATCATTTTGCATATAATAGAATGTAGAGTTTGCAACTTTTCGTTGAGCATTAGCTGATGTAGTATTCCACATTACATCCGATTCTGATTTATTTCTTCTATGAAGCGAGGGATTTAATTTATTTAAATTTTTTGGTCCTTTTTGAGATTCTTTCATCATTTTCATAGCATCTTGATATGCTTTTGAATGTGCTGCAATGTCATCTAGCATTGTGGTAGTAATAGTTGTCATTAACGGTGCTTGTTTCACTCGTTTAATCAAATTAATTAAGCAATCTTCAGTCAGCAAGCGAATTTCATTTGAAAACTCCTTATTTTCAGAAATAACGTTATACCAGCTGTCGATAAAATCTCTAAAAACCAAGTCTAATATTCTATGAAGTACATCATCTATTTCAGATTTTCCACTAAGTGGCCTTAAATAATTTACATTTTGGGAATCATTTTTTCTCGGGTTTAATGTCTCAGAAGGACTTGTACCTGAAATAAAGAATCAATTTAGGTACTTCTACAATAATTGTCTCACTAATATCATAGACAAATTACATTCAGGAGTGCTAATTAAAGTATACTTGCACAAATGTTCTGGATTAGAGTGTGAGGAATGGATATGGAGGATAGATGGCAAATGCAGGTGCTCAATTAAATGATCAAATTTACTTTTTAATTGGTGATTATTAATAATTTTTTTCTGTGTACTTTGTCTCTTTATCTCAGTACGTTTTAAGCTAGCAGGTTTCTTTTTATTAGAAACTATATGATTAATATTGAAATTGTGAATCGATATAAAGGAAATTAGGTCAAGAAATGTGAGATAATGTTATCTTAAATAATGTATCAAATTAAGAACTCACATTTCAATCCTAAAATTCGCTTGCTATCAGATAAAGGATTTGTATATAGTAACTCTTGGATTGTCTTCTTTGTTGTCGTACTTAAAACGCATATGATTAAACTCAACAGGAATATCAATAAAGTTAAAGCAATTAGCAATAAACATTGAAATCCCAAGATTTTTAATGAAAAACAAAAGAATGTCACTAATAGAGGAACTTTCACATTCATTATTAATGATAATTGTTTTTAACTAGCTGTTAACATAACTATGGACTAATTTATCTATATAGAAACTGCCTTAAAAATTGTTTTTTTTTTGACAAATTGGAATCTTTTATTTGTAAACAAAAAAAAACCAGTAAAATCACAAATGAGTAAACTTTTTGAAAAGGCGCTTTTTCAGAACAAGGCTTGAAAAATTTAAAATATTCACCCAACTTGAAAATTTGGTATGAATATGATTAATATTGAATTTTAAGTGATTCGATATTATAGATGAAAATGGTAATATATAAAAATTGCTTATAAGCAGTTGATTAGTATCAAACCCCTCTGAATATACGATAATCTCTCAATATTTGTTACTTCACTTTGTCTGTAAGTTTAAGTAATTAAAAATCATGTGCTGTCCATTTTTACCGTTTATTTTATTCAAATATAATGAATTCTTCTATACTATAATTTTTAAAGATAGTTTAAATTGTTAAAGTCTTTAACTACAGAGCAAATTGCTTTTGCCTTTTGCTTTCATCTCCGTTCTGTATATATTCTTCGTCTGAGCTTCTTTTTCTTGATACCTTTAAATTGGTTTAAATTAATTACTTGCATTGATAAAATAAAAATAAATAAAGTAAAAATCTTACATTGAACAAGAAGTTTGAATGGAAATTATTTTCCAAGAATTCATTTGGTAGATAAATTTTGTCATTTCTAAATTCACTTGATTGTACTTCATAGTATTTCTCCGGCAATTCTACTTCCTCAAAAGTACAATCTTGATTTTTATTAATAGGTGACGAATACTTCATAATCTTATTTGCAATTTCTGTTATGGTCCACATTTTCTAGAATCAAGAATAAGATTAAAATAGTAAAATGGTATGGACCGGCATTAAAATACTTACAACATTTATCATTTCGTTTTCTGGTTCTATTTTGCTCTTACTGAGTTTGATTTTTCCTATCAGATATTTAATGCAGCTTATATTATTCGTTGATTCTAAACTATCTATCAGTGGGTCGATTATGAATTTCAGGCATTTTTCAATTTTCCTTAATTCTATTAAGTCATTTGGATCATTTAATATTGAAGAATGTGTAAGAAGTGCTATAGCTTGCAACGGTAGGTAAATAAGATTTATTTTCAAGTCGTTATCTAGATTTTTTGTTTAGAATATCAAAAAAGATTTATGTTATATTTGAATTTCAATGAATTATATTTAAAGCTTACCTTTATCATTGACTTTTAAAATTTTCGTCTTCATGTTAAGAATGTTGTTGAAATTTTTCCGCATTAAATCTAGTAAATGAATATCTTTCTCGATCCCACCAAAGACATAAAGGCTCAAAAATTCTAATGGTAATGAATTTTCAGACGATGATCTACTTAAACCTTTATGAAGTCTCTTCAAGAAATTGTCTCTTAGTTGTGTTGAATCATCTAGCATAACTTTTGACATGTTAAGGAATTGTTGCGGAAGAATTCCTTGTTGCAAAACTTTATGTTCACAAATCTTCAATACTGATTTTGCCGCGATCAATTTAATCCATGAACACTCACATTTGTTAACTTTACTCTTTTCCTGAATATTTCCATTTGTTATAATTAAAGCATCGTAAATCTTGAAAGTTTTTTGTGCTGACATCAAATCGCACTTTAGTCCGTATAACCAATTTACAGTTGATTTACAGGCAGCAATTATACATCGTATATTTTCAGGTAATAAATCTTTTTCAATCCATTGATGATTTTGTGAGGAATCATTTTCTTCAAGGACTGAATTTAAAAGAAGTCCACGAACAATATTACGACCAATAACTTTCGTGATTTCTTTTTGAAAATATTCGCCATAATGTTCACAAATTACACTCATTGCAATAATTGCTGTTCTACAGTGTGGATTTGATATGTTTATAGATGTTTCTAATGAATTAACAATATTCTTAACTGCTTCAAAATTAGCTGAATCGTGTTTCTCTTGGGCGTTGACACACATGAATTTAACTGCTTGCTTACATTGTTTTGGATTGCCTTGAACAGCTATTTTTTTACACATGTCCATGAGCTCATTAGAAAGATGTGGAAATGTATCATTCAGTGATTTATATGCACTTAAGTTTGTGAATGCCTTAAAAATATTTTCCTTATAGTCCATTTCCATCTTATCATTTTTTAATAAAGTTAACATTTCATTTAAAACTTTTTCGTTATAAAAATGAGGTGCAAATACTTGACTTAATATAGTTAATGGAAATATTTCCTTTCCATTGGACTTTTCTTCAACAATTTTAATGAATTCCTCTATTGATTCTTTATCAACAGTAACAGAAGCAATACGATTCAGTAAATTCTTTATTGTGTTAAAGTAGAAATTTGACGGAGATGCATTACCTGTTTTCTTTAACAATTGTTGCATTTTTTGTGTGCACTTGGAGCAAGAAATATCCTTGTTCAAAACTGCCTCAACTAGCTGCATGACTTCATTATCTTTTAACATGTGTCCAGAGAATTTTAATAGTAACTCTTTAGATTTATTTTGTTCAGGTAGATTTGAGGCAATCGTGTACGCGCGAGTTGTTATTTCTATTTTATTTGGTTCATCTTTCTTGTGACATTTTATCCACTCAAAAACAGCCTTTCTCAATTTGGTTTGCTGACGTTGAAGTTCAACGAATGCCTTAACAGCATGCTCATCGATATCGCAAAGTAAATAGTATAAAACTTTCATTCTACTCTTTGTGTCTAGATTGTAAGGAATCAAACATGTTATTAATAGTCTTTCAATCAGCATTTTATCTTCAATCGTCTTCATGTAATAGCCATGTAAGATTTTGTTTTTAATCATGGTAATTGTAGCTTTTTCTCTCTCAGTTTCTTCAGTACTTTCACAGTTCTGACTTAAAAGTTCAGTCGTGTGAGATTTATATATGATTGAGAAACCTTGTAACGCTTCTTTGCGTATTAGAAACTTTGTATCCATCACGCGCTCCTTTAAAATTTCTATTAAATCTGTTTCAACAATAAACTTCCAATTTTTTCTCGCCAAATCAACGACTGTTGAAACAACTTCAAATCTTACGTTTTCATCAGAGTCTCGTTTACGAGCACATAACTGCTGAATGATTTCAGTATTGAACTTATTTTCGTTATTTAAAAACATTTTTGATGCTTGAACACATTTACGACGAATAGGCGGTGCTATATCTGCAAAACGTTGTTTGAACTGTTGCCATAACATCGGAAATTCACTTGCAAAGTCTTCAGACATAATTTTAATAAGCATTTCTAGTGCTTTCATTCGTTTGTTTTCCTCTTTCGACTGCAACTTACCTTCCAAAGTTGGCAATGCTAATTTGACGGAATTCGGAGCGATTGTATAAAGCTCATACATGACTTCAAATATTTTGTTTATTGTTGACGTAGACTCATATGCTCTATCATAAGTTTGAACTAATTCTGTGCATAAGAAGTTCTTCACATAAAGTGATAATGAATCACTCGTTTTTGTTATCAGTTGTTTACATAATTCATATGCATTTGGGTTTTGGCTCTTTTCCGGTTCAATTATATGCTTCAAAATAACATCCAGTAATTCATTTGAAACAGTATCAGCTTCAGCAATGAGAGGACTCATGATGTCAAGCATATAACTTTTAACTTTTGGATTTGGTTCATTGATGCTGCAAATTTTAAATGTGAGCTTGAAAAGGGCAATAAAGACTTCCTGATTATCTTCCAGCTCGAAACAAAGTGTAAAACTTTTCGTGTAAGCAAGAATTTCCATCAGATAAAAATAACGGCTGAATGATTTATGTCGTGGATTTGATATCCCTTCCAATTGCCTTACCAAAAACATAAATATTGTCTAAAACATAACAAATTAAGGAATATGAGGATCAAAAAGAATAATTTTGAAGTTTACCTTTATTTGATCTTGATCCTTGTATGGAGCTTCAGGTGCATGTATTCTTAATATGTCTGCAATACAGCAGGCAACAAGTAATTGAACATCTTTACTTGGATGGCTGATAAAATATTCTTCAGATAATTGAAAAGCCAACGGAATGAATTCTTGTGTTTCTTCTTCCTGAAGTGTTGTTTGAAGTTTTTCTGATATTACCTACAGCAACAGCAAAAAAAAAAGCATTTATAACACGATAATAATAGCATAAAAATTGTCATTAACTCACTTTAAGATTTCTAATGAGCTCGTCTTCGCCCGTGTTTTCATTTAACTCATATTTTTGATGTTTTGATTCCATTTTTAATATATTTTCATTAATGTTTAAAAGTTACAATGACAAACATGAACAGCCGTTTAATTATATTATCGTAATCATATTAATTAGCGTAAAAAGAGGAAAAAAGAAATTCGTAAGCTAAATAAAACTTTATGTAAAGGCATCTTAATGTACATTTCAGATGTAAAACAAATTCTCTGAATTTTTAAAAATTTGAATTAATTTCTACCGTTAAATTACCGGTGTATAGCTAAAGGCTATAGCTAAAATGCCTTTTCACATTACTCCAGATCAAACTTCAATAATGCTTAGTATTGGGTTTAAGAATTACTGATTAAAAGTACGTGCTTGGTGTAGTAATATGCCCTTTGAACTTAAATATGACTTTAGTACTATATTTAGGCAAATCCAGAAAGCTTACATCCAAAATTTCAGCTTCATTTACTCACGTTTTAAATTACGAATGATTTTGCAGAGACCTAATTCATAAAATTTAGAAATTACAGCATCTAATCAGTTTAATTGCTTCTAAGGGTATATTGATATTTTATTTTGCTATTTAATTTGCCTTATTTCTAGTCAAATACAGATCGCTACGTCTAAAATGTGTTTAAGTTCCTCGATCAAAAACACGAAAACTTTTGTAATTTTTTTGTTGATTTTGTTCAATTATTATCCTAGTTTTTTTACGGTTTCAACAATTCATCATCATAAAAGATGGCATGAAATAAATTATGTGATGAGTTTAAGAGTAGTCCTTGAGAGAGACTGTTATTTAGCACATTTTGTTACACTGAGACACTTGGGGGGTGTTAAAATTTAAGTTGAGGGTTCAAAAATAAATTCTATAAAAGTGTCCTTAATATCAAGTTTATTAAGTTAAATTAGTCTCATAAAAATCTCACTGATTGATTTTTTATGCACACATGCTATACAATTTGACTATCCTACAACCTCCACATGCATATGTAGATGACATTTCGGGAAAAGATTAAAATACACGAATGATTCATACCAATATGCATATACAATGTGACACTTGCTTATTACATGATTTTATGATGATTAAAGTGAATTAAGAAAATTACTATTTTATCGCTCAATGACTACAAAAAGACTTTGAGTAGTTTATTGAATGAAAATATGTTGTAAAGATAACAATGTACATAAGCGACTCAGTCAGATCATTCAAATAGGAAGAAGAAAAAAAATATTAAATCAACGGAAATTACTCGGAGCAATGCAATTTTCATTTCGTTTATTCTTCTCATTTCATGAATATAAAGTTTAAAGAAAAGATTTTTATTTACTTATAATACAACAACAACATTAATGTAAGCATAAATCTATAAAGTGATGGATTGTAACTGCTTACATTTATGCAAATTTCCCTCATTATTACATAGCTCTATGACGTCACCTTAGAAATAAAAAAAATGTTCTTTTAATTCGCTATGCTTCGGATATAAAAACGTTCTTGCATATTTGTTCAAAAGAAAAGTTCACGTACACATAAATAAAGAAATATAATGGTCTAACCATGCTAATGCGTGAAATCATAAGTGAAATGAGAATGGTAATAAAAAATAAGATTGATAAATCGTTTTATCCAAATTCCTTATTCACTCTGCAAATGCGCAACAGTTAGCGAACGAGAGAGATTTGAATGCGAGGAAGCAAAGCGATGGTATAAAACAACATGGAACAGTATGAACGTTGGCTATTTTAGTTTGAATCGTGATTAGAGTTGGATCGAAAAGGATTAGATCATTGTGATAGAAATATTTGAATCCTGTTGCTCAGGATATTTTAATTGTTTGATGACATATTATCATTTTGGTGTAAATTTTGTTCACAAAAAATAGTTGATTAAAAGTTTTTAATAAGTTTTCAAAATAATTGATGACTTGGAAAATTTAAAATAATTTCATTGGTGAGTATACTTACAAATTTGGAATCTGACAATCTCTTAAATGTGCTTCATATGTGCCAACTGCAATGGAAGAGTAAATTGCATACAATAAAATTAAATATTAATAGTAACTTAAATTAATTTCAAAAGAGATCATTAGCAAGATATATTTCGACTTGACTGGTTTATATTTGAACAAGTTGATCTCGATAAAAATTAGAATTGTAGCTTAATTAAACTCAAAATGTGTTCAGAAATTGTTATAAGAAAAGCATATAAAGAAGCAGAAAGAAAGTGTTATAAGATAAGCATATAAAGTTGAATCCCACACTATCAGCGCTTTGTACAACTTTAAATTCTACACGAAATGTCATTTGACCTCAAATTTCGTATTTCAATTTCTTTCAGAAAAGAAAATTGAATTTTCCTGAATTTTTTCACCTGTGAACTCACACATAAAATTCAATTCTCGAGTCCAAACATAGATCGTATTTTTTTACGAAACATTCTTGAGAATAAAAAAGTTTCCACAAAGCATTCCTACATCGAAATGAATTCTCTTTGAGAATTAAATTTCTACAAGTTGGAATATGGTATGACATGTTATGTCATACAAGTGTTATGTCATAGAGAGGAAAACTCTGTAATTCTAGACATTTGCACTTAACATCTTCAATGTGCGACTTACTGAATAATTTTTAATAGCAAGGAAGGAATAGAAATCTTAAATTCCAATGAGTATGATTTTATTAAAATTTTAAATAGCTGCTTGTTTGCATAATGAACTTTTCTAAAAAGATCAATAATTTTCTGTTATCTTCCGGATATTGAGGAAGCAATTTATTAATCAAGAAAATATTCTTTAGTACATTTCTTATTATGTAAAACACCCCCACACACCCAAAAGTTATGTCCATATTCACATATTTTATCATCTATCATGACAATGATTTATATGTTGGTTTTCCTTTTTTGATTGTAATTCAAAAACAAATCAATTGGTTCTAATTAAAGCATTAATAGAAAACAGCTCATTTATTCAATAACAAAAATAACTCGCATAGAACAGGTGTTATTTTGCTGATATGAATTACGATTTAGAAACTTTCAACTTTAACCTTTTTTTATTTAACTTCAAATCTCCAATTCTTAATGTCCAACAAAAAATATATATATCTAGATATAACGAATCACTTCCCCATGATAAACGCATGGGTTAATATATTGAATTAAGGGAACTTAACAAGTCATATTTATTTTTTGGATCATCGGACTTATTTTATGCTTAATATGACAAAGCAATTAGTTTATTCAATGACGTCAAGAACTCTAATTTATCCTCATGCCAAAAAAAAAGATAAATTCATCAATGAGGATAAAACAACATTCAAATGGAATACAATATTTGTTTATATCTGCCATGTGACTGCTTTTATAGTTGTAATAAAATATTTATTAGTTTATTTACCTATCGTTACCCAAATATATATTGATCAATACTCTTAGCATTTATTTGAATCAAATATAATATTATAAATGTGATAATCGTCTTATCATCTATTTTCTTATATATTTCAATTATATCCCTGTTTCTATATGACTACGGCACACATGCTTAATTCGGCAGATTATTAAGGCCATCATTCATAATAAATTTAATAACAAAATTACGAAGCTTTATCATATCCAATTAAAAATTTATTAGCAATTTTCATAATCTAATTATGACAAAAAAATGGACAAGATAATTAGGCGAAAAATCTTGTAAAAATTTTAGCATGCATAATTGTCCAATGCGCATCGTCATAAAATCATTTGAAATAATATTATATGGAAAGGTCATATTTAAAGTTACTCTTTTGCATATTTAAATTGGCAGATAACGCGTGATAATTTCTAGTGATAAAAATGATTTAAATATCACATCAAGATACAATGAACACATTTATTAGATTCAAAATATTAACACGTATATCTCGTGCTTTATCAAAAGAATGTACTTAAAAGAATTTCTCATTATATTTATCAGAGATTGAAGCAAGCCATAGCTGAATAAGAAAAAAAGAGACATGTTTACGAACATTATTTTGTTATCACTTTTTACAATCATATATGGTATAAATGGAGAAAGTGGTAACCAAAATTTAAGAGAACAACAGAATGCATATAATCTTTTAGATGTGCCAACACAGCATGAAGGTGAGTGCGATTGTTCCGGCAGTAATTTTACAACATTATTGTATTTTTAATAACCTAATCCCATTGAAGTTTGTTCATTCCTTATATATATATAATATAAACTTGATGGTTCTCAGTAGTAGTTTTAAAGTTTCTGTACTTGCAATGAAAAAATTATAAAGCAGTAATATCTTTGTAGAACTTTCATTCTTTACTTTAAATTTCAGATTTAAGATTTTTTAAAACTCCCCGAGCCATCAGAACACCTTTTAGAAATACTGAAATTATGACAGCTCGAGGATTCGGGAAACGAAATGATGAAAACACACAATCGAATTATGGAAGGGAAAATGAAATAGAAAGTAAGAAGAAAATTAAAAACAATAAAAGCGAGGAGAATCCGATGACTTTTTTTTCTTATTCCACAGAACAAGACATGATTAATGACTACGGAATGGCTGATGAAAAGGTTCAGCGTTCTTTTCTCTATCCATATTTCCAAGATTTATTAAAGCTCCCAAAATTTTCGGATTCAAGTGTTTCATCTGCTCCTATTAAGAATCATCGATTGCAGTTAAGAGACGGTACCTTGAAGTTTCGATTGAATGACGGAAATCTAAGAATAGGCCGAGGATTTGGAAAGCGTAGCTTTTTTGTTGACTCACTTGCAGATGATAGAAACAGGTTAGTACCCGTAATCTGTTCAAACGAAATTATTTGATTGATTTTAATTGAATTTCTTTTTATTTATTTCAGCTATAATACTGCAGGACTATTGAAGGAAATATCGCAACTTAACTATAAAGAGAACAAGGAAGAGACATAAAATGATTAAAATTTAAAATTTATTTAATTTATTGGGATAAAAATATGAATGCATTTGAATAATCATACTTATTTCATTGAAATTTGTGGCTGGAGATTATTTAATGCAGTCATTTTTTTAAACAAAAAAAATGCATAGAAAAGCATATTAAAATGTTATTAAAGCAAAACAATTTAAAAATAAAAAACAGAAAGAGAAAACTGAAAACCAAACTTTTGTTTGTACTGTAAACATAATTTTTGTTGGTTTTGCGGAAGCGTTTACATGCAGCCACGAAAAATATTTAACTTATCTAGCAATTTTTCTTCTTTCCATAAATGAATGCATGTTTGAGACTCAAAAAAAATGTCATTTGATAGCTTAAGCTCAGTGAGTCAAGTTGATAAAAGAACATAAAAAATATGAAGCTTTTTATCTTACTGACTTTAATTTCTTTGATTAGTGCTGATGTTTCAGTGACTATAAATTTCAAGAAAAGTATTAATAAAATTTCAGAAAAGTACATAAGCCACAAAATCGATTTTTACGAGTTAATTCAATATCGTAAAAATTTGTTACTTGTCACTCCGTCTTATTTAAAGCTTTCAAATTTTTTGGAGTATATAAGACAAGTTGATCTGAATGATTTAGATCAATCTGGTATATCTACGATTTTTCAATCATTCTAGTAAGTTTAAATAATTTTTATCAAATCAAGTCATTTAAAATTATTCTTATTTTTACAGCCGTAACAGAATAACTCCAGTCATTGTAATTGACTACAATATTACAAACTTCGAACCTGTCATATTACTTAAAGACTTGAAGCGAGCAAAAGACTTCAGCATAAAAGAGTGTGTTTGGCAGCTGGGCGAAAATAACATCGAATTTAATTATGGCAATCTGAAAAAGTACACAGAAGATTTGAAAACGCTCAATATTCTATGCGAGAGTGTCAGAAATGATAGCAAGTTTAATTGGAAAGTTGCTTCAGTAAGCACATTTTTGGACGACAAAATTACATTCGATGTTGAAGCTTATGACTTTGGAAGGTAAAAAATAATTTATTTGAGTGAAAATTTATTTTTCTCCATGCTCACAATTTTTTCGATCTCATTTTAGCTACACGATAGATGAAATTCTTACAAAATCTCCAATTAAATCAAAAACTGTCCATGATGTATGGATCACAATAAAAAATAACTCAGATGTAATAAGTTTAGCCAGTCCACAACAAAATGGCAAATATCCAGAATCATGTGATGAGAATTGTTTAATTAATGGTTTATCTTATGCCCAAGTCCTTGGAGAATCAGCCAAGAAAGGAATCGATGTAGTATTTTCCGAAAGCCAAGATATTGCATCTTTAAATGCAAATTTTTTGAAGCAAGCTATAGATAAAATGCATAATTCATTGATTGGAACGAGAGTCTTTAAAGTAAGAAGTTCAAAGTCATCATATGATAAGAAGCAACCAAGCGTATATGCATACTGTTCGAAAAAAATGAACGGAGGAGTCACTTTAATGGGTATTAATTACTCAAATGCACGAGAAAAAATAAATTCAAGGTTATCGACATCATTCGATTTCAATAGTATCATTTTACAATATATTTTGAGCATTGCTGATGGACACGTTATGGTGAATAATGAAAAATATAATGGAACAATTACACCTGCCTACAAATTCAAGAAGAATATTAAACTTTCCATCGATTTTTCAATTCCACCTTATTCGATCGCTTTCTGGGTAGTCAAAAATGCTAACGTAAAAGAGTGCTTCAATTCTTTAAAAAATGAGGAAGGCAATAAAGTTCGGACAAGAAGTACAGGTACGTCAAGTACCGATGATTTATTGAAAAATCTTGCTGCAAAAGCCTTAAAAAAAGAAAATGAAAAGCATCTACGAAGTAAACGTCAAATAAACAATGTAAGTCCTTTCTTCCCAACATTTGATTTAAATTTCCCAAATATTGTTCCATCTAACATCAATCAAAGATCAATTAAGGATGTATTATTTAATAACAAAAATACAGAAATCTATAAGGTTGCACCTGTCGAGCCAAACCCTTTACAATCAAGTGAGAATCCTTCTTTACCAAATGGAGACGTATATTTATTAATTGATGATGGGGTTTCACATGACTACGTTAATGCTGAAATGGAATATCCTGTAATGAATTCTAAAGACCAAAAATCAGTTCAAAAATCAAATCGAAAGAATGTTAAAGTGGAAATGCCAAATGAGTATTTATCATCTTATGACTATTTTGAAAACAGCTATAAAACTTCAAAGAAAAGTTCAAAGAAGAAGCCTTCAAATCAGCAACAGAAAAATGTAGGTGAACTCTTTGAAATAGAGCGAATAAGCACAGATGTCTCAAATACTTATGATCAGATGAAAAGTCCAAATACAAATGTTGAAATCAAAACAATAGCTAGAGAACTCGAACCAACTTATAGACAAAGTAAAAAAGCAATGCTTGCAGCTAAACGCAAATGGAATCAAAATCAACTAATGGAGTTTTTGAAGGATGCAACGTTGCAGGAAGTCGACAAAAGTCAACTTCATGATGCCGATGAATTTCAAATCATAGACTTGTCAAATGATGAAGGAATCCCTCTAGATTATGAAGAATATGAAGACAATGATGAAGATGGATTTTTCAGCAATGATAAACACAAGATAAGAACACGTCGGTCTATTGACTACAGAAAAAATGAAATTCCAAGATTTGACAAATTTTTTGGATTTTCCGATGAAGAAAAAGATATAGAGGATGCTCATTTATTTTTACCACCACGTTATTACGACACCAAACCTCATCAATCTACATCTTCAACAACACAAAAAACAATTGCCATTGACGAAGACTCTCCATTTGGCTTGAAATTAATTGACGTCTTTTCTAAATCTCTTGATGATGTTGCTCACACTGTTCACAAAAATCTCGTTACTTGGTGGTATTTTTTCTCACCTCCAAGTTATTCATAAATATTTCATGAAATGTTATAGCTTAATTATGTTGAAATAAATTAGTCTAATTTTCTATAATCAATATTCATGAATTGTTGCTTCTTATTCAATTGCCTTCTTTTTCGATGAAATCTTAGACTTTTAATTTCAGTCAGGTTTTAAGTTTAAGTTTCAAGTATGCTGTTTAACTAATGAAGCTATAGCCAAAAACTGAGAATAACATCCTTTCATAATCTATATCAATAGAGCTTTTGCGGCGCAACCATGTGACATAGACACAACACACGACATAAAACAAGCGATACAAAAGAACATGTGTAGAAAAATTATTCTGTGTCAGTCTTGCGGGAACTTCAGATAAAGAAACACGCAGTGAAATACGGTGGGAAATATTTAGATAAAAAGTTGAAATATTTATAATCTGTTTGAATGATAAAGGGAATTAATCATTTTCGTCTGCATATTAGGGATAATATGTTTACATTCCAAAATATAAAAATTAATGAATATTAGCTACTGTTTATTAGGGGTGATAAAAAAATAATTAATAAATATTTTTTTTGACTATGAGATTAACGACTCTTTGTCACCTACCAGTTGGATATAAACAAATTTTTTGTGTAAACTCATGATGATGATTACAAACGAGTTTATAGTGTTAAAAGCAGTATAATATAATCGGTGCTTATTTAATCGTAGAAGTAAATTGAAAGAAGAAGAAGACACAAAGCAAAGCAAAAATGAAAAGTTAGTTCATTTACAATAAATATCCAATAATTTTTAAGATAATGAAAAGTGAATCTAAAGATGTATGTGGACAAAACAACATCTCATTCCCAAAGTATGTAGAATATAATTTTATTCAAAAACTTGAGTAAATATTTGAACGCGCTGCTAATTTTTAAGAGCCGCGGATAAGTGATTTTAAAAGTAATGTGTGTGTGCAAAAGATGAAGAATGAATATGAGGATGAATAAATTATTCCATAATATAATAGAATATGCGAAGATATCATTAAACATTAGCTTAATTGAAGCAAACTAATTTATACTAAGGATATGTATACGGGCGCGTTTTTACTGTTTGCAAATGATATTGTGTCTTTCTCATTGCTCAACATTATTCACAAGAAATGAAAAATGATAGATGGGAGTGACGATAGAATGTGAAATAGTATAAAATAAGTGACAAAAAAAGGAACACAAAGAAACCTTTTGTTTTGAGGATAATGAGTCATTCCCTAATATATATTGTGTCAATTTTTCATCCTAATATCTTCTGTGAATCATTTATTTGATAGCTGTAATAAAAAAGTAAATGAATCAGTGGGGGCCCTCAAATTTTCGATCAAGCACATTAGAAAAATATTTAAGGGCATATTTATCAAGAATAATGTTACGATAAAAGGATAAAGGCATATACAATAAAGTGGTAATTTTTCAGAAAAATAAACTTTTTGGCAATCATTGAAACATATCGAGTGATATAAATTTCATAAAAAGATAAGGTTCAATGAAGCTTAAAACCATTCAATTTAATTTTGTTTTCAATCATAAACCAAAGAATAATAATAACTTGAAGAATATGTAACAAGTGCTGTTTAATAAAGAGAACTCATAAATGTGACATATGAAAAAAAGTGAAAAGAATCAAAATTTGAACGACAAGTGTAAGATTCATAAATGCTCAGCATAAAAAAGTGAAATAAAAAACCAGAAAATATACATTTGGTTCTGTATTGACAACAAAACGACAACCCTTTGCACTTCTTTTTGTGTAAAACAAATATACACTCTAATATATTTTTTTCACAATACGCTTCTAGGTTTCTTGAATATTTTGTTAGCATCCGCATTTCCTACGCAATACTGTAATATTACATTCTATCTCTTCCTTTCTTTCTCAACTGATTGTCACTAAAGTATATACCCCTGAACTTTTTGAAGAATGCTCTACATTACATTTGGAAATTATAATAGCATCAAATATTTTCCATGACAATTTATATGTGATGTAGACATACTGTAATGTTGTGCGAAATAAACATTTCGCAAAATTAGAAGAAAAAAATTTATCAGAAATTGGAATCAATAAAAGTTATGAGGAAAAGCTAAATTTATCAAAATGGTAATAATAATCGAAAATCATACACAAAAGTTCAAGAGAAATGAAAAGGAGAAAAGTGCGAAAATAAATTGTGCAAATTGAAAATTCGTGTTGAAGTAAAAGCAATAGAATAAAAAATCAAATTTCATCTTACATTATTTATTCTCACTACTCAATAATGTGATAACTAAGATGAAAAGTATTCGAATTTTAAATGGAATTGTTTTTGACACTAAATATGATTAATGGACGAAGCATCGACGAAACAAGCTTATTTGTCAATAAATGCCTATTTTTGTTTCAAATAAGTCTCGCTAAAATAACAAATAAATTTTTCTTCTTTCATACACGATTCAAATACGAATAATTGCTGTATTTGCCAGTTGAGATTACCTTGAAGCAATCAACAGTATTTTCAAAAATTCATTATTGTTGATGACTTGTGTAGCTTCAAATCAAGGCGTGGAAACTATCCCAAATATCATATTTATCTCACATATCCCAAAAATATTCAAAAAATTCCTGAGCATGTATGCACGATAATAAAGATATCCCAACGTATCCTTAGTGTATTAGACGTGTAATTTCAGGATATGATGGGATATCTCAATTCTAATTCATACAGGCTCAGGGATTATTTTGAATATTTTTGGGATATATGGGATATTTGGGATAGTTTCCACGTCTTGCTTCAAATGAAGCTTGATATAAATTTCAAATCACAATTTTTATTCTTTTTATTCATTTGAACTTTACCAAGAAGCTACTGATATTTTTGATAATTTTTCCTCAAAGCATTCAATTCGAGGAATCGAAAAATAAATTTTTTTATATTTAAAATGTGCCCTATTTTCATAAATCAAAAAGGTTATTGATTTTTACATTTTGTAGATACCTAATTGAGCAAATGACTCATTTATTTGTCATAAATATTCTGAGAATAAATCTTCTACCCTTTTTTAAAGTCCTCAATAAACGCCTTAATAAAGTCAAAAAGTTTTTAAAGTTCACACAGGAGTATATGCCTTTGAAGTGACTTTAAACTTTTTTTTAAGAGTTAATTCAATTTACTTTATGTCATAAGATTCGCTATAGAAAATACACTTTTGATAAAAATGACTGAACAACAAGAGAATCAACGAGAGAAAACTCATGCAGAGAAAGACAGCAAAAAAATTTAATTAAAGTATTCCAAAAATACAGAAAGATAAAAGTTACGAAAAAGTTCTTAAATACTTTCCCGAGCACTTACTGACAATAAAACTATTCAAATACAATCGTAGCTTTTCAAGAAAGGAATGGAAGTTGACTGTCTTCTTGAGAATAAATGCTTAAAGGAAATTAGAGAACAATCGTCATTATATACTTCTAAATATAATGAATCAACAATTGCATTAAATGGAAGTAAAAATTTTCAACAATTGCTAATAAGCATGCATTATGAACAGACGACAAACAGTGATGGAAATAATGATCACAATGAGAGCTTCCTTGATAACCTAGGCTTACAACAAATAAATGCAACATCCATTAATAATATAACAGAACAGAGCCCAAGTGAAATTTATGAAATCCAATTCGCCGATCTTATATTCGTGGTTCTGTTTTGTTTACTTATTATCATAACGATTATTGGAAATACTTTAGTTATTTTATCTGTAATAACAACTCGACGACTTCGGACAGTCACAAATTGTTTTGTTATGAGCCTAGCTGTAGCTGATTGGCTTGTGGGCATATTTGTGATGCCCCCAGCTGTTGCATATTATCTAATGGGTTTGTAGAAACGTTTTACTAAGTAAATTTGTCCAAATTGTCTTCACTTGGATACATCTTTTTGTCTCCATTATCTCATCACATTATTGTTACAGCATAACATGAGAAATCCAATTATTGATAAGGATAGACAAGTGCGATGGATAGAATCATAGAGATTATTTATGACACTTATCCATGTTCTTATGATATCCGTAAAATTTTGTTATCAATAATTGAAATATCTTTTCCATGTGATGACAATTTTTCTCTTTCTTAGCATTTCAAGCATGAAAAAACAAAGAATGTTAAGAATAAAATGTAATATTTGCAGGCAGTTGGTACCTTGGATGGATATTATGCGATATTTGGATTTCTTTAGACGTTCTGTTATGTACAGCTAGTATACTAAGTTTATGTGCAATAAGCATTGATAGGTAAGTAAATTTTTTACGCAAATCTTAATAAATCTCTCTCCTTTATCTATAAAGATCCAAGAACAAATTTTTGTATTATAAAAAATTTTGTGGGTTATTTTCATAAATCCCAAAGAAAATCTCATATGAAAGGATGAAAACTTCAAATCTACAAAAGTCAGGGACAAAGTACCCAAATTATATTATTGTATGCTGAAGATTTTGTTCAGAATATTACAAAATGTTTCTTAAGTCTCAGTTCAACCCATCGTAATTCAAATGAAATAGACTTCTTTTTTTCATGGAAAATCTTCTTTGCAGAAAATTCGTTAGCATTAAAAAAAACTCTCGAAATTCTTATTTTTTGGTCCATGTGAATAAATATTTGATATGAAAATGGATGATGGTATTCCACGATTATCTTAAAATATGAATTTTTATTAACATCACATACAAAAATTTATGAGAACATATTGATCTGCGCTAAAATTCATACTCAAATATATTCAACCATCCAAGCTTTGAAGTTATCAAATTTATTCAGGAACCCCCATGAGATTCAAGTTTTGTATTTCCGCTAGTCAATATGTAAAATTGTATTTTTTATTACATTTAGGTAAAATAGAATTAAAACTGATAGTCACAAAACTTATTCTATAGATAAAACTACATTTAAAAAATCACACAACTCATTTCAAAATATTTCTTTAGATTAGCAGAAGCAAAATAAAGTTTATCTATTGAATAAGAATAAGTTTTAATATAGTCTATTTTTTTATAGAAAAAAAAGTCAATCAGAAAAGCGTGAAAATAAGCTTAACTTTTTTTTTGCATATTAATTGAAAAGTTCACTAGCGAAAAGATCTAGCGAAACTCAATAAATCGAAAAATTCCATTTTCAATTGAGTTGAACAAAAATTTTCAATCATGTCAATTCTGCTAAGGGGCTGTTCACTTATTACGTAACGCGAAAAAATGACTTCTTAGACCCCCCCCCCCCTCGTAACAAAATTTGTATGAAAAAAAAATTTCCTTGTTTGAACCGTAACAAAATCTTAGACCCCCCCTCCCCCCAAAAGCGTTACGTAATGAGTGAATGGCCAATAATAAAATTTGCTCAATTTTTCGTGTGATGTAAATATTTGTTTATTTGCTTGACTTTTAAACTTAACAAAACACATAATCATAATTTAATTCAAATTTTCGTTTCAAATAATGTCTTTATTGCATGTTTGCTTTTGAAGCAAGACCTAAAATGTGCTCCTTACCTTTTCAAATATTCTCGTGTTTCTTTTCAGTATATTGTTCAGAAGATTCTTTATAAATATTCCTTAAAAAAATAAATATAAATAGAGAATGCTTGTTGATAGACCTATAAAATTAAATTATGAAAGTTCTTCGTAAAATAAAACATTATCGATTTTAAACATGCAACATTTTTTTGCTTTTAGAGACAATATTGAACAAAATTAAAGCATTCAAAAACAATAAAAGTGAGTTTATGGCTTAGGACATTGCTCGTAATGATTTTACTATGAAAAACCACAAGAAACCATCTTCTATATTTATTTTCTATACAATTATCAACATTCGCTTAAAAAGTTCCGACCACAACAAAATTTTGGTTGCAAAATTTAGTTTCAAGCACCTCGAATAAATAGCATAGAATTAAACAAAATGAAGAAATTCATGAAATGTATTTCGTAGCACAAATACAAGCAAGAATTGTTAATTTTTCATAAAGCATAAATTAAATTTCAAACAGTATCAGAGCATGTTGAATTTAATGCGATTTTCGGAGAGAAAATAAAAGTAATTTAGCTTTTCATCTTATCACCATAATTAAATTTTAAGATTTTGCTTTTCTCAAAAAATTCAAGGTGCACGAACTTCGTTTAAATTCACAGAAAAGTATACTGATGTAGCAGTAATGCCACAATAGAAAAAATTTGTATATTAGAAAATTGAGGAAATTCTGAATTGTTTCATATTTATGTATAAAATGGAAATCTTTTCTCAAATTCTCGAGACCGAGATCGAGACCCGGAATTCCCGGGAAGTCTCGACTTTAAAAATTGCTAAAAAGTTTCACTCAAAATAAAACTCGAGGTGTGCCTAGCCAAAGTCAATCCTTAGCCAATGGCAATGCGTAGGAAAAGGCAATTTTTTTTGCTTTTAACTATCGTAGTCATGCCTTTGACTAGGTAAAACCTAGATTAGATTCATGTAGGTTAAAGTTAAAAGCTACCATGTTAATGAATTTTGCTTAGTCAAAATATTATTGCTGATTGAAAAATTTCGTTCGCTTTGCGAAAATGTCGGTTGAATGCTAAGCAGTGCATTTTAAAGCTGATTTAACAACGAAGTATTTTAAACTTTCCTGGGAAGGGTAGCATAATATTAAGCGCATTTGAACGAAGTTGGTACACCTTAAAAAAAAATTTTAATATTAATTCAATGTCACACGGAAAATTTATTGAAATAATCATTTTAGGTACTTCTTAAGAATTCAAACAAAGAGTAAGAATTGAGTAAGAATTGAATATTAAGTCAATTTTGAATTCGTAAATTAATATTTTTTTTGTTATTTCAAAACAGAGCTCATGTTCTGATCTCAGTTTATATAACTTTGAACATGTTTCAAAAAAGTTTGTCCATCACTGGCATACATGTATACAGTAAAAATCTCTTATTAATATTTATCTATTTACCCTGAGATTTCAATTAATTTCATGCGAAATTTAATTTTAATCATTATACGGTATTCCATTAAAAGAAATACCTTTTGCCAGAGCTCGAAATCGAAAGGGTTTGAGTCGACTCGAGTCGACTTCGAGCTCTGCCTTTTGCAGTCTCAGATAGATCAAAACCGGCAGACATATTTTAATTTAGCTGACGAATGAAAATAAATCATTTTTCTTTGCTTAGATTCTAATATATTTCATGTTGACATGAGAATTGGAAGTAAACTGTTTAAACATTTGTTCTGAGCCTTAATGAGTAGTCAGAAAGATAAGAGTGTAAACCGATAGTAAGAAAATTGATTCAAATCTACTCCAAAACGTATGTAGAGCAAACATTCAATTCACATGCTTTTTCTTCACATATTTGCATTTCGAATGAATTCATTATTTGTTTACTTTACGATCAGAGCGATGATGGATGAAGGAAGAAACATAAATAATTTCCAAGGTTATATTTGTAGATGCAGTTCATCAGAAATATTTTATAAACCATATACAAAGCTTTGTGGATTGTTAATTGTTGACTAAAGGGCTTACCAAGAAATTTCATCAGATTATAAATGTCTAAGCATTAGCATAAAACTTTCATGGACTTTCACAAGTAATCTTTATGTTAACATTGATTGATTGATACGTTTACTTGTAAGGATACCAGCATTACTTTTTAATATAGTTTTCCAATGCTTTAACTTTTCATGCCTATTCTCATTGTATTTTCATCAAATTGAAAAAAAGTATTTTCACGTTAGCAGTGCTTACATATAAAATGATAAATAAGCAAGTTAGATTTTTCTTCAATCGGAAAATACTCTGTCTGCTCATTGAACAAGAAGTTAATCAATCAAAAAAAACCGAATAAAAAGATGGTTTATTTACAATATATTTGACATTGATAGTCTTTATTCTCTAATGTCTGTAACATTAAGTACAGAAATAAAAGGATCTTCGATTTTTCTTTTTATATTTAAATTGACATTTGAAAAGCATAAAATTTATTTTCGTGCATAAAGCATAGAAAAGGCTATAAGACGAAATCAATATTTTTATCTGCTCCCTCATTCTCGTTTACACAAAGTGGTATAATGGAATTTTCATCACAAAAGATTTGATATGAAATGTTTTATAAAATTTTTTTTTATTATTTCTTTTCCCGAGAAACGAACATATGAAAATGAAAATGTATTTTTATGTAAGTAATATTGTTTGCGTCATGTCATCCTAATTCAATAGCTTTGGCAGCTCCGAGAACAAAGAAAAGAAGGTTTTTAATAAAACTTATCTTAAATGAATATAAATATATACATTCTTTATCTCACAAAAGCATATTTTAAGCTATCAAGATAATATTAGTGTTCTGTTGAAAAATTTTAAACATGCCAACATGAAACACGAAAATTTCTTGAGGGTCATTCACCATTGATGTAATTAAAAATTTCAAAACACTTTTTCTTTTTGATAAAAACATTTTTAATTTTTTTTTAAAAAAAGAGTCAAAGAGCAAATCTCTTCTACCAAAAATTAGACTCAATAAGTAAACGACCCTTAACAGTATTTACATAAATTTCAGCAGATTTAAATTTTTTTTACAATGATTATTTACAACGTTAAAACATTCTCAAGCTGTGCACTTTGAATAACAGACACAGCTCAGACTCTTATAAATATTTACGTGATAAAGATTTATAAAATAACCTCACTTTAAGAACACATATTAAACATCCATTTTTTTAAAAAGCTGCTAAAGCACGTGTTTGATATGATCTACTCAAGTGTTTATTATTATATTTTTTAAACTATTAATCTTCATCAAAATCAGCTAATAACTGTCGCAGAATGATACTTTTTAATATAGTTTTTCTCAAGCTTTACCTCATTTCCGCTTCCTTTTACATAATAATATTGACATACCTTGAATGATGATGAATAAAGCAACTTCTACTTCCAAAAAAATTGTCTTGCCAAATTTTCTTTTTAACTGAATACTGTGAAACCATAAAAAGTTGATTATTTTCTTAAGAAATGACCTTGAATCTTGTTATCTGACGTAAAATCGGAAATTGGTATGTCATGAACAAGCCATGCTGGTAAACCTTAATTAATTCTCAAAATGATTCTTAGAAATGTCTGAATAATGAATAAGTTGATGTGGGTTTATTAGTAGTTAAGTATAGGTAATTGAAATGTATACTGATAAACTTGCAAGCCTACAAGAAAGTAAAAACAATCATCTTTATAACTGCACGCCTTGTATACCGCAAATGTCGTTGTCTTAGCAAATATTTAAAAGATGAAAAAATTCCAAAAATATTATCGTCGTCATCATTTTTCTCGTAAGAAATGATGCTTTATCTTAACGTCATTTGTTTACATTACGTTTCTCATAATTTATTAAGCAACGAGGAGTAAAAAAACTAATGTATACAATTTCATTTGCACGTTAGAAGATTCATTCATAAAAACGAAAAAAAAAAATACTTTTTTTTTATTTTTCAGATATTTGGCTGTAACTCAACCATTAAATTACTCAAGAAGAAGACGTTCTAAGAGGCTCGCAATGCTCATGATTTTAGTCGTTTGGATACTTGCGTTGGCAATTACGTGTCCACCAATTTTAGGATGGTAAGTCAGAAATTTTTACACTTCATGGAAATCCCATAATATAATTCATGCATTAAATTGATCTCATTATTATAAAGGTATGAACCAGGAAGGAAAGCACAAGAAGAAGAATTGGTGTGTCGTTATGATCAAAATAAAGGATATGTTGTGTTCTCAGCAATGGGTAAATGGAAACAAACAGTTGAGTGATGAAATATTTACGAAACATTTTTTTTTCTTCTCCATCTATTTTTCAAGGTTCCTTCTTTATTCCAATGCTTGTGATGGTTTACGTCTATTTGAGGATATCATGCGTTGTAGCTAACAGGCACGACGATATGGTACAAATAAAAGTTCATCAGGTAAGCATTTATTCTATTTCAAGTCTAGTCATATCTTCTAATTTCGCTTAGAGGAAGATATGTATTTTCCTATTCCATCCTCGTAATGCTGAAAAATATTTATTGTTCCCAATGAGATTTTTATTTTCTCCCGGTGCAATCAAAAAGAGAGAGTAGGGAAATCTTAAACACATAAAATTTTATGAATTTTATTTTACTTTGTGAATATGAATATCGCAAAGTAAGTGTTGATATTCTGGATTGTTAAGGATTTTATTACTTTCCGGGTTGTTTTTACCATCTTTGAATCGTTTTCCTTTTTTCAAGGTTTTATATAACCATGCTTATTTATTTTTTTATTTTAAACTTTTGTTATTTCCTTAAAATTATATAACGAAAATTTTTTAAAATAAACTCACTATAAGTATTTACTCCTTCCTTTCTTCATAAAATGCTCTCTTCATTTTCTATCACTGTCATAAAAACGAAATGTTAAAGCTATATCATCTTTCACTACCTCAAAAAATGGGGAATCAATGAGAGTTTCCATCTGATTGAAAGTCAATTTGAAATTTTTACGTGAACATGAACTCGCTTTAAAGCCTGAAAAACTGGTAAAAGGCAGCTGATTTTATTCATAAAAAAATTCGAAGGAAATATTTTACTTTATGATTGACTTCATAAAGTGGGTATAAATGTTGGCATGAGAAAAATCGAGCATTAAATTTTTTTTTAATTTTAGTACGAAAATCACTCAAGGTTTGGTTTGTGGACAAGAAGAAATAAAAAAATGTTTTGAATATTAAGGTATTTGAGATAAAAATTTATATTTAGAATGGCATGTTTCTTATGTGTAGTCAAAATTTTACATGATCATCATGTAAATAAGAGATGAGAATTCAGCGTGTCATTTTCACATGACATGATTTCAAAGTTTCACGTAGAGTTAACAATGATCTAATTCTATTTTGAAAGGTTTATTATTTAAAAGGTCCAATTTAGATACGTAAATGAATTCATATTTCAAGACATACTTACTATTCCAAAGAGTGAATTTTAATGATAAAGAAGTTTATACAATAATGTAACCTTTTGCAACCCCAATATTTTTTTTTCATCAAGAAAGGAATTTTCATTGAATTTTTAAGATATTTGTGTGATGTGAAAAGTTTTCAAACCGTACATTTTAAGCATTGTTGAGGTCAGAGTTGGATAAAATTATTGACTGTTAATGACTTTTAAGTCAAATTACATTACTAAAGAATCTTCTTTTTTATGGTGTTACTTGAGTACATTTTATGCTCGACAAATGAGTTGCAGAGATTATCTGTCATTTAGAATCAAAGTATCAGAAAGTTTGTATCCATATAAGAAGTGACGTTGCAGACAAAAAGTTTCTCAACACTTATTCAAGCTAATGCTATCGAGTTGTAAACGAAAAAGACGTTTTGATGGAGGAAATAAATTATTGCCTATCCCGAAAAACATGAAAAATGATATATTTAAATAGAAAATAAATAAACTGCAACCTTTGTCAAGGCTTTTGATTAATGTCACTTTTCAAAATATAATTTGATAACGAAATAAAATGTAAAAAATAGAAAATGTCTAGAAGAGACAAAAGGATAAGATCTTTTGTTGATAGAAAATAAACCTCGAATATCAAGCCAAATCTCAAACAAATGCAGAAACATATCTTGTATGAAAATGAAAAACACGTTTCTATTTGCATGATTTTCTCTTTTCAATCTTTCAAACATGAAATCAAGAACTCATCACGTACAAGAGATGTTTGTATTAATGACTACGAATGCGAATCTGATAATGAGAATCGTGGTTGCTCATCTTCTCTTCGGCATGATAGATCAGGCGAGCAAGTAGTTACAATAAAAATGACTAATAATAAGAAAGATAGTCCTATTCTGCCAGATGAAGATCTCGTTAAGAATTTTGAACAATTGGAAAAAGATCAATCACGCAATGGTCATTATGAGTTAATCCAAATTGGTAAAATGCCATCAGAGCCAATGCTTAAATATAATAATACTAATTCTATAATGAAGAACCCAGTATCAAAAGATTACACTCATTGGTGTCGCAACGGCGATAAAATCAATGAATGCAAACATCAGACACACACAACATCCTTAACTAATATTAATAGCAACAATAACAATTCAGATAACGCTATCGGAAATCAGCAATTAGGCTCAGCAAACTTTTATATCATGCGCTCGAGAACACAATCAAAGTCATTGTCAACACGAATTTCATCACTTAAACGTGAGAGCAAAACCACAAGAACTCTATCAATCGTAATGTTCACTTTTATTGCATGCTGGCTTCCTTTTTTTATTCAATATTTGCTGGTAAGTAGTATAGATACAAAATTTATTTCTCCGTTAATAATTAAGGACATAAACAATCTGCTTACCAACTTTTCTAATTGGATACTTGAAATAAGGCCTTCTTAAAATAGGCGGCAGTTAAACCTTTTCTTATTCTTTTAATCACGTCTTCTGGATTCGAGTTTACTTTAAGTCCCTTAGATAGTAACTTTGACAGGTGTTGTGAAGTTGTAGATTTTATCTGATTCAGTCCCGAGGGACAATAAATGGAAGTCACAAAACTAGTCTCCTTTTAAATTCTTGCAATTTGTAGATTTATGTAGCTTGAGAGTAATTCAAAAAAAAAATTAAATAAATCTGAAACTTCAAAGCCTTTCTTTCAATTTTATCAAAAGATATTGTTTGTTTTCTAAGTTTCGAGATCAAAAATGTCGAATTGAAATGCTTCAGATATCCTCAAATACATTGTCGATTAAACAAGAATAAAAAATCATCAGAAGAACTAGTTTATTGACTAGAAAAAAGTCTTCCTTATTTTTTTTCATTACTTAATGTTTATCCTTTAATATCTTTACATCACTTTGTACTCGTGACTGTTTCTTATGACAACAGAAGCCTTTCTACCCGGAATTAAATATATCACTCTTAGAGCAACTTATTACTTGGTTAGGTAAGTAATTTAAGATTATTGTTTCATTTTGTTACGGGATGTCATAAATCTCATTTGTTTCTTTTTCTTCTATCGCCCTACGCATTTTCTTAATTTCGACAACAATATCCACTTATTCGCACAGGTTGGGTGAATTCAGCAATGAATCCTTTTATATATGCTTTCTACTCAGAAGATTTTCGAGCAGCATTTTATCGTTTAACGCTTCGAAAGTTGTGTATTTCTGCAAAAAAGAAGCCGTACGCTTATCCATTAACATCACTGACAGCGAGACGTTGAGGACAGCACTAAAAAAGTACATTCAAATTAATATCAAAAATCCAAGTTTTGCCATGTTTGTTGTTTTTTTATATGCAACAATGTGATAAGAAAACTCAATATATAGTTAACGCAATCTTAGTCAAAATAAACACGAAAAGAAAATTGTTGTGGAAACATGATGCAGAAATGAAATAAGAAGAAAATCCATTAATATTTACATTAAAGACCATGTCTCAAAAAAATCTCTATCGTGAATCATGATAAATTCTTTCGTTTAAGCTAAATATAATCATGTTCATGAAATCTCTTCAGTAAAGAACCTTAGAATATGTGAAATATGATATTGGTGATATTGAATGAATGATACTAAACTCTCATTAATGGATTTTTTCATCAGTCTTATTCCGTTTTTATTTCGTCATCATCAAACATTATTCATTCCTTTACTATAATGTTCAAAATGTATATAACTAGACACAGTTCAGTAGCCTGTCACAAAAATAGCTTTGAAATAAAATAATTTATTCAAGATTTGATAAGGACTTTCAGGATTTAATCCTCTCCAAAATTTGGCATTTAAAATAAGCAGTAAAGTAAGTCAATCATAATACTGTTTTTAAATATAGATTTTATTATAAGAGCTAGATCATTGCGTTTGTCGATTAAAGTTTAAAAACTCGGATTTTGCTTTAAATATGCCATATTTTACTTCTGGCTATAAAAAGACTTTCAGGAGCATTAATCAATATACATGTTAGTCAATTTAAAAGATTTTTTTTAATTTGTCCGAAATATGAACATAAACTCTTTATTAATTCCAGAGATCGAAGCCGATTTTTTCGGCTTAACTCAATTTTTGATTTTTTTGATAGAAAAAAGCCATTTGACACCCATTTCAAGTATTTAAACTGAACTTTACATGCTTTACTATGATTCTGTGTAATATTTTGTCAGCATGTAACCGTACCCTAGTAACCAAAATGTTCCATATAATCTTCCTTCGACGTGGATGGAAGATCAAATGTATCATTATTTATTATATGGAAAATATTTGTTTTACAAACATGTAACAAAAGTGTTCCATCGAAGTATTACCCGAGCCTGCTTAGGATCAAATCCTATGAAAAATCATCAAAAAAATATTTTTTTGCAGGAAAATAATATTTGTTCTAAATTTGGCATTTGCCATATACTTCACAATTGCTCGAAGAAATCACTATTATAAGTTCTCTCTAAATTTGTATGGGGCTTTCAATTAATTATTTATCTTCCTCAGGTTTATGTGCGAGTCTTGGTCGTTCATCAGTATGCGACTTAATTAAATTAAGTCCTTTTGTTCTTTTTCGTAGTGTTAGTGTACTTTAATTAAGTACACACTAATACTTTTACAAAAAATTACACAAATAAATGAAAAATACAAAATAACACGTGGAATTTAACACGTGTTTTATTCAAAAAAAAGTAATCCATTTGTTTTCCATTTGTATTCCTTTGATGTATTACATTGATGCCTTATTTCATTGTCCATTTATCTTCCATTTTCATAGGACATCATCTTCCGAAGGATAATACATGGATAATACATATGTATCATCCATGGAAGATTCTCATGGAATACATTGATCTACCTTTTGGTTACTAGGGATTAGGGAACATTTTTTCGAAATTTATTGTAATGCAAATAATATTAATAATTAAAAAACTTTACAAATTAAAATTATAAATATTCATAGCACAATTGAAAAATGATTTATGAATCAATAAAACTAAGAATTTAAAAAAAAAAAATGTAGCTATAGTGAGCTCAGAATTTCAATTTAGCCGATTTTAAGCCGAAATTTAAGCCGATCGGCTTAAAATCGGCTAAATTGAAATTCTGAGCTCACTATAGCTACATGCTGACAAAATATTACACAGAATCATAGTAAAGCATGTAAAGTTCAATTTAAATACTTGAAATGGGTGTCAAATGGCTTTTTTCTATCAAAAAAATCAAAAATTGAGTTAAGCCGAAAAAATCGGCTTCGATCTCTGATTAATTCATTTAAACAGTTAAACACCAAAGTTTAATATTTAGAGTTATTAATAACAATTCCTAATTCCCTCCAAAATTAAGCTTAATCATATTGAAAATCGAATTATAATAAATGCGATTTCTAATCATTTCATATTCTGCAGCTACTTTTTGGTTCATAATTTGCATTTTCACTCAAATTTGTTTAAACGCATAAAATGAAGTGTTTAATTTTTATGCATTTCTGAAATGTCAATTCAGAGCATTCCAAATTCATGTAAATCAACACGCATCAAATGTAAAAATAATTAAATAATGAATACAACAAATTTATTATATAAAAAAAATAGATGTACCTAAATGATTTTTGTACCATAAACAATTTATTTTTTCTTTCAGAAACCGTAGGTGTATGGAAATATTGCTTCAGCTGAAATCTTTAAATATAATTTAAAAATGTAGGCCGATGGCGATTGCTTTAAAGAGATAAAAGTATACTTTTTAGAAAATTGTAAATAACATTTTATTGATATTTATTCTGAATGATAGAAATTTTAAACAAAATATTCTAATTACAAAATCCATTTTATTTGTGCATATATCATTCAACGTTCCATCAATGAACTCTGAACTTTAAAAATTATATAATATATAATTAATAATTATATATTATAATTATAATTATAATTATAATATTATAATTAATATATAATAAATTATATATATTTGAAATCAGCTACCCAGTTTTCAATTGAATGTAAATTTATTTTTTGCGATAAAATAAACAGGTAAGAAAATTGCGTATTAAAGTTTTTTAGTTTCCACGTGGAACATGAAAATGTCGTTCAAATTTTGTCACCCAACCTACAGGTCCACCGTATTATCCAAAAGTAGTGATTTATATGTCAAAATTTGTTATAATAATTATGTTTAAATGTTTAATATCTTCTTAGGAATCGATTGATACCCAAATCATAATTTTTGGTGCTAGTCCTGATCCAGTAGAGTGAAAAAACAAGCTTTTTTGGAGGCTTAAATTAAAATTGTTCTGGTGCACTTGTTTTAGAGAACTATTAGATTAAACATTTTTTGAAATGTAGGGCCTTAAAAGATCTATCCAATGATACTAAACATGTCCCACTTTCATCAAAACCTACGTAGATATAACGATTTCAAATTTTAATCCGATGGATTTATTTTAATCCTCCCTATATTCATTACGAAATCAAAAATTGTTTAAAATTTGTCACCCAACCTACTGCTCGCAACTCAAAATCAATCATATTGATATGTATATCTAAGAAAGCTACAAGGCTAGTAGGGCGGAAATTTAGGCGCTTTGTGTGAATCTTCTTATTTCTCAAAATATAGTGAAAAAAGTGTTTAATTGGGTGGATTATAAATAAATTCAACGGATTAAAAATTCAATCAGTAATATCTTTAAATTTTCAAATCCACTTTTTCCAAGATATCTTAAATTAAAGGTAATTAAAAGGAGAATAATCGACCATTAAAAGAATTTCATTTTATTTGGTTTTGAGTGGGTTTAAGAAATATTTATGTAAATCTTGATTAATTTTAAACCGGATTTGAGGGTATATTAGCATTCTTTATCATTTATAAGACCTAGATTTTTTTTAAAATGCAATTTAAAGCATTTTTGGTTTTCGATCATAGTAGGCTTTTTTCAAAAAATATTGATTTTTTTGTCTATATTAGCATACTTTATCATTTATAATACCTATATAAGTTTTGAAATGCAATTTAATTTGATAAGTCAACTGAGCTTCGCTCAGCATAAATTTGAAGGTATAAAGCAAGCGAGTCAGCTGAGCTTCACTAAGCATATGTTTGAAGGTTTAAAGCTTAACGAACATTCTTTAAAAGTTTTTTAAAAAATTTTTCATCCAAAGTTTAATTTTATAAAAATCAGAGTGAACCTTTGTTTTGAAAAATTCGTAAGAAAGGAAAGTTTTTTGCTTTTTCTGAAGCAACGGCTGTTCCTATCTTGCCCAAAAACAATACAGCTCTTCTATAGAGCAGCACGGATCAAATGTGAAACACTAGAAGTCTCTACGATATCTCGTTATTGAGATTTCTTGCTGATTAACTTGCATGCTTGTTTGCTTTCTTACAGAAAGCGTATTTTGTGATTTTCTAAACAATGCCGCAACCAATTTGAAATCTGTTTTTGAAAATGATGTAAAATTTCAGGCACAAACTTTACCTTTTATAACCAATTTTGCTTCGTTTTCTCGTAAAATGCAAAAAACTGATTTTTTAATCTGAACAAAACCAATAGATTCACACGTTAAAACGGTGTGAATATAAAAATCATACATTTCATTCCAAAATATTTCTTGAGATTAGCAGAAGCAAAATAAAGTTTATCTATTGAATTTTATAATAACAAACATATGCTGAGCGAAGCTCAGCTGACTCGCTGGTTTTATACTTTCAAACTTACCAAGCTTTATACCTTCAAACTTATGCTAAGCAAATCTTGGTCTATCCATAAGATTATGATGGTACGGTATAAATATATCCACATTGGGTTTACCCGATACACTAATTTTCGTTTTGTGATATATATAAAAGAACTGTAATCTAACATAAGTCAAATGCGGAAGCTAGTGACTTTCTACGTAAGTCATGTTTTTTATCGTTCCTTTCCTTTTAGTCAAAATGCTGCAAATTATCATTATTTTGATAAATTTAAAATTCTTTACAGCATATTAAAGAACATTTTTTTCTCTTTTAATAAAAAAAATTGATTGAGCTCGAATTTTTTTTTTAAGCTTAAATTGTACACAAATATATTTTCGTTGAACTTGATTATCGATTCTCTCCACACCTATACCCAAATAATAATAATTGTAAATTTTATCTTATCGCCAGCATTTTTATTTTTAGTTTTGTTTCACTATAACTTCTGTCGGAAGTAACAACTTACAATTCCTAGTAATTATAACTTTTACAATAGTGACAATAATTTATGGAAGCAAGACTTTATCAATATTTGACTCGTAATTACGCAAGCAAATTCCTGTAGAGTTCACATTTGCTAGCATATTTTATGCTTCTTTCTGAATGATATTTTCATAATTACTTGGCATCACTCTTTCATAATGAAATGTTATGGATATTAGCATAAAATAGAAACACTGGACAGAAAGTTAAATTGATGAGCGGCCATGCGCGATGTTTAAAAGTGACTGAAGAAAAAAACATAGTTTTTTGAGGATAATTTCATTAGCTAGTTTAATTGCTTTTATTATGTGGTGGCTATAAATTAATTATAAACTTTTAAATGGTTGTGGAAAGTAAATCATGTTCAATGCAAAAGCAAAATATGAAAAATCTTTTAAAATTTTTCCAATTTTCATTATTTAATTTTGTTTTAAATTTTCATTGTTCAATTTTGTTTTTAAAATTTTATCCATGACCTCATTTTTTGCCGGTATGGTGTAGTCTATTTTTGGAAAAGTTGAAATTATCTACACATGTTTGAATCACACAAAAACAGCTATGGAGATGCATTAAGCTATTGTTGTTTTTTGTTCTCTGTCATAGAATCATATTTCTCATGGGAGCATCCCAAATCTTCATATTCTCTGTTTCAATTTACATTATTTGACTCAATGGAGTATTCCTTAAAAAATGTAAAAGATTTTGTTGAGTAGGCTGAAAGAAATACCTTACGCTAACCTTATATAAAATGCAAAACAAATTTAAAGTTTTGTTTATTTTTTTAAATTAAGGGAAAAAAGTCTTGATTTTTTTTTGCCGTCTAATGATTTTTTCCACAATTACTTTTTTCCTGAGAATATGTCGAGCAGGAGGTAATTGTAAACGCGGTGAAAAAATAAAATTAATAAAATAAATGGGTTTGAAAAATCTCTGCTTTTAAAAATTAAGTTTCAATTACTTTGCATTTTTTTATTGCTGAAAATTTAATTAAATTTACAATAATTAATTACTTTACATTCAATACGCTCTTACTTACAATAATGAAAATCAATATTAGTAATATGTTAAATCAATCAATTCATTTCGGATAAAAGTTTCAATGACACAAATATGTAAAGAAACTTTATAGAAATTAATTAAAAAAATCATTTCTACATGCCACAAACTTTCTCTTGAAATTCTTTTTTAAACAAAAACTGATAACAAATCATCTGAATGGTAAAAGCACACGTGCCGAAAGAAGACATATTAAAAAAAAAGGCAAACTTTGAAATCTATGAATTTTCCTACCTGCTGAAACTGTCATTTTATATCATTACGCAACATGAATGATTTCAATTCAAAGGAAAATATATCTTTAAATAATAAAGTTTCGTATTTTTCAACTCAAGCTTAATGAACTTTTTCTTTGTTTTGCCCTCGTGATCTGATGAACAAAATGTAAACGACACATTTTCATTAAAATTTTCTGCTGACTAATAAACATCATTACAATGCAACAAAACCAATAACACCGCTTCCTTTAGGTTTCATCAGTTCTCAATAAATTTTACATTAAGAAACTTAATCGATTTATTTTTGTGTCTTATAAGCATTATCTTCACAAAAATGTTTCATTAAGTAAGGAAGTTAAAACTTGAATTATTTCTCAAAAAAAAAAAAATAATTTATTGATGTTCATGATATTAGGAATGTATTTTACAAGGATGTGAAATGTTTAAATCAGAGTTTTTCTTTTATTGAATAATTTTTAAAATTATTTGAAAAATAAACTACGACATTAAATTTCTTTATAAAGTATTATGAGAGACAAAAGAATAAATAAAGTTATTTATAAATATCATTAAACATGATTTATGAGTTCCTTAAATATGTATAGACCCCATTTAGAGAAGAGAAAAAAATTAATAAAAATAAAACATTTATGATTAGCAAAAGGCATAAAATATAAAATAGGACAAAAATTTCATTTCGCGATTTTATGGATCATTATTTTTTATCTTACTTAAGTAAATAGTTTAGTTTATTCAGTAATCAGTCATTTTGTGATATTTTGGAATTGTTTTTAATGTTAACCATAATTTACATACTTACATCATTTTTTCCAGCTTATCAGTACAGAAAATAAGAATTCTTATCCCTATATTAAACGAATACCTAAGCTTAATTTTGTATTAAAATAAAAAAGGTTAAAAATAATGAATTAAAGAATCAAACTGCTGTGTCATACAAATAGGCATAAATACAAATTTTTTTTTTCATGGCTATCATTCAGTAATTAAAAATAGTATATTATGACATTTTATCAGTACGGTTCCACACTTTACCCCCAATGGAATTCATTTCAATCAAGATATAGGAACGCTTTTTTAATTTAATAACATCAGAATGTTCCAAAAAGGCAGGTAAATTGACTGTGGATAGAATGATAAAGTAAAATTTCATTTATTGATTATTTTATGTACCACCAACTCGCATAAATTTCACAAAACCAGTAATGAACATTCAGGAAAAAAAACGTAAATTAATTAACAAAAATAAAACTTATACGCCAACGTATCATAGATGCGGGTGAATAAGTAAATATTTCAGGTTTCCACGATCCTAAAAAATGGGTTAAAAAGGTTTTGGACGCACATAAAAAGGTAATTCGATTCATTTACACTAATTTGAAAAAAGTTCATATGATGCTACCTTCTGACTCCTCCTTTCAACTGCTATTATCTATTAAAAAGAATTATTAGTGATATGAAAAAAGTTTGAAAAGTGTCAAAGACTTCCAGTTTACAGTTTGCCTTTCTCAGAAAAAACGATAAAAAATTAATATTGATAATCAAAAGAATCCAAAAATAATGTCGTTAAATATAAAAGCACAATGTTTTAAGAGGATAACAGAAACAATACAAAAACAAAGCACTAAAGTTAAGATCTAATTTATTTTCATCTGTAGGGACTTTTGTTGAATAATTTCTTGCGATTTTGTAAACAATATTAAAGCGTATAGGATAGTTCATAAGTTATGGTTAACAAAAATAAATATCGTATCTTGACTTCCCTATTACATCGCCATAGACAAAAAAAAGCAATCAAATGTCATCCTTTAGATATCCTCCCTATGCTTTCTCGCTATCGGGATCGGGATCGGGATTTCCCGGGATTTACCGATCCCGATCAATCCCGGGATCCCGAAATTTATCGGGATCGGGATTGAAAATCCCGGTTTTTTAATTTAGGAAATTATTGATGTTTTAGAACCTGCTAAATACGCGACAGAAGAATTATTGCGTAAATCAGACGATTTATTAATTGCTGAAGGAACAATTAACTTTTTGCTAGACGAATTGTTGCTACAAGGAACATTATTGTCTCAAAAGGTTTACGATATGAATTGCGCTCGCATAGGTGCACGAAGAAATGGAACATTAATTGACTTAATACTTTACCTCAATATATTTCTTTAGACAAGCATTTTAAATCGTCAACAAAAGCTGCAATACATAAACTTGGCATTGACTTATTGAAAAAGTATTTTGTCAAAAACTCTACAAATGGAGCTATGGAAGCTTCAACATCCAGTGCAAATCAAATCCAACCGTCAAACATTTCTATTCGAGATAGACTGAAACTAAGCATATCTGAATATACATCATTAACAACAGATGCAGCAGCAACAGAACCAAATAACTTGAAAAGAGAGTTTAATTGGTATGACAAAAATAAGAAGAGAACCGTTTTGTTAGATCAACTTTACGATGCATTGATAACAATGCAGCCGACCTCAACTCAAAGCGAACGAAATTTCTCTATTAGTAACAACATTCTTACAAAACAAAGAAAACGTTTACTTGACAAGAATCTAAATGCAATTGCATTTGTTAAAAGTTTTTTCATTAATGCTTAATTTTTATTATTATATTCACACCGTTTTCTATAACCTTTAAACTTACATCTTTATCAACATTTATTTTCTATTTTTGTTTATGTTCACATTTTTCAAAGGAAACATGGATTAAAACATCTACCTTGTAACACATAAATTATAACTAATTAATTAAGGAATAAATGACCGTATAAGTAGCAAAAAAATATACAATTTTTTTTGGAAAAAAAAGCAGAAAAATGCTGTTTTTTAAATTTTTTTACATATTCCCGAAAATTTGTCGGGACCGGGATTTCGAGAAAGCATAATCCTCCCCTCTATGTCATAAGTGAACTACATTGATAAAATATTCTCAAAGCAGAAAAATACAAAATTAAATTATGGTGTCGAGCCGAGCCTATAAAATATTTTCATAAAACCAATATCCAAGATTGATGAAAATAAAAATTTGTTTTGATCGAAATAAACAAGTTGAGAGGAAATAATATAAAAATCGTCATCATCAAAAAATAAGGCATTTATTACAATATTATTTTTAATAGTGGAAAATATCACATGTTGCAGTGGAGAGAAAGTGCTCAAAAAAGTTCGAGAATAAAGAAAAAGTGTGAGAGAGAATATGAGAGCATTTATGCGCTGAATTTATAAAAGCGAAAAACATTACGTAAAAATAAATTTTCAGTATTCAAACAGAATTGAATTTAATCAAAACAACTATTCATTTTCGGAATGGTGGAGTAAACTTTTCAAATTAGTGCTTAGATTATAGTGACAATATTTAACCTATTTAAGGTAGTATTAATCTAGTCTGTTTTGCTGCTAACAAAGTTTCAAGATGTTTGTAAGAAGTTTAAAGTTATTTACTAACAACAACCTGTGCTTGCAACGGAATTTAGCATTGAATATTCATGAGAATAAATCGATACGCTCAATATCCACATCAGTGTATTTATCTAATAAGTATGATGAGCTATATAAAGAGAGATATGCAACATTTAAGTGTAAGTTTGAAATTATATTATTAGATTTAATAGAATCAGGTCATCCATTAAATCAATATGATATTTTTTTTTCTTTAATATAAAGTTTTTCATTCTCTTATGAGAGACGCATGTGGATTTTTTTCTCAGAAAATTTTTCGTGAGAGAATCACATATAAATTTCTAACAAAATCAAAAAGAGATTTTTTTTATCAACAGATGTTTTGTTTTGTTTTGCTTCGCTTCTTTTCATTCTTAAGTTTCTCAAGTGTATTCTCAACATGACTGTAAAAAAATAAAGAATCAATTGAGGAGCTTTCTCGAATGAATGGATGAATGGAAATAAAAATTTACGGATCAATTTTTAATTTGAAATGATTGGAAGACCTTTTGTTCATGATTTTTAAATTCAATGGGTTTTCCAGGAAGCTACATTCAAAATCAATTTAGTTTCTATGTGTTTAAGTATCCCATTTTTAAGCTTTTTACGCTTAAATTAAAATGTTCTATTACGTTCAATATTTTTCTAATGTCATCAATAGCAAAAAAATTACCAAAGAATGTTAATAGACATGGAGTTTTTGCAGCCAATGAGCTTGATTTAGATGAAGTAGAAGTTTACGGGTAAGACTCATGCTTCCATCAAAAAAAAAATAAATTAAAATATTTCTTGTGATATTTATCTGTTTCAGCTTTGATTATGATTACACGTAAGTGCTCTTCGTTGGAAATATTTTTCCTGCTGTTTACTTTATTTATATTTGTAGAATCTCATGCTATAAAAAGAATCTCAACTATTTACTTTATAATCTTGGAAGAGATAGTCTCGTGCAACGATACAAAGTAGGTTTAAATAAATAAAAAAAAAACTACAATTTAAAGGCTAATAAAATTAATGAATAAACTTTTACATACAGTATCCGAAAGATATTTTGAATCTTGATTACGTGCCAAATTATACTATTCGAGGTTTGCATGTAAGTAAATCAATTTTATGAAACATTGTAAACTTGATAGAATCTAGAAAATAATTGGAGACGAAATATGCAGAGAAATAAGAAGATTTAAAAGTTTGTCTGTTTCATTCATATTTAGTACGATATCGAAAAAGGACTGCTGCTGAAATTAGATTCATTCTTGCAAATACAGTTAGGAACAGTCTACAGAGGACTCACACCAGTTCCAGATGACGAAGTATTGGAAATTTACAAAAATCGTGTAATTCCTGTCAAATATGTTGAGGGTGACAGGCAGAACGTGAGATATTTACATTATTTTTATGTTTTTTGCTATGCATAATAAGAGTTTGATTATATGTATATAGGGTCAAAATGGTCGTAAAATGGTTCAACTAGCGGATCTTTTTTCCGTTCCTGAAATGTATTTACTCTCAACTGTGACAGAGTTTTTCAACAAGCACCACATAGATTACCATCCAGAAATAATGTTTAGGGATGTTAAAGTAAGTAGATTTTTTCCTATCTATTTTTTAAAGAAATGAAACATTTCTTGAATCTTAATGTCACAACATTTTATGGTTTATTAAATTTTTCAAGAATGCTATCGGTTCTTCGCATCCAGTTATGCATAAAATAGTTGGGGATCATGTAAAAGAGTACATTAAGGAGGATACCAATATGAAACGCTTTTTCCAACGCCTAATAAATTCAAATAAAAAACTTTTTTTAGTCACGAACAGTCCATTTCCTTTTGTGTAAGTAGAAACTTCTTTCATTTGAGAAAATTGTGAAAAGAGGAAAGTAAGATGAAAATTGTTTGACCATTTTAACTTTTCTTTTGCTTTGCAACATAACATCCATAAATACATATTTCATTTTACTTCCCAGAAATAAAGGCATGACATTTTTATGTGGAGATGACTGGAGAGAATTTTTTGATGTCATAATTGTAAACGCAAGAAAACCAAAGTTTTTTACCGAACACTCGAGACCTTTAAGGTATGTAAATTTACTTATTTTTTTGACAACCGTTGCTACTATGTCAATATGACACTGCTTATTTTGCACTAACATGTTATTTAGACGGTAACAAAGACTACATACGTTTCAAAGAAGCTTAAAAAATTCATTCTTATTATCTGTATGGGGAAAACAAAATATTATAGCTTAACTGATGTAATTTAGCTTCTTCTTGTTCAGTGCTTTTTTTTTTATCTTTCTGTGTAAAAAACACACGTTTCACATTTATATAGAGCCTGCATAATGGCACAAAAAATAATTTAGGCGAAGTTATCATAATAGAGGCTCAGGTTTCAAATCCATTTCTATAAACACTAAATATGAAATTCAAATTACAGAATCTATGATGAGAAAATGCATACTCACACCTGGGACCGTGTTACTAAGCTGGAAAAGGGAGTTATTTATTATGAAGGAACAGTCAAAACATTGCAAAAGCTTACTGGTTGGTATGGACACAAAGTCTTGTATTTTGGAGACCATCCATACTCTGATTTAGCTGATGTTACATTGGAACATGGATGGAGGACAGGTGCTATAATTAATGAACTAACTGTATGTAGTTATTAACGATTCTTGTTGAGTATAATTAATTACTATCTCATCAATCATAGCACGAAATAGAAACACTAAATAATGATGATTTCAAAATGAGTGCTAATTGGCTACAAATGCTGACAAGTTTGATGGAGGATATTCAAGACCATGAAACTGTTGAATCTGAAGAGGCTCTGCAAAAATGGGCAAAAGAAAGGGATGGAATTAGGTAGGATAGCTTCTTGACAATCCAATTTATAAATAAATTGTAATAAAAAGTTTTCCATTTTTCAGATATAAAATGAAACAAATCTTCAACCCTCAATTCGGATCAGTCTTTAGGACATATCATAATCCGACATATTTTAGTAGACGATTATTCAGGTACTGATAATAAATATTTATATTATTTTCAAAAAAAAAAAATCAAGTTTTATTTGTATTCTTATTACTTTCTATTTGTCTAGATTTGCTGACATTTACACAAGTAAAATAACTAATCTCTTACATTATTCAGTAAAGGTATAAATATGTCTATTTTATTTAAATTATTTCTCAATGAAATACAGAACAATTACATTTATGAAAAATAGATTTATAAGCGTAATTTAATTTTATTTGCTTCAATGGGAATTTGTTTCTACAAATTATGTGCATTATTTTGTATATATACATAAATTCCCACTTGAATGTAATTCATATATATATTTCATTGTGCTGTTCAACTTATATTTTTTTAATTCCACTTTTATTTATTTAGCATACATTTTATCCCAGAAGAGGTGTGATGCCACATGAATATTTATCCTATTTCATGTAATCAAGAGATGTTTCAAATCAAAATATTTACATTTTAAGTAGCTGATTGCCATTTTCAATCGACATTAATTAAAGTTAAAGTGCTGATTCAAAAGTAAAAGTTCTATAGATTAAATGAGTTCCCATAGTTAAAGTTTTGATAATGAAATTTCTCAGTTTTTGTAAAGCATCTTCAAAACCGTAGAAGTAAACATTTTTTTACTGTACGATAACAAAACACGGGAAATGTAGGGTGAATTCCTAAGAGTTTCTTGTGAATTCTCATAAATTTATGTGAAATTTTCTTTTCTTTTTCATTCGAATCTTTTTGTTTTGCAAGTAAATATCTGTGCTTTTTATGTGTACTAAAGTCATACATGAAAGAATAAAGAGACAATAAAAGTTATATAAAATTTTTAAAGTTAATTTATGGTGTACAATTTACTATTTCATATTCTCCGTGATGTCATAAAGACATGAGCTTAGATAAATTTTCAAGATACAATTTTCTTCCTCATTTTGTGGAACCGAGTTACGTACGTTGAAATTAAAACAAGATTCTATTGTAAAATTTAAGAACTCAATAGATTTAAAGAAGGAAAAATTTATTGATTTATGCTTGCATGGGAAAATAGATCATAAAAGCTTTAGGTTATTTTAACCAAAGAAGTTGGGTTAATAACAGCAATATTAAATAATGTATAAAATAAATATAAATGCTTGTAACGAAGCCATAATATATGAAAAGAAGCTGCAACCACTTAATGGAAATAAAAAATGTTTGTTGCCATAAGCTACACTCGAACAAATATTTGTTTAAAATATATTTGTTTGGAAAGGTCTTATGCAATAACCTTCTGCCATTCAACAAAATTCAATAAGGTTTCAAATCAATTATTTTTTTAAATCACTCAGAATGACCAATTTGCGGAACATTTCACGAGAAGAAATAACAAAAAAAAAAGAAATTTTCTTAGTCAATTTTTGTTTTTCTGACACCTCCAGCTAAAAAGCCATGACAGAAATTTCTCGATGCTCTTATAATAAGCTTTTCAATCGAATTTTTTTTGATATGTAAGTAATTATTTTAAAGCTAATTTTGACGTAAATATTTTAATAAATTTTGATTAAAGGATCTGATTAATATTTTTCTTTGGAGATCATGTTGTCGACATCATCAGATTAAATTAGACAAATAAAAAAAAAAATATGATTTGCTTTGGAAGCAAAAAGTTTTTTATGCCTTTTTTTAAGATAGCATCGAAAATCCCATTGAATCATTGAAATTTTCTCTTTTTCATTTCATACATCAATTTTTCATTATTAGTCAGTCATAGAATGCTCATTTTTTAGTCATTCATTTCGTGCATAAACATTTCTCATTCCGCATGTTTGTTTTTTTTGCATCAATATCTTTCATCTGATATTCAAAATACAGCTTCACGTTTTGATAAAATTACATGATGGAATGCACATGTGACCCGAATAAAATATGTTCTTTATATCCACAAATAAATGCGGTGTTGACTTATGTTAGTGCATTTAGATTACATGTTTATTTAAAGACATTGTTCTGTTGATCCTTAAAGCAATTCCGAAGAGTAAGTCTGTAAAATGCTATGCGAAAATCATTGTTGTAGAATGCATATATGAACGGATTCATAGCTGAATTCAACCATCCTAGCCAAATCAGGGATGCCTCAAGAATTTCATTCCTCCACATACTGTCCTCTACCAAAAAAGGTTTACATATGTAATGGATGAAAAATGGTAACCACGATGCAATAAACGTAAAAATAACGATGCTATAAAAGATTAGAGAATATTAGGATAAAATGTAGTTAAAAAGTTTTTAAAACTGATCGACATTCACATGAAATTATCAATTAAAGAATATTAAATACAATAATTTTTATAGTTTGAAGTCGATTTACAAATAAATTTTACAAGTTGCTTGCAACCTTGCAAAATAGAAGTGTTTGAAATGCAAAATTTTGATTTAGGTTACATTTTCTTAACCTTTGTCATATAACATTAAAAAACATATCAAAATTTTCTATTTTTACATATGTGTTCGATTTTCAATATAATCATGCCTTACCATTTGAAATTATCACGATTTTCTTTGATCATATTTGTGTACAACATTGTTTTTTTTTTAAATGAGTTCATACCCTCATCAATCATTGTTCCTGCTTTGATTTCAATAAGGTTTTTGGAAGGTAATTTACTTCATATATAAAATTTATTTCTTCACATTTATAAGGAATGAGCTGTTACTTAATCATAAAATTCTGCTTAATTAACCTTTAATTTTCACAACTAAGTCGGAAATATGAAAATTGCAAACAAAAAAAAAACATTACAAAGACATTGGTCCAACAAGCATTATTGAGTTATTTATTTGAAAAGTTTATTTGAAAATAATATTAAGGACCTTGCGAATGATTTTCGCCAGTATGAGTAATGAAGAATATTTCGCAAAATGAATGTTTATAAAATATGAATAAAACTTTGCAGGCAATAAACTGAGCATGTGGATGTCATAACTTTGAATATTTTATAATTCTAAAGGACATAAGAAGGAAACCGAAGGAACCAAATAAGTTATTGCGAAAGTTTGGTGGAAAGACATCGTCAATCTGTTTGTTTATTAAAATAATAATGACCATTCAAAAAAGCATCCTTCATGGAAGCACTTTTAACATATGAACCTACTTAATAAATAACTTTAAATGTTGACTTAATGTTATATTCTTCCTTCCCAAAAGTAAGAATCCTTTTATAAATAAATAAATGTTACCTTAAAGTCTGAGCTGTTTTTGATTCTCGTTTAAGTGAGGAAATTCTGATTGGCACTTTTTTATTTATCTTTAGAGACGAATTTTCACATGATATTGGATGTAAATGTAAATTGTTTGAATGTTGATTAAAATGAACGGAATTCATCGCACGAATCGAAAATCCACTTTGACTAGAATTGCTTGTTGAATTTTGGATATTATTACGTAAAATCGACCGGGATTTTGCATACTCTAGAAGCTCATAAAGCGTTGTTTGTGGTGTCTCACTGAGTGTATTATTAAGTACAGAGTCTTTTGAACATTGTGGATAACTTGAGTCAATTTCTGATGTAATAAATTCATTCTCTACGTCAATTGCTCGTTCGCACGCCTGAAAATTTAAAAAGAAAACATTATTCATCTTCAACTCATGCAGCAAGATGAAATAATAGTGATACAAACCTCTGTTCTTGAGATGCGTGACTGACGAGATGTAAGAACACAGAATATTCTCGTGTAAACATATACCATAATTGACATTGGTATAAAAAAAGATCCAAGCGCACTATAAATTACCTATAAAAATAAATAGATAGATAAATATAAAAATGTTGAATAAAGACATCTTACATAGCCCATATTCTGATTATATCCACATTCATTTTCATCTTTTCTAATTCCTTGATCAAGCCTTTCAAAGAGAAAAGCAGAAATTAGAAAATTAATAATTCAATTGTACTTGAATAACTGCATAAGAGTAAAAAGTTCATTGACAGAATCAAATTTGAAGATTATTTTAAGATTTAGACATTTTCTTTTTCATCAATTTTCTAAATCAATCAATAAATTTAAAGCTTTGATTATTTAATGAGTTTGAATTTACGTAAGAGCATCTCAATAATTAAAAATTAAATGATACCATAATGTATGAAATAATCATTTATTTATACATTTATTTGGTATCGTGTGACTCTACAACATTTTTGATAAAATTAGCAAAGTTATAAATAAACATTTGTTGTGACTGTTTTTACCAACAAAAGTACAGATAAGGAGGTTGCAAAAGAAGGTTTAGAATTGAGATTTTTTTACATACGTAAATCACGGAGAGAAAAATGAAACGGCAATAAAATTTGTTCTATAAAAAATCAAGTCACAAATAAAATTTCAATTTAAATTACCATCCGAGGAATGGAGGACATGTTATTGCAATAGCTAGCACCCAGACAATGAAAATCATTACCATTGCTAACCTTTTTGAGCGTCGACGCTTTGAATAATTTAAAGGTTGCGTAACTGCTAAATATCTAAGAAGAAATAAAAAGAAAAGAATTAAAAAGATTGTGTGTTACATATTATACAGGATAGAGCTGTCAATAGACGATCTCTGAACGCGGCAATGGGCCCACGTGCACCGTGTAAGTAAGGAAGTAAGTGTTACACATTATTTAAATGACATGTTCACATTGAAGTCAAGTTGGCAGAAAATGTTTAAGGCAAGCATATCATATGCTGCATATTTTGTTCGTTGACTAAAAGTTCATAAGAATTGACTGTTTTTTTATTTTTAAAAACTGTTCAAGGAATTTCTTGGGAGTTGCACCAAAATATTCACAATATGATCCATTGTTACCTGTCAGATTTGTCATGTCTATTAAACAAGCTTTTTAAGATGAGTTTTCACGAACTTTTTTATAAGAATTGTAACTATGCAGGATTTTGAAAATTTATGTTTTTATAATATTTTTGATATGTTGAAACTTTTGCAACTCTGCATGCTTGTCAGGGTGTTTTTTTTAAATAAAAAAATTTGCAATATTTTTTTAAAAGAATAAAAGATTTAATTTAATCACAGATGATTAATAAGTTGTAACTTTTTTGAAAGGAGTTTGAAAATCATGTAAAATTATTTTACTCAAATTTTAGTAGTAAGCTAATGTCATAAATTAAAATCATAGATTATTGAACCAGATGCTTACAGAAATTCTTATGCAAATAAAATTGTTATTTGTTTGATTTAATTTAATGTGGCAAGTAAACAAAAAGCTATTATATAGGTTCTTCTTGAAAAAAGAACGAACAAAGGGGCCATTCACTTATTACGTAACGCTTTTAGGGGGAGGGGGGGTCTAAGATTTTGTTACGGTTCAAACAAGGAAATTTTTTTTTCATACAAATTTTGTTACGAGGGGGGGGGGGGGGGTCTAAGAAGTCATTTTTTTGCGTTACGTAATAAGTGAACAGTCCCAAAAGTTATCAAAAAGGAAAAAAAAAATTTGACATAACATTTTGATAAATTTCATTAAATGTGATGTTAATGCATTATTTCATGCTATATATATATAAAACATGCAAAGTCTTAAACTTGATAACATATCCTTCTTACTTTAATGTTCTTTTAATACTTATAAAGCCTATTCAACATTCATTACTGCATACGTATATCAAAAGATTAGATGAGGAGAGAAAGTAATTATTTTCTTTAATCAGCATCGAAATATCATGAAAAACAGAAGCGCTCTTTTCGTCAAAAACATTAATAATTTTTAAATTACTTCTAGGTAACACATAATAAACAAACCCCTTTAAATCTAATTAATAAAAAGAGTATTAGAGTTGACCAAGTTTTAAAGCAAAAAGACACTTTTTCAGCCAAGTGTCATTCACAATGATTTATTTTATGAAAAGGATCAAAACCTTAGATAATAGATAAATTAAAATTTGAACCGTTATGGAATTTAATTAATCATACTTAACAATGATTTGCGTGATAAAAATGAACAGCTTGGTAATGTGGATGAAATCGCTTGGAAAAAGCACTGACACAAAATTTACTTCGTTTGAAAATGTACTTGTGATTTTTTTTTCTTCTTCAAATGTTTAAGTTCAAATACTTAAAATAATTTGCATGACTTAAAGCACTTCGGAATCTTGAAAAAGATGTGTTGAATGTTAAAATCCATCAAATAAGCTTTTCAAGAGTTGAAGCTAAATGTATGGAGGTTAACCAACTATTTGTACTTTTCTTTTTATTCATATTTTCTTTAACTTCTTTTCCTGTTTATATTACACACCTGGTAAATTTGTAACATACATAAGTAGGGTTAAAACTTTTATTTATAGATTTACACATACAGTCAGATTATTTCCGTTACGTTACGAGTTGGATACAAAATTCATATGTAAGGATAACTAAATATTCTTGATAAAATATTACTGAACTCATAATTATCATTATTAGAATTAATTATACTTTTGCCAATATTCTATGCGTGATAAGTATAAAAATAGACAATAAAAAGGCAAATTAACATCTGGCTTTTTGCAAGTAATAAATGATACGATTTTTATCAAAGTCATTGGCGCCGATATATCAACTAGCTCTTTTTGTGACAAGCATAGTGTTCATTCATTAATCCATTCATTCATGAAATGAATATAAAGTGCTTTATTGTGTTCTTATGTAGCAGCTTTTTTGTTCCAAAAGAAATCAATGCAGTCTAGCAAAGATTTAATTCAAACATATATTCTTAAGAGCCTCTTAGCAGCTGATGATACTACTTAAAATGTTTCTTTCAGTCTTCTTTTTTGAAGAACAAATTTTCAAAGAAAACTCTTATAGCTTTATTTCTTCCTTTTTACAATCATTAGAAAACAAAAGAGTGGAAACAACAGAATTTTTTAAAAGAAAATAAGAGGAGTGTGGAGAATGATAGAAGAATGCATGGCTGGAGAACATATTTAAATAGAACAAGCCAGAATAAAAACATTTTATTTCATTCAAAAAAATTAAAGCAATTTGTATGGAAAGTGATAATAGGCAGTAAAAGAGGACATTAAAAAGTAAATGAAAGGAAGAAATTAATAAGGTTTGAAATTAATAAATATTTAAAAAAATTACCTGTCAATTGAAATCGCACATAAGCTTAAAATACTCGCTGTACATAGTAGAACATCTAAACTTATCCATATATCACATAAAATAATACCCAATGGCCACGAACCTATTTTTAATTAAAATTAAAAATTCAAGATTTTTCCATTAGAATAATTTATGAGAAAATAAGCCACCCACATTAGGTGTTTCATAACATTTAATAGATTACCAACAAGAAAATCAATCACGGCTGGAGGCATAACAAATATACCAACGAGCCAATCAGCAACAGCAAGACTTGTGACAAAGCAATTGGTTACTGTTCGTAGACGACGTGTTGTTATAACCGATAATATCACTAATGTGTTTCCGACTATAACAGTTATTATCAGCAGACAAAATAATGTGCAAAACAGAACTTTTGTCCATGACCAACTTTTATCAGTTTTCACAATATCACTTATATTATAATTCGTTGTGGATATATTCATTTCATCAGGATTTCAAAGAAAGCATTTCTCAGCATAGCTTATAAATTTTTTTTCAGGTTATGGCTTTGTCATTACTTTTTTTTCTCTGGAATAGCAAACAAAAATATAATTCATTTTTATTTAAAATTAGCATAATCATTTCCAAGTTTTTGGTTATTGAATTTATTACTTCAGTAACTTTATAGATTTCAAAACAAATTCTTTCATTTATTTTCATAATAATAACATTGAATATTGAATAACAAGGCAAGATAGATGCCTTAAAAAATATCTCCTACACACCAATCCTACAAAAATAATTAAAATTGTGTTTCTTTATATTTATCTCTATATTCCAAAACAATATAATGTCATATTATGGTTACAGAGTATGTTGGAGAAATTGCTTATGTCATTATAATTTAATGCTTATCTGTAAAGAACCGAAATGTTCACGCCTCAATCGCAAAAGGTAAATTAATAACTTTCAGTTCAAACAAACTAGGCTTTTTTTCTATATATGAACATGTATTATTCCGAATCCTTTAAAATAATAGCGATTTTGTTGTTGTATTTAACACACTTCTTGTTTATTTTATCTATAAAACTAAGGACCAAAATATGTACTAATTCATGAACCCTTCTTTCAACGACCTTTCGAACTATCAGAAACTTTTTAAATGTTAAATATTATTAAGTATTGTGAACTAAGTTTCGATAGGATTAATCTAAAATGTATCAACATAAATATTATAGTATGCCAAATATTTCTATCCCTCTTTACTCTTCTTATTCGAATATTTTTGTTTCCAAATTTACATAAAGCCTTCAGAAAGTTTTTCCATTTCTCTCATTTTTAAATTTTCCACACGTATCAATATTAAATAAATGATTTGCTTGACCTTTGTAACTCATGCAGTTGATATATAGGAATTTGAAATCATTTTATTGATGGAATTTTATTAACACCTTTGTGGAGAGTAAAATAATGTGTCTATAATAAAATTCATTTAAATAATGAATCACCATAAAAGTGGGTCTGTAAATCTTAAAGAAAAATCATCCAAGCAATTTAACATTATTGCTTAATAAAATACGAAAATATATCAAAAACTCAGTCAGGCTTCATGGAACAATATTTTAAGTTTTCATATCAACAAGAAGAATGTGCTAGTATGTCTTCCTAGAAGTACTAGTGTATGGAATATGCTCATTAATCTTCAAGAAACAACTTCTTTTATTTATTTTATCGTTTGCACGTCATATTTTAAGCGCATAAGTAAAAATCTGTTAGTTTGAGTGATGAAAGTATGAAATTTATAGGCTTGTTGTTTTTGAACTAGAAGTAAAAAAGGATTCTCAAAATTCAGCAGTAATATCAATTTCCTTTAAGGGATCTATAACTTTAAAATTAGTTTAATAATCCTTATTATAATAAATATATCCATATTTCACACTTATGCTATAGCTGAATGAAAAAATTTAAGGGAGCATTTTTTCTTGCTCTTTGGAAGTCATTATCATAAAATGAAGCGTTAATATACATTTCGTGAATTTCTTCATAAACTGAAATTATCAACGAAAATACTGCATACAGAATTTCTAGACTCTAATATCTTTAATCGATTCTGAGCGCTTCTTTTGTGTGTGTATGCTTTTGACATATATGTGTGTACAAAAACACAATATACTTTTTTATATACATTAAACGCAATTGGGGAGGAATGTAAATAGACGGGATACAGCTTTATGAATTGAGTTGCCGGTGACGTAAGCTTTCTACTTATATCCTCAATTCATAGCTTTTCTTCATTATTTTGGTGTGGCAATAAATGAAAATAGTCAATTTATATGACTTTGAAAGGCGGGTTTTTCATTACTTTTATGGTTAACAGTGTTTTGGTTGATTATAAAGACGTGAAAGTTGTTTAAAGGAAAGGAAGCAAGACAAACAAAAAAAAATTGACTCTTACGAAAGTGTTTGTAATTTTTTTTTTTGAATATTTTCCTATCAGCTTCATTCATAAAGCATATAATCAATTTTCGCTATCGAAGGAATAAATGAGACATCAATGACTAATTATTTGGAAATGCTGCTTTCAATCTGGAGAGCTTCAATACTCTCATACATTTTCCGAGGGAAATAATGTGTAAAAAAAACAATAGGAGACTAATAAAAGCATTAAACGTTCATACTAATGGAAACATTGTCAGCTACATTTAATTCTTTTCCTCTTCTCAACACAACATAATGAATCGCTTTAATACGAAACATGTTTGCTTTGTTGGTAAATGATTTATTATTTTGATATGATTATCAACGAGGAAACATGTATGATGCAAGCTCGGTATATCAGTCATTTCTTTTTAAAAGCTTAATTGAAAATTGCTCAATGCTGTGCGAAGAAAAATAAATTAAATTTAATTAGAATGATCTCCTTTATGTAGTTTTCCCACACCATGTGTTTGTAATTTTTATTTCGACTGCTGTGCAAACAAGCAGTTCATGTACAATCTTTTTATTTCTCCGCAAATTTTATTACATCCTCAGGATTATTATCCAAGAAAAGTTATTTGTTAATGTTTTTTTTTTTGAATGTGGAAAAATGTTCTCACAAGCTTAATCATCCAGTTAAATTGAGAAAAATTTTGTGTTTATACAATTTTGTATCCTTTTTGCGATTATAACTTTTTACCTAACGATTTCTTAATCTTCTTTCCCTCCTTGTTCATTAAAAATGCTTTCTCATTCAAACTAAGAGATTTTAAAAGCAAATAAAATGGAATGTGGGTTCTTTTAAATTCACTTTGAATGCTCAATTCATTTGAACCTTCTTTTGCATATTCTAATATTTATTCAAATTTTTGTTGAAACTTTTTCCTTGATTTCTCAATCAATTGCCTTGAACTCTTTCTTTATTCGTTCACAAACACCGTTTTAATTTAACAAAAATGTCATTTTATTATTATTAGTGGGAAGTGAATAGTGCAGCGAACATAACAGCAAAATTCTTAAATTGAAAATGACAAAACCACTGCACGGAATTTTATTTCTTCTTCTTATTATGATTTATCATCAACACCATCATTCATTCACAAGAATGGCAAATTTTTATCATAAAATATTTTCTTTTTCGGACTTTTTCAACTATAAGTGTAAACGCGACGAAAGCTGCGAAAAAACTGAGAAAATGTTTTTCGTATTGTGTACAAAACTGTGAATGAAAAGTCTCATACTGCATTTCAATATGATTTTCTCCTTTGTATGTTATTCTTTTCTATAGAAATTTATTATTTCAATGAGTCCCGTATTATTTTTATTTTCCTTTCTTTATTTTTTGTGACACATAAAAAACCATTGCCCTACATTAGATACACTGTCTATGCTTACAAACTTTCAAGGTCAAAAATAATCTTGTGATTTGCACGTGACTATCCAGTTATATTTTGAAAAATGATCATCATAATTAAGCTTAATGTGAGCTTTTGTGTGAATTTATTTTGTAAATTAAGCTATATAGCTGCTAGTATTTGTTTATAAATAAGTAAAACCCCTGGAATTTATAAAAAATCAATAGACCGCCTGGACTTCTATGTATCGTGACTAAAACATTTGAAAGCTCATGAAACATTTCTAATATAATACGCTTTGATTTTGAGAATATAATCATATTTAAAAGTTCTTATAATGAACAAAAAATATTCATTTTTAAAACTCTTGGACATATTTATTATGAGACGAATTTGATAGGAAATTGAATCAGATCAAATTATCCTATCGATTCTAATTGAATTATTGTCCAAAATATCCCTCGAAGAACAAAATAAATTATGATTTCAAATTTATATGATGAACAATAGAAGCTTTAACATCAAAGAAAATTATGGAAAAAGAAATTGAGAATTATTGAAATATTATTCTGAAAACGGATGTATAATGTCTGCTGACTTTGAGCAAATAAAAAGCATGTTTCAAGGTTCTTTGAATTTTCTAAAATTTTAATATAGGTTTTCAAGAGTTTGATGATACTTAAGACAGAATCAGATTCTTCCACTTATTAAATTATTACAAAAAGGCAATAAAAAGTTGAAAAGTTTAAACAGAAATAGTTTCGGGCTTATAAGTTTTGTAAAGGTTATTAAGTTATCCATATAATCTGAGCATATATGATGTTATCATTTAATTCAATTAATGTCATCTAAAATTTTCAACCAGTTTTAAAAGCTCAAATTATTTTTTAAAATGTTCACTTTTTCCAATAAGCTAAAGTTGTTCAATACTGATTTCTTTTAAATCATAGATGTTGATTTTAAGTGTTAATCATGATATCGATTATTTGTACCTGCAATACTTTAATTTAAAAAAAGACTCAGATGCAGATCTGATAGTTAAATGATGGAAGTTTTTCATCTGTCGGACCTTAAATCTGCCTGTTATATTACTGTTGATCCTTAATTGTAAAAAGAAGGGGAAGTAGTGATCAAAACTCAATAATAATAATAATTGAGTTGTTGCAATTCAATAAATGATTTGAATGCGTTCAAATCATTCCCACATAGTTTGTCAGTTTTTTGTGCTGAAACTTAAATTAAATAAAAAAAAACATACAACAATAAGGAGGAGAAAATGGAAAATTGTTTACTGTAATGCTTGACTCTTTTTATTATATAACTTAGCAATTTTTTATTTGTTCACAAACGTGGTTTGAATTGAATTAAAACTTTTAGTACATAGTAGTAATGCTATTCAATTTATTATAGGAATCAGGGATGTATTATTTTAGAAAGGTTTAATACCTAAGTTTGATTTCCATATTTTTTTTTTCTTTAACATTTTTTATCTTTGACAATGAAAGCTTTTTTGTTTTGTTTTACAAATTTTTATTCTCAATTATCCACTAAAAAAATTCGAACATTTATTCATTGTATTGTGAGTATGTGTATCTGTGCCTGCATATGTCTTATGTTTTATTATGTAAGTTTTTAATTAAACAGTAAGTTTTATATTTTTTAAACTAATTACTGAAAATCAAATGAGCTGGTTAAATCGGAAAATTATGCAGGTTTTGAAATAGCTATGCAATCTTCACAAAATTAATGATTTGCTTCCTTGAAAAGCCATGTAAAATTAAAATAACTTAAAATAATATTTAAAGTATTCTAGGTATCCTATTAAATTATTTAAGATAATTATGCGATTAAAATAATAATCGAAAAAAAATAATTTTTTTAAACGACAATGAATGCTTAAATACCATTTTCAGGAATCTTTTAGTTGCTAGCATAAGATGTTACTATCATCAGTATAATCCATAAAAATTAGCTCAGTCTTTGTAAAATGAGCATTTAGTAATGTTGATGTAAATTGAAATAGCTGTGGTCTCACACACTTTTAAATACTGTAAGATATTGTGAACATTTGTGTCCCCAAAACTGGTAAGAACCAAAAGAAAAATTAATTCCAACAAAAGATGTTATTTACTAAAGGAATTAAAAGTGCTATGTTTACGTTCTCATTTTTTAAGGATTTAACATGAAAGCGTTATGATTTTTTTTTCTTTTCATAGATTAAAGCAAACTAATGTCACACAAGACTAGATATGAAGCAATGTATCTAACGAAGATGCTGAAATTTCGCACTCCACTAAACAATATCTAACGGCGAACTAATAACTAAGGCTTATAAAATTTCACTTTTTTATCAATTTGTCTGTTTATAAAATTTGTCTGTGTAAATGTGTAGCTGTTTCGTTTCTTTCTTTTTTCATTAATTTTTTATTGCAAACCTTTTCTAAATGTTCTCAATAATCCTCAAACACTTTATCTAGAAAAGATGAAATTTTTATTTTATATTTTTTTTAAAGATTGTAGTATTTAGAAATAAGAAAGGAAAAGGAAAAATTCATTAGATGAGTGGCAGTTGCATTTATATTGCGTATGTGCTATAGTTTTGATACAGCAAACCTTAAAAATTCTGGTTTATAAGCACGCTTTCAAAGAAAAACTTCCTCCATCAAACTTTTTATGTTATTATGTAAAACTTTTTTTTTTCTTTATGAAACATAATTTTCTTCTTTTACTTATTACTTCCAAAAAATTTGTAGCCCCTGGACGGGATTCTTCCTTCTTATCGTGACTTTTATTACAAAAAATATTCATACTTTAGTTCAAAACTGGATGAAGATTCTTTTTTTCTTGTTGTTTGTTTGTTTTTTTTTTTATTGCATTTTTAAGTATCCTTGAATAGCAAAGAATGACGGAACTGTAACATGTTTTTTTTGTTTTTGTTTTTTGTAAAAGTGGCAAACTGTCATGTGAAGAAGCCAAATTAAAAATTCGTGGAAATAATAATTCAAAGCAAAAGCAACAAGATTCAATGCTTAAGGCAATTTCTAAAGTTAATACAATAAATATGAAGAAACGTAAAGCATGTGTTTTCAGTCAAATCTTTAATTGAGCAATCAAGCTTTTTGTTCAATTTTATGCCATCATTAGCGATCATTTAATATTCGCGAGATTATCGAGATCTTAAACCTGAGTCATAAATTTTATTCGATTGATGTCCATATTAGAATTTATTTCTTATAATCGCATTGACGCATTAAATGACAAAAAACTTTCAAGTCAATTTTGTGTTTCATAAAAAAATTTGGTTCATCCCTCGTAATTATCCATACATCCAATTTGTTTAATTTTTGATCCTACTATACCTATAATAGATCTTACAAAAAAATATTCTTTAATCAATTTCTTGCTTTTTATCAATTCAACAATCTATAAATGCTTTTGTTTTGTCTATAAAATTTTAATTTTTTCATAATCACACAAATAAAATAATTTTTGAAAAATAATTTAAAGCAGAATAACAACTGGAATAGAAATTAAAATTCACCCTAGCCGTACATGCCTATGTATTGCTAGAGATATTAACTTTAGTAATATTTTTTGGTAATTTCATACTTATGCTTTCTTTTCGTAACACGAATTTTCTTATCTAGCTCACCCTGTTGTTGTACATAAAAAGGAATTACTATATCTAAACGGCTTTTGGGATCCTATTTAGCCAGAATGTGAAAAAGAAAGATTCCAGATAACTTTAAGCCAAAACGTGCAAAATGTTAACTGGAAACGATTATCACATTTTCTGTTTCTGGTAAATTTCAAAAATGTGATGTCATTAAGGTCATTAATAATTTTTACATTCGAGTTTGTCGATATGAAATTTTTAAAAATTTGAATTTAATGACAACACTTTTTGAAATGTAGACTAGTGATATCATTTTTAAATTAATTTAATATTTTTCTTAAACATAATTAAAAAGTTGTAAATTATTGTGCACATTATGCACTTCAAATTCAATGCGCTTATTCACAAAACACCTCCAATTTGATGAATTTTTAATTTTTAGTATGAAGAATAGGCAGATAAAAAGGGATTATAAAGTTTTTCAATTACCAAAAGAAACTTTGTTCAAATTCAAATAATTTTCTCTTATTTACTTTTTGCGTATAATGAATTATTTTCAAAATTTAATTTTTTAATCTTTACCTATTACTTGAAGTAAATAATATTTAATTTAATGTCAATTTATTTTTGATCATCAGTGTTACTTCCACCCCAAAATCTATCAAAGCGATCACGCGCTTTATCAACTACCTCAATAGTTGCTGGATTTACAACACTTCTTGATGCAGTCCCACTAGGTGGAGAATTGATGCCAGGATCATCTAGACAACGAAGTGTTGATCCAGGAACTGGACGATCATATTGAGTTTTTTCCTGAGATGGTTTTAAAAGCTCTTCCCCAATTTTAGTAGCTTTGTCATCACTTTGACCCGTTTTAGGACTTCGATTGACTTAATGAATAAGAAGAAAATAAATAAATTAATCATGGTGATAAATTAAGTCATTGCATTAATTTATTTTACACTAACAGTCTGGTTTATCTTCTTCCCACAATTCAGGCGGAGCTGATTGAGGATGTTCTTGTGGTAATAATTTATTTGGCGCTTCCGAAGGCGTTGTAACCTATAAAACAAGTGAAGATAATTTTTATATTTAACAATCATTTTATTGTACCAAAAAATTATTTACCTTTAATTCACTGTGTGGTCGAACAATATTAGCATCACCTTCACTTCTAACATTTTGTGTAACAGTAAATGTTTTACCAGTATCAAGTGGAACTGTCCAAAAAACTGGATCTGGTGACCTCATAATCACAATTTGTTCTGGAGATTTCACACGTGTAGGTTCCGGTGGTGATTTTACAATTTGCTCAATTGATTCTGGTTGGAATATTTGAGGTGCACCATCAACTGCATTTTCATCTACTGTAATTAAAATTTAAAACACGCATTATAAATAAAAAAAAACATTTATCACCTGACGAATCTAACAGAGAAACCGAAAAGAAAAATATTCAAAAACTCTAACGTGATTCTTGTGTATCTATGCGAAAGTGAAACATGCTTTATGTAGACTAGTTGAGTCTTATAATAATATGTGTCTAAAGACTCGTTTGATTAAGAACATTAACTTGCTGAAAAGTAAGTAATTTCAACTTTAAGAACACACTTTAAAACTGAATCGGAATAACACAATAGGTAAATAATGAAACAAATCTAAGTTAATTAAAATAATAAAAACAGTCAGGAACAAAACACATTCATAAATTTCGCAAAATGACTTAAAATAACTAGACAACCATCAAAAACACTCATATTTATGGAAACACTTTTTAAACAATTATTATACATAATTCAAGCTTCTCGATAATTAAGATACATGATGTTAATTAAAATTCTAAAACTAAATCTAAATCAATTTAACTTTATCCAAAAAAAATTAAATCACATGTAACGTAAGAGACCTTTCAAATGCAAGCAACAAAATTTTCTCTTCTAAAAAGTTTTACAAGTAAAGAAGAAGTAATACACTGTAGCACTATTATCAATATGAATTTTATTCAGATAGCTTTTTCAATTTTCCAAACTTTATTTCTTGTTCTATGAATACCAATTTTATTAAATAATTCTTATTTCTCACACCAACCATAAGAAATGACCAGAAGAAAAATTCATAAGGTGCATTTGCAAGGTTTCCAGTAAATGAGATACAACACTGAACAAGCACAAGATAAACAATCGCTTAATTTGCAATTCCTAATGAATCTGTATAAAACTCAAGAATGGTTTAGCAAAAAACATTGAAGATCAATAATCTTATTAAGTACGGATCATTTGATGAAATATGGTGAAAATTTTTAGCTACTGATACCTTTTTTAAGATTTTAAGTACACATTTCATTATGATCCGAAAAGAGCCTTTTTCAGAATATTAATTAGATTCATCTTTAATTCATAAGTTTGTGTCTGCTAATAAATTAGCTTTTAATCGACAAGTTCTTATTAAAATAGGTACAAAAGATGTTTCTTTTTCAATGTTAAATGCTAAATTTGTGGTAATGTTTATAAAAGTAATTATGATTATGGATGGAAAGGATTACTAACTCATATGAGGGCATAATATGCAAAAAAATATAATTAATTCATTTAAATAAGTTGAAAAATAAAATATTAAAAGCAAAATTAATCAAAAAATGGTAATTTTCTGTTAAAGTGTGTGGCTTCATGAGTTTATATACATTTATATAAAAACTAAAGTCACTGGAGACATCTTGTATTTTAAAAAAATCTTTTTGAGTTTTTTTGTTGCAATTTTGATTGAAATTTTGAATTTTGAATTTCTGCAAAAATTACTTACTTTCCAGTGCTTTTTTCTTGTTGTATCGTTGACCATGCATCGAATTATCAGTTAATAATTGCCCATTGAAACTTGTCGGTCTCATATTTAATTTTATTTGTTTGTTTTGAATATTTTTGTTTTCAATGGTCTTGTTCGGTTGTATTTTTTTACTATCGCCAGTATTTTTATTAGTTTGTGTGTTACTATCTTTATTCTTATCAGTTTTATTACTAGTGGCAATAGTTTTATTAGTATTCTGATTAAGAGTTTTCTTAGTAGATGATTGTTGTGTGGGTGATGATGAATTTAAGGTATTATTATTAACTGAATGATGAATATTTAATGTTGATGGTTTTTGTCTAGCGCTAGGTAACGTACTACTTTTTGAACGTGAATGTTTTTTGTTTGTAGAGGATAGGGAAGCTGCTAGAAATATACAAATTTTTTTTGTTTTGGTTTACAAGTCTAATTAATTTTTTTTACGAATTTACTTAATTATTAAATTTTGTATCTTTCTAAACTAATTCTGTTGGCGATTAGTTAAAACTAATGCTTAATTTGGAGGATTGTTTTGGATAATTTTGTATATATCTTTACATTAAAGAATGAATATATGTGATCAGCGTTGTTACCCAAGCATCTGAAAAAGGAGGACATTTCAGACACCATCTAATAGAATTATATTTTTTGTCTCTGTTTAATGTGGAACAAAAAAAAAAATTACAATCGAATGTTTTTCTGTCAAGATAACAACACTGTTAATGATCATCAGTCTTAAGTATAAAGTCTTTTATAATACATGGTTGTCAAAAATGTGGTTTCAGAGTCTTTTTTCTAATTGAAAACATAAATTTTCATAATTTTTCTAAACTCTTTTAAAAGTTAAATGTGCTTGGTCATGATTTGAAACTAAGGACAATAATCCGATATTTCAGACATTTAAATTGAGAGAATATTTCATTTAAAAATTGAGTTTTAAGTAAAATAAATATGAGTTTGACTTGTTTTTTAAATCTTACTATTTTTTGGCTTTTCTAAAGCATGTATCAATATTTTAATTTTATAGAAAAAAAAGTTGGGTTTGTTCCAAAAAAATCCCCACTATAAAATAATAAAATTTGTGTAACGGACTTAAAATGTTATTTTTTGATTGAACTCTGTTCTAATGTTGAAATTAAAATAAATTAATTTGCTATTTTGTGTTAAAGACTTTTAAATTTCTAGTTTTGCCAATTTTTTACATTCTAATTTTGCCGGAGATTTTCATCTTAGGTAAATATATTTTATATAAATTAAAATTTTACAAAAATAATAAGAACAAAAATTAGAAATAGAAATTTTTCTGTCTAAACACGTATTATATAGAAAATAGATCAACGAAAATCTATAGGAAGTAAAGAGATTATATTGAAATATACATTAACAAGAAAGAGAAGGGCTAAAACATTTTATTGCAAAGTTTTCAGTACAGAACTTTTCAAAAAATGTAGACTAAGCTGAATCGTTTTGATTTCCAAAATTTAAATATAGAACCAATAGAACTCAATTTGTGTGGATCAATTTCAATTTTAAAAAAATTCAGCTGTAATCGTTAATCAAAAAATTTTAAAAGCAACACCAAACTATGTATAGGTGATGGAATACAATCAGCTATTCAAATTAGATCATTTGGATTGGTTAAGAATATTGTTTTGATTTGGATTGAATTTAAATTTGCGAATTTATGGACCGAAATATTTAACAAATGATCTTTTATTTGAGACTGAATTGCAACACTCCTTTACAATAAATAGAGATTGCAACTTTGATGTTTTCGTTCTCTTTCATGCTTTGATCATGCTATAAACTGCCTTATTCTTGTTTATATTTTGCCTCGATGCCTATTATTTTTCAATGTATTAAGAAGTATTTTTTTCAACATAATTGAAAATGGAACAAGCTTTAAATGTCCCCAAAAAAACAATGTTTTCTTGCTTTTGATCTTTTTTAATAATATTAAAAAATCTCATGAAATTAATGGAAATATTTTGCTTAATATAAAGGAAAATTAAAATAAAAAATTTACAATAATAATAATGTCATTATTGTTTATTTTATTTTCTTTCTAATCAATAACTTACTTTGTCTCGCATGATGATCTGCTCCAGCCGTTGGAGTCGAGACGGGGGTTTTCTTGTTGTGCGCTTTAGCAGATGACGATGCAGTCGAGGCAGTAATAGAAGCACTCATTGGTTTGGGTTGTTTCTTTGGTGAGCCTTCAGAAACTGTCGGTCCAACAGATTGAGAGCGTCCCACTAAAATGAAATAAATTTGTTTTAATAAAAATATGACAAATCCTAAGACTAAGAATTTATTTGTGTTGAGCTTTTAGGCATAAAAAGTTACAAAACATTCTTGAAAGTCCATGTGATGAAATTACAATAGTTCATTAAAGTTCATGATAAATTTACCTTTAGAAATTTTCTTGGGACTCTTTTGAGGACTTCCTTTCAATGGACTACCATGACGAGAGCTGCTAAAAGTTTTCTGAGGACTTCCTCTTGATGGGCTACCCGTTTTAGAACGTGGCAATGTTGGCATTAATTTTTCACGAGTTGGAGATGGGATTAAAGCACCTTCTTCAACATCTGCTGTGATAAAGAATTAAGAAAAAGTTCAAAATATTGTTAAATAATAATATATTATCTGTTTTACCTGAACCTGTAGTACGTTCCAAATGATGACGAATGTTATCTCGTCTGAATCGACCAAACAAATTTCCATCAGTTGCAGTTCTATTGTCAATCAGTCTTGCTGATCCAGGAATGCGTCGAGATGGCTTAGTTGGTGAACTTTTGATTTTATTCTCTCTATCTTTATCTTCCTTCGTAATAGGTTGTTTGATTGAGGAAGCTAACGATAATGCACTTAATGAGCTTCTACGAGATACTTCCTTCCACAAGTCTTGTTGCTTTTTATATAATTCGCGGGATGTTTCGCCACACCATCCTCGATTCTATAAAATTACAACAAATAAATATGTTTATATGCTTTGAAGATCCGATGATTTAATTTACCCTGTATTCGCCAGCTTTCTTTCTCAACTCAATAACTTCTTTATACCAAGAGGGGTCATAAGTAGATCCATTTACGACTACTTTATTGTCAACCTTATTTAATGTTTCATGCTCAAAACCATACTTTTCCTTTTCACTGTGAAAAGCTGATTTGAAATTTTTTCTATATTCATTCTGAATGTCTTTCCTAAAATAGTTAAAATCATTTTATTACAAATAATAGTTTGAATAAGGATTATTAAGCATTATTCACTTTTCATGTGTTGTTGCTGCGTCAACCGTATCACAAACAAGCGGTTCAAGTTCATGATCCGTTGCTACAATAAATGAGAAAATGATGAGATTTTATTAGAATAAATTTAAAGCTTTTCAAATAAAAATTTAAAAGAAGAAAGCAGAGAAGATTAAGTGACATTTTCTCGATAATTTCTGCTTTCTTGATTTACTAATATTATAAAAAGGCATTTTTAAAATCTTGGAAATTTAAAACTTTTAATTCAAAACTGATTCAAATATGCCTTTTTACTTGAAATATCCTTAATATATCCAAATGTGTTTTAGGAAAATTCAGAAAGGTTTTTTTTTAAAAAACAAATATATAATCAATTAAAATTTGTAATTAGAAGAATTTAGCCAAAATAAGTATAAAATCTTTGGATAAGTTTCGTTACTTCATATCATACAAAGTTAAATGTGTGTCTCAAGTCATGTTTCTAAAAGTTTATAAATTCATTTTTTAAATAGTTTTTCACATTGATACGGCACATTTAACTTCAAAATAAATCAATAATATTAATTATTTTAGAGTATATTAGCAAGTTTATGTGCAATATTTTAAACATATTAATTATTTTATTATTAAAAGATTTTAGATTTATAAAAATGTTTAATAAATTTTTGACTCATTTATTGAAATTTTTGAAGTGATCTTAAACTTTCTAATATATTCTAAAAGATGAAAAATTAACTGGATGTTTTCGGATAAATTATTATCATTTCAATACGAAAGTAAATTTCAAATTGCTGTTATCATTTGATCAACTTAGCTCTTCTGTACTTTGAATTATCATAAAGTTATTTTTTGGTTCAACTAAATGCAAAAGAAGTTGCTGCTTAATACAATGCAAAGATGAGATGGGATGATGGAAATAAAAAGACAAATGTTAAAGATTTTTGAATAGGTAACATTTTTAGGGATTTAGAACAAAACTGACAAATTTAGTTCAATTAATTTTTTTAAGGTTTTAAAATTGTTTCAATGGAAAATTTTGTTATCAATTTGCCAGTTCTGTCAATAATTTTGTGTGTGGTATGAAAGTGTATTATTTGTTTCAAAATTAAAGTTCAAGAATTATAAAATTAAACAGAGTATTTCAGGGAAATTGATTTTCAGATAGAAAAAAACTCTCATTATGAAAATTAAGATTATTATGTCTTTATCATAATATTGTAATATTCAACTACAAAAAGGATGATCTTGTTGGGTACAAAAAAGTTTGATAAGACTTGAGTCTTTAAGAAATTAAGGACTGAAGGAAACGAACCATTAAAATTCAAATCAAAGCAATTATAAGTTAACAAAATCAGCAAATATGAATATTTTGTAATTATAAATTCACGGTAAATCTTTTTTCAAAATTACAGATTAAATTTTACTGTCCAAAAATTGACAAAATTTTGGACTTTATCTTTAAAATAGCTCTTAGCTCAAAAAAAATTAAAAGTTTTGAAAACTTTAATGGCTCTATAAATGACTGAAGTAATGTAAAAAAATGATTCATGTGCATAAATAAATTAAAGTTCAAAGATAATTTAAAAATGGTAAGCGAAAGATGGAGGAAATGCGGATATATAAGAAATTAGAAATGAAAAATATTTAAAAAAATTTTGCATATTTTTCGTAATACTAATAAGTGAAAATTATTATCAACTAGTTGAAAAAATATTAACTTAATTATACAAATATATTTTATTTAGCGACATTAAGTCGCACCTTCTTTTTCATTAGTTGTACGCTTTTTATGTATGCCAGCTAAAGTGTTTGCCTGCGCTGATTTTATTGCGCCCATTGATTGCGATTTTTTTGGGGGGTCTAATACGTGAGCATCATTATTAGCTACCCCCTTCACTTTTCGCACAGTGGGCCACACAAATTGCAAACGATACTCTGTGCTCAATTTCGATATTGTTTTTCTGAATATCCCACTTGACTCACCCGCCTATAGAACCATTAATTTGGTTCCATTTAAGAGAAAGAAAGAAAAGAGAGAAAAAGAAAAATATTTTTTTATTACTTACTCATTAAGAAATACGATTTTCATTAGTTATAATAGTTTATTATATTTAAACAAAGGTATGCCAACGCTGCAATAAAGCAACGCTACATCAATTCATTTCCCGAATGACACATGAATGAGCACAGCTAATACATTTTCTAAAGCTGTCATAATTGTCATCTATATGTCATTAAGGTTTATAACACAATAAATATGATACAAAATAAGCATGTAAAATGTTTAAAAATAAAATTTGAGCATGTACAAAAAATCAAAATGAAAGCTATATATTTTATATATATATATATATATATATATATATATATATATATATATAAAGATAATAAAGATGAGGAAACTATAACCGGCTATAACCTTAGAATTTTTTTTATGCTAATAGAAAATTTGTGTTAGTATCGATTCATTTTCATGAAGGTATGCACTATCTGCGAATTTCCACTCGCTTAACCACGGTTTAGATATTTATGTTCATGTTTTGCTATAGCAAATGTAAATGATATATATGTGTTGATTATGTACAATATGAATTACTTTTGTGTAATGTTGTGTATATAACGTACATTTATCTCGATAAAAACCATCAAATATTTTGGATAAGTACATTCACATTATGCGTAAGCTTAAATTATTAATCAGAAAATTCAGCTAAAAAAGATATACCTTTTCCATGGTTTGTCTTGCTTCCACGTTATTTTCCATTACACAACGACCATTAGCTAGTGGAGGACCTTCTGATTTGCTACGACGTGTTGGAGTGCCGTTACGATCTCCAGACTGCAAAAAATTAAAATGAATACATAAAAGAATTCAAAAACATCACTGATTAAAAACAAAACAGGTTAAATTTTTGTGGATTCATCTATTACTGAGGTTCAATTATTTGTAAAAAGAGACCATGCGGCATTTTTTATAATAAATTGATTATCTTTTCTTTACTAAAGTTACGGAATTGGAATATTATCAATCTCATGCATAATTTATAATCATACATCCCTTCCATAAAAAAATACCATAAACTTAATCAAAGTAAAATTTTTTTTGCTTCAAGGTTCCTCTTCATAATTTAATTTATTACCTACATAAATGTAAGATCTTTTTTCTCTACACAGGAAAATTAAATTTCAATTAATTATTCTAATAACAAAAGAAATAATTAAGATACAAAAATACAAATAATTGACAATAATGAACAATAATTTCTCTCTCTTAGAAGTGGGACTTTAAATTTTGTAATAAAAGAAGTAAGTATATTAAAGAACTATTTTTTAAAATGACTGGTAATGACCGCAAAACAGAAACAACGTGGTAAAAAATACGTTTAATTTTACTTTTGACTCAAAATCAAACAAAATATAAATATGATAAGTATTCATTTTAATTTTCGCAGGAATGGAAAGTCAAATTTTAAGTCATTTTAAAGAAACTCAATAAATTTAAAAACACACACAAATTTACAGCCTTTAACGCTTTCAATTCCAATTCAAATGATCAGATGTTTATCCTCACAAGCACAAGCAGTTCAAAAATTTTTCTATCTTCCTTTTAGTTTTTTTTATATTCTTACTTTTCCTGTCCCACAAATTTTCATACTTTATGCTTGAAGAAATTTTGCGAATCGTATGACCTTAAGTTTTCGCATTTAACCATCTTGGTATACACTTGGTATACACATTCTATACAAAATAAATAACTTGTAAATAGCAACTTCGATAATACATAAATCTAAAAAAAGTAACACCATAAAGTAAGACAAAAAAATATTTCGTTCAAAAATACACACATATCCTACATAGCACGAAATAAATGAATCAAAAGAAAACAAAAAAGCTTACCCGGGCACGAGTAATGTTAGATGAATCAGTTCTATCGGCATCGTGATCAACTATAAATTCGTGATGTCGGTAAGCAAGTTCAGGGCATTTTTTTCGGCGAGGTAAAGGTGGCTCATTAATGGGGGCTTTTATGACTAAACAAATTTGAAAGAGAATTTAAAGAGCAAACAGAAGAAAATTTGAAAGGTTTTTATAATAATTGTGATGCACAGCGTGAAAAACGATATGCTTAAAACGTTAGTTAAATATAATACAGTTTCAATTATTCCGAATTGATTTTATGTAAATGAAGCTATTTAAAGGTAATAATTTAGCATTCTGCAGCAATTAATGGACTAGATTTTCACAGTGTTGTATAATGATGATGATGATTGTGATGTTGATTATGCGTTTCTTTTTCTAAAGACTTGTAAAAACCATCATAAAAGTGAATTATTGACTAAATCTTCATAGATGCTTTTAAACCACATAAATCATAACAACGTATAATCATCATCGATATCATCAGATGTTTTTATGATATAAGATAATATAATTTACATGTTCGAGCTTTTTTCTCTTAATAGATTTTACTATATAAATTCACCTTCAGAATGTTTTTCATCCTCTGTTGATTTAGAGAAAAAGTGATCCTTTGAGCTAGCTGCAGATTCAATAAAAAAAAAATCGAACGAATGGGATGTAAAATGTAAATCTGTTTTATTTTACATCGTTTATCATATTTTTTATTATTATAGATATAGAAAGCTCATTTGGTTGTTATATTTTTAGGATATTCACATTTCGGAATGTTGTAGAATTTTTCAAAATATTTATGACCTCAATATCAATAATATTAGCTTCAATAATATACACACATGAAATGAAAAAAAAGAGAGAAAGTGAAAATAGCCATTTTAAAACTTTTGACTTATTAGCTCATCCTATTTAAATTTGAAATGTAAAGCACTTCAATATGGATAACGCATTTATGCTGATGTGAAGGACAACATGATTATTTTGCAATATAAATTTCAATGAATCTTAATGCATTAAAATTATATTGAATGTTTTCGAACTTTTATATTATTTTTTTATTACAAAGCAGTGCTTATTTTCAGATTATGGATGGTTTAATGAAAATTTGGTAAATACAATCAACTCATAATCAAAATTTCACTTTCTCTCGGAATGTGCTACATAAAATGGAATACTGTACGATAAAAAAAGTTGAAAAGAAAATTTAATGACCAAAATTCTTACCAAATTGGTTAGGCATTGGAGGCTTACGAACAACTTCGGGGCCCGCTGAGAAATCATGCCAGCGGTATGTGCTTTTATATTCAGAATGAAGCTAAAAAGAGAAAAATGAAAATATATAAAATAAATTGATTTATCATCACTTTATACTTTTTATCTATTCTTAAGGATGGACAAATAGCAATTTTAAATTAAAATTCGTTTTTGATCCTCTGCTCATCACTTTTTCTTCATTCAATACCCATGCATTTATATGTTTGTTGTAACCCAATCCTCTTGCCAATTGTAGAATTATTCATTTATTTTCTCTCTTTTTTATGACCTTGCTTTAGAACTTTGCCTTTATCGATGCCAATAAATGTTTTCTTCCTACATTATTTTCTTCTCAAAACACCGATTGCAGCAGTGATTGCTTTGCACAAGTCATCTTTTTCTTTCGGAAAAACATACTGTAAGACTACCAATTTAGTAGAGGAAAAATATGTATTGATATACTACAAATGGCGTGAAGCAGTTTACTTCTTTTTCTTTTATATCGATTGACATTTTTACTTCTTTTACGATGATGACATTTATTGCTTAACATGAATGAAAGAGCATATTATTACCATACATTCTCTTTCACTGTCATGATTAAATTGTTAATTTCCTTTATAGCAACAAATTATTAAAATGTCAAAATAGTTTCTGTCGGCATTTTTTTTTAAAATGAATATAGACATGAATTTGAATAGACTTATTTTCCTTTTTACATGAAATTTTACAACAAAAAGCTCTAAAATTTTATTATGTTAATTTTATTTTTAAAAAGTTGAAAATAACCCGATGCTATTTCTTTCAGTTTGCACGTCGTCCATTCAACATGCATTGCATACAATTATTTTATCGGATTTACATACACACGAATAACGTGACTCGTCTTTTTTCCTCCAGTTTATTTATTTTTTTTTTGTACTGACTTTAAGTTATAGTGTCTGCAGAGTAATTTGTTCATGGCACTCGGAAGGAACTGAAGAAAATTAATGTGAATTTCAGCCTCACCCGATATTGATTTTCACAGAAAATTTTTTTTATATGCAGGCTGATTTCTTCTTCAGAAAAAAAAAATCATTATTTTTATTATGAAACACATGAAAATGTAGACGTCATAGACAATTGGGAACCCATTGTGATATAGAAAAGTGTGAAAATGACATAGAATATCTTTAAAAAATATATATCTAAAATTTGATAACATACCTTATCTAGAGGCATGGATGAAGGACAAGCGCGACAAAGGTTAAAAAATGTCCCAATCATGTAGGCAAGAGTTTTTTGCAATCTCCTTTACTATATGAAGTGGAAATAAATGTCAGAAAAGAGATCGTTTTCTAGAATTCCACAAACTGATCTGAACTTTTTAATATCACTAAAATTTTTCTTCTTCTTAAATAGCACAGGATTAAGAAGTTTGAATTTTTTTCTGGATGATTGCAGGATTCTTTTTTTTTTCACTTAGCCGAAATTATCGATTTTTCTCTACAGCATTTGATATTTTAGATTTCTCACGTATAGTTATGGAATTTCATAAGATTAATGAAGTATTTTAATAAGTTTGATTTTGAAAACACTCTTCCTCACTTCAAAGACATTTTCAATAGTATTTTTTGCAAAAAATATTATTAAATAAATTTTTTCAGCAGTTTCGTATCTTCACTTCTGAAAAATTTTCACAATTGGAAAATGGGAAGGATTTTCTAGGGTTCATTGCAAAGCATGTCGTTTATTTCAACAGTAAAGTTAAAGGATATCTTTAGTTTAAATCTTTTTCAACCGTTATGCATATTTTAAATTCATACTGAAATGATGACGTAATTCAAAGTTTTTGTGTTAACTGGTGTTAACTTCCAGTCTTTACTTTTTTAAAAAATTAATATTTTAAATAAACAAAAATTTTTTAATGTTTCAATTAAAATTAATTCTATATATTATTACATAGGTGAATAAAAAATATTTATGTATAACATTTATACAGTTTTTTCGAGCTAGCTAATAAAGTAGTTGTCAGTGATGTCAAAAATTCTAAACTCAATTAAAATTAAATTTTTGATTTAGCTAAAGTTGGAAGAATATTTTTAAAATTTAAACTTTACTAAATTTGAAGGTTTTGACAGAACTTTAATTTTTTAAAACAACTTCCGAGAATCATTACGAATTAATATTATTTCCATGAAAGTAAACAAAAGCTGTTTACATGTAACGTATTTTTTCCCTGCCGAATTTCTTTATTATATGTTGTATTTTTTCGGTCCATTCTTAGTTCTCAGCATAAATTGGTTGTGAGTGGATGTACTGAATTTTTGTCTTAGTGAAAAAAAAGGAGAGAGAAAATTTTCATAAAGATCTGTGCATAAACATAATAAATAATAACTGAACTCTATAATTATTAAAATAAAGGATAATTAAAAGAGAATTGAAAACTATTTGAAATTGTGAGTAGAATGGTTGATTTAATAGAATAAAATTTATTTGAAAAATAAAAAATAAAAGTAAAGAAAAATCAATAAAACTAGTGAATGCAAATTTATTAGAACAAAATATTATAAACAACAGATATCCTCCAAAAAAGTGGATCTAAAACATTAAAAAATTCAGTTAAAATAAAGTGCATGTTTTTGTAAAACATAGAAAAAAAACTAAGAATAATTCCTTTCTGAAAGGAATTAGCATTAAGAACATTTGAAAATATAAATCTTATTTTCCCAATAAGAAGATTGAACTCTTCATGTCTACAATTTTGTTTCAAAAAGAATTGATGTTTTTACCTGAAATTTTCTTCTCGTCAATTATTCATGCTGTAGTTACTTTTTAGGTCACTAAAATTATTGTGAATCTCACAATCACAATTCTAACAGGTCTAAAATTATGATATGCAATGTTTATTTTAAACAAATTTAGATCATCGACTATTTCTGTCTGTGCTTTACTTTTTATTTTCTCGTAAATAGAAAGCAAAACATGAAAGAAAAAAAAATCTTTTGTTCCGAAATCGTAAAATGTTGGTTAAAAGAATACAGTTATATTAAAGTTCTCGGTTTGTATTTGATGAGAGTACCCAGAGTGAATTAAATTATCTTGATTTTTTTTTTTTGTATAAAAAAGTCGAAGAAAAATAACCAGTATATTAAAATGATTGCATTAAAAAATGCAGATATTAAAAGAATTTACAGAATAAGATCGTTCTTGGAAAAGGCTGAAACAACAGTTACGTTTGAGTGCAAGTTTAAGTCTTTTCTGTTCTTTATATAATGGAGTATAAATCTTCTCGTGGTATTAAGATTCTACAGGCGATTAGAATTCAGTATTAACGTCATACGAAAGTGAATCAGTAGGTATTCTATTTCAAAATATTAAAAGTGAAAATGAAGAGCAAAATAAAATTCAAAAGTTTCATATTGCTTCAGATATATTCATCTCAAGGTCGTCTATAAAAAAAATTGGAAAATGTTTTCTTATTCATTTCTCCACATTTTATTTCTTTCGATTCTCGGCATTGAGATCTTTTGCTATTTCACTCTTTTTATTCGCCATAAGCACATCAATGAGAGAATTAATTCAATCGTTAATGATGTCTCATTGAATAGAATAAAAGGTCACTAAACTATGCTGGTTTTGACAATTTGATGAATTATTTACTTTACATTACAAAAATGCATTGCCGTATCTATTCAAAAACTTTCCATGAATAATTCACAAAGGTTTTTAAAAACAATTACTCTAGACACAAATAGGAATATATTGTTGGATTTATTATGCTCTTGAAACTCATCTGCTTCGGTTTCAGAACGTGACAATTTTTTTTTTAAAAAAATAAAGAAAATGCGATAAAAACAAAAAGTATGATGAGATGTCTGCTTTTTTTTATCTTATAGAAATATACAACAATACTTCAAACAACAGTAAGGCTAATGAACTAATTGTTGGAAAAAATTTGCATGCAAGAATGCTAACAATATTTAAAGTATTAAAATAACATCAGCAATTTTATTCCTTCAATTTATCTTCTTTCTTTTAAATGCAATGTAAGATGATTTCAAGTCTTTTTAACGAAAGTGTAATAAGCATACTTTTTAGATAATGCTGTATTATCTTTTACGAATTTTTATTTACTGCTATGTCGACGTTAAAGAAAACTTTTCAATTGAGGTAAAACATGCGAGCTGATATAGAATTTATACGCATTTTATCATACATCAATATAGGATATTGGAAAAAAATATCGTGCAGTTCAAATCGCCATCATGTTTAATGTAGCAATGAAAATACCTTTTAAAGACGTTTAAATGCATGAATGAAATCTCTTAATCTATAGCCCTCAAGCGGTTTTGAACAAGAAAAACATTTTTATCGAAAAGCGTTTTACTGCTACCTTTATTTTTACAAAAAATAAACCCGATTGATGGTTTACGACTCAAGATTTTACATGACCGTCACATGATTGATTCGCATGATTATTGAATCTTTTTTATAAAGCTAAAGAATTTTAGTGAATCGGAGTGAAAATTTCATTTATCGAGTTATTTGTAAAAGTCTTAGAGGTATCATATAATGGTGAATAGTGTATAATTATTTTGAAAAACGATGTTTATCGCCCGGGTTTTAAAAATATGCAATATCAAAAGCTATTTATATTAATGCAAGTTTATACTTGAAATCTTTTACCTTTATATACATGTATTTACTTGCATACCTTAAGATGAATAAAACTGAAATGCTCTTCTCAGAATTTCAGTCATGATTGACAATAATGAGTGAAAATAAGTTTAAATTGTTCTAAAGTTGAAAAAATGTCCGTCTGTAAGATTTATTTAATGAATCTTATCATCGAGTTTCAGAATTTTTTTTTCCAAAGTTAAGGTCACGTTCTTAAAATCAAATGCTTGAAATATTTTATTTTTAAATGGCATCGATATTTGAGCAAAAACTATTATCTTTAGCCCACCATGAATGATGATGAAGGCTAAGAATTTCCAAATGTAAAATGTCTTTAGATAAAATTCATTTCATCAAATCAAATAGCTTTTTAATTGCACTTTTATTCGGAGAAACTTATTTTTTAGTCTTATAAAAACAAAATGCTTGTGAGCAATACAGAGAAAGAGAGCAAGAAATTTATGAAATTGCTGTTTAATTAACCTGCAAATTTTTTCTTGGTTTTTTTTTTCTTTCTTCTACCGAAATTTTTCAATTGCTATGAAAGCATTTCATCTGCTTAGTAATTAAAAAAAATTTAATTTATTCTTTACGTGATGCCATGTGATATTCAACATACTATTGAGAATCCTCACTTCTTTTTACAATTTCTATTGAATTCACAATTATGATTATTGTTATATTTTTTTAATTCACTAATTTATAAGCTCAAATGATTTGAATTAAAGTAATCGAAATGATAGACATCGGTCATGATTTGTAATCGAAATGATTTATTTTGATCATTTAAAGTTAATATTATCATTTACTCAGCATATAATTTTTAAGAAAATTCTATATCCTGCTTGAATTGTTTTTTTTCTGTATCTGTTCAATAATAAATTTACAGTTTAAAATTTAATTCAGAAATTTTTCATTAAAATCATCCAAGACTAGAATATTTCAATTTTTTTAACAAATCCCAAGTTTTATCAGTTTTAAATAATAAAATGTTCTACCTGATAACATCAAAATATCATAAATCATGAAGATCACATGTCATAAATAAAAATTAATTATTTTTTTCATTAGCAACATCCATCAATATTTTTATAATGATCTTTCTGAATTGCTGAATTCGCTATGAAAAATATTTTTTTCTTCTTATAAAATATTTTGCTTTAATTCAATGACAACATGCATGTTATGCATATGTAACTATTCATAATTATCTTTCATTCGATTATATCATATAAGATGAAGCCAAACTTTTAATTTCACATTTTAAAGTATATTTAAATTTCTAATTATAGTAAAATTAAAGTCAAATAAGGTTGAAATGAAGCCTTATATTGCATTAAAGGAAATAGGGTGTATACTTTGTCATAAAATATCATTCTTTGTCATTACAAACTTTCTTAATTTCTAGACATTTATGCTTTATAAACATGAAAATACATGAATGTAACATTATATCATCAATTACCATGAACAAATGACAATTGTGCTCAACATCACCACAATATCTAACATGAAGATATGGCTTTTGATTACTCATTCCAATCCGTTCTTTAAATTTTAATTGTCTCAAATTCTATAGTCAAATATTTTTTTCAAATATTTATCAAATATGTACAGTTGTACATATATTCTATTAACCACTGCATGTTAATTCGAGATCACTTTATGAACTGACTTTTTTAGTCTACGTGAGTTGAAATTCATCTCATTTCTCTCCAAAAAATATTTGATTTTTACCCTCATCGAGTGAAACTGCTCTTTTTTAAAGTAAGAAAAACGAAAGTGCAAAAAGAAATTTTGTTTTAAAAAAATCATTTCCAATAACTTATTAAAGACTCATCTCGAAGAAGGTGGTATGCTTTTAATGTGATATACGCATAACGTCACTTTTAATAAGTTTAAAACCATTAGCCACATAAATAAATGAATAATACAGACACGTGTAATATTATGTAATTTAATTACAATTCATTATTACATTTTTTTCGATACATATCTAAAAATTTGAATCACCTTTGTTCATTTTGATTCAAAAATATAACATAATAATTTTACACGCGATATTTGTTAACTTATTCGTTCATACTTGTTTTTGATATGTGATATATCTGTAATTTAAATCAGATTTTGTCACGTGTACAAGACTTTTACATTTCATTAAACTTTAGTCATGTGTCACAAAATCAATGTGACATTTCAATCTATTTTAATTACATCTCACTTTTGGTTTATTAAGCATTAGAATGTAATCAATGGTTACAGTAAATTGGAGTTGATTGAATTTGTTTATTATTGATTTAAACTTTTTAAACGTTGCCCATCATTCCATTACAATTCATTACAAGAGTCATGAACAAAAAATTAAATGATTAAGAATTACCCAATTTTATAAATTTTGACAAAGCAAAAAAAAACTCTATGGCAATGTTTCGACTCTATGTCGGGAATTTTATGCAATATTAACACAAACTTAAAACAAAAATATCAAAAACTTATTTTCATCAAATCTTTTTTTTCAACAGGCTGCTAAAGTACCCGTGAAAATGTTAGGAAACAAAATTTTTTAGATCCGTTGGATGAAAAACCATCAGCGAAAGTATATTGAATTATGCAGGAGTAGAAACATCAACCAATTTTATTAATAAATAAATTCCCTCAACAAATTATTGTGGAGAAATTGACAAAAACAGGAAAGAAACATAGAATCACTCATACAAAAAAATAAATCAATTCGTTATCCAACATGACAATTAAGATATTTCGCCGAGGTTTTGCACGAATCGGCCTCATACTTGCCTTGATTGCTATTTTAGTATGTTTATATTACATTTCTACTTCAACATCTTCAAAAGATTTACATGCGAAGAGGTAAAATTATTTGCTTTTTATTTATCACATCAATTGATTGCAATCATAATTTTTTTTAATTCACAATAATAGCACTAAACTAGCATTATCAAACAATAAAACAAATTGGTCATCATGGTTAAATGCAAATAATATTAATTCTCATAAATCACAAAAACGAAAAGATGTTACTGATAACTCAGAAGAAGTTACATCGAATTGGGAGCAATGCCCAATTCTGGAAGAAGCAACGTCTGTAGATATAAATACCAAAGATGTTTTTTCAAAATTTGAATTTGAGCCAGATTGGATGAAAACAAAAGAATATTGGGATAAAGATTTTGAATCTCGTTATGAAAAGTTAATGAATGATCAACACAGGCAACCACTAAAAGTCATTCTTGTTCCTCATTCTCACAATGATCCTGGATGGTTGAAGACATTTGTAAATTATTTTCAATCTGATACTCGACAAATTTTAAATCTTGCCGTCACAAAATTGCCAGAATTCCAAAACATGACATTTATTTGGTCAGAAATCAGTTTTCTGAATTTATGGTGGGAACAGGCACATCCTTCAAGACAACGTGCTTTAAAAAAGCTCGTTGAAAAGGGTCAACTTGAAATAACTACTGGAGGATGGGTCATGACGGATGAAGCAAATGTTCATCTTTATGCAATGCTAGATCAGCTGATTGAAGGCCATCAATGGGTCAAAACAAATCTAAATTTTATTCCTAAAAGTGGCTGGAGTATTGACCCATTTGGTCATGGTAGCACAGTTCCTTATCTTCTTGCATCCAGTGGTTTTGAGGGAACAATCATTCAAAGAATTCACTATAGTTGGAAGCAGGTATGAAAATGAAAATTTAATCTTGTTGCTTCATCAAATGCATTTTTTATTACAGTGGTTTGCAAAAAATCAGGCAAGCGATTTTCTTTGGAAACCATATTGGAATTCTGATAAGAGTAAACATAATTCGATGCTTACACATAATATGCCATTCGACATATATAGCATTAAGCACAGTTGTGGTCCTCATCCATTTCTTTGCTTGAGTTTTGATTTCCGAAAAATCCCTGGTGAATATACAGAATATTCAATTAAAGCACAGTTTATAACAGATGAAAATGTACAGCAAAAGGCTGATTTATTAATGGAGCAATATACACGAACAGCTTCACTATTTAAACATAACGTAGCCTTAATTCCTATCGGTGACGATTTTCGTTACAATCACGAAAAGGAATTTAATCAACAATATGAGAATTATAAAAAGTTGATAGATTATATTAATGCAAACAGTGCTACCCGATATCGCAATGCAACGTTACAATTCGGAACACCAATTGATTATTTTCGAGCGATTGAGGAGCGTCAAAAACATAAATTCCCACAACTTATTGGTGATTTTTTCGTCTATGCTGATATATTTAATGAAGGAAGACCAGCATATTGGAGTGGATATTTTACTACTCGACCATTTTACAAATTAATGAGCCGTGATTTAGAACACAACTTAAGGAGCTTAGAAATTTTATTTACATTAGCCTTTAACAAAGCACGTCAACACAATTTATCTAATGCTTATAAAGTGTATGAAAAGAATTACGAGAAAATTATTCAGGTAATAATCGTATGCCTTTACATTGTACAAAACATTAATAATTTTTATTTCATTTATTATCCAGGCTAGGAGAAATTTAGGATTGTTCCAGCATCATGATGCTATTACTGGAACATCAAAAGTACATGTAATGCGTGATTATCTAAATCGACTCTACGAGTCCATTCAAGATTCTGTGAAATTACAACAACAGACCATCGAAATGCTGATTCAAAAACCAAATTCAAATTTTCAACAAAATTTTATAATCAGTGAATTGGAAAGAGATAACTCTAATAGGTTACCAAGAAAAACAGCAAGTCAAGTCAAACCTGGCAAAAATGTTGACTTTGTGCTTTACAACTCACTAGCACAAGAGCGGATGGAAGTTGTTTTATTAAGAACCACAAAAAAGAATGTAAAAATTATTGATAGTAATGGAAATGTACTTCCATATCAAATTAATCCAGTTTTTAATATAACTGAGCATCCCGATACAATGGCGAGAAAGGTTGTTGTTTCCAAACGTGAATATGAAATCATGTTCATTGCAAAACTTCCGGCATTATCGCTAAGTACATTCACTCTTGCATATGAGAATAATACGAGGAGTAAAATGGCAACAATTTATTGTGAAGATTGTAAGGATGATGAAAAGGCAGAGCATCAAGAAGAACAAAAAGTTGAAGATTATTTCTTCAATATTAGAACAAAAGAGTCGGGTGATATTCAAGTTGAAAATATGAAAATGAAGTTACTATTTAGTGAATCAGGATTCCTAAAATCCATGACTCGTAGAGACTACGGCCGACCTATTCAAATGGCGATTAAATTTGGTGCTTACAAAAGTGCTCAGTTTCATTCAGGAGCTTATCTGTTTCGACCAGAATCAAGTGATCCTCGTTCAGCTGAGAAAGATGTTTTTGAAGGATATCGCGAGAAGAAAATATTAATAACGAGTGGTCCAATATCATCCGATGTAACTGTCATATATGGAGCTTTTATGGCACATACTGTTCGTATATTCAAAACTGACACCTATTTAGATACCGCAATATTTATTGAAAATGACATTGATTTTGAAAACCCACCGAAAAATCGTGAAACGGAAATGTTTATGAGATTCAATACAGCTATTGAGAATGGAGATGAACCAGAATTTTATAGTGATCTCAATGGTTTTCAATGGCAGCCAAGGAAAAAAGTATCACAAATAGGTATTGAAGGCAATTATTTTCCAATCACTACATCTGCATTTATACAAGATAAACAAATGAGATTAACTTTAATGACAACACATGCGCAAGGTGCTGCAAGCTTAGAGAATGGACAACTAGAAGTCATGTTGGACAGAAGAACTCTATATGATGATTACAGAGGTACTTATTCTAATAAATTTTAGTTAAATATTATATTAATAAAATTGAAATTGTCATTTTATAGGAATGGGCGAAGGGATTGTAGACTCTCGATTAACACGTCATCAATTTTGGGTGACACTTGAATTTTTCGACAACATCAATCGTCAAGAATCTGGTAGAAAAATCTATAATGTACCAAGTTTAATGGCTCAACAGTTAAGCAACTCATTAAACTATCCAGTGAATATTTATTTCATTGAAAAATATGATGAATCTCAGCAATTGTTGATTCAAAAGAATGTACAGCTTTTAAATTACAATCTTCCGTGCGATTTACATTTAGTAAATCTCAGGACTTTAACTGAAACAAACTTACCATTATTTCCTTCAAGATCTGCTTTATTAATATTTCAACGTTTCGGACATGATTGTCGACTATCTAATGATGGTGATAATGAATCATACTCAAAATCATGCTACCAACTTAATGGTAAATTCAGCAATATAGAATTATTTAAAGAAATTGAAATAGAAGAAATTCATCGAACAACTCTAACGGCGCTTAAATCATACGGCCCAGTTAAATCATTCTCCACCGATCAAATCGAATCAATGGAATTAAGAACATTCAATGTTACATTTGTATAACTTAACAAATTTCTCTTAATGAAAATATAGAAATGCAATTAGGTAAATTTATAAATCAATGATTTCATCATTAATAGATTTATTGTTGTAGATTTTTCCAAAATGATATTTTGCGTTGAGTACCTTAAACATTTTAAAAGATAAGTTTAGAAATCATTGGTCATTTATGTGCAAATTTTTACAGTATTTTCTATGCTTATTATTTATTAACTACAAGATGCAACGCCTTGTAGAAACCTCATTGTTTCATTGTCCTGTAAGAAAGCTTTAACAAAACTAATTCTTGCTCTCTTGATTTCCCTCTTAACTAGCTAGTATTTAATTTAATTTTTTAAATAGAAGTAATATTCAAAGAGTAAAAATGTGATGTTTATTTAATTTTTAATCTCATTAAATGATTATTAAAGGAATGTAAAATGACTTTTTTTTAGATAACGATATTTATCAGATTTTATTTGCAATCTGTGGAAGCATTCCTTAGACTGATGTGTATGTATGAATGTGAGGAAAATATTCAGAGATATTATAAGATTTTGTAAAAAGAATTTAAAAGTGTTGTATTAATTAAAATAAATATCGTCAATTGGCATTAGCTTATAGCCCATTTTTATGTTTCTCATCATATAGAATGGTAATGAGAATAGTTTGTAGATGAATCATTTTTGTTTTTAAATAGAAGAATTTCTAATAACCAAATTTTATATTTATGTGACATCACAATTCTTATACCTTACAAATTAGAGAACAATAAAATATCAAGTATCCAAAAGTTGAGTTTTAAAATCTTATTTTCTAGATTGGTGTTTACTCGACAAAGGATTTATTATCTTTGAAATGCATAACGGCAGTCTACTTTTAAACTTTGAACTAAGGAATTGGAATCAAGAAAGCCAATATTTACAAAACAACCCAAAGTTCAATTTTACACGATTCTCATTTCATCAAGCTTGATTGCAGTTTGTCTGGCTGTAATGATACTAAATTTAGTAAATATTAGGTAGATGTCATTGACTTATAATGTCGGTTTAAGGAGGTAGTGGGTCAAATATTTTATAACAATGAGAATCGTGGTCTAAAATTCTACTCTTAATAGTTGTTAAAAGTGAACATCCACAAATGACTCATCAAAAATTAATATATAGTAAATGCGCCTGCAACATCTCAACAGTCCGGTGATTTTTATAGTTTTTGAACTCAAAGAGAAACCTGTTTCGTTGAATTCATTTAAATTAACATTTTTTGTTTGGTAAGCATTTAGTTAAGAATCAGCACTCAAAATGGCTACAAAGGAATTCACTATCGCAGAAGTATCAGCGCACAATACACGCGATGACCTGTACATGATCATAGACGATAATGTTTATGATTTAACAAAGTTCGCAGCTGAAGTAAGTATTATATTAAAACATCAAATTTTAGAAATCAGTGTTAATGACCTCAATTTTTACATTTCTTTCCAAATTATTTAAAAACAGCATCCAGGTATGTTAAAATATTTTGAGACAGAAAAGTAGATTTCCAAATTAATATCAATGACTTGACCTTGATTATCTTCTTTTTTTTTTGATTAACTGTCAGTTGTGTAAAGTGCTGTTAAAATTGATTAGATAAATATTTAAGCATAAATTAATTGATTATTAATCTTGATAATTATTGGAAATTTTCACATTATTCAAGTTTATTAGTATATGTCAGTAGCTAACATGATATTCTATAGGTGGAGAGGAAATTCTTATTGAGTATGCAGGAAAAGAGACCACTGAATCTTTCAACGATATTGGTCACTCGCAAGATGCTAAAGAGCTTATGAAGAAATATCATATTGGTACAATCGTTGAAGCCGAACGAAAGAGCAACAAGTCAAAGAAAGAGGAAACAAAGAAGTAAGTTGTATGAATGTTGCTTAAATTACGTCATTAGTCTTAATGTGCTTAAAAGTGCATTATTTGTGCATTTCTGACGTAATTAGTGCAATACATGTTTTATATAGCGCTTTCTCACTTGCTTGTTTTTGAAATACATTTCCATTTTAGATCCTCAAATTCCTCAAGTTGGTTTAGTAGCATAAAGAACAAATTTTTTTGATTTATTATCTTTTTATAACTTCAATCCATCCATCTTTATATATTTTATACTCGTTTGCAATGACAATAATCGAATATTATTTTTTCTTTAAGTTACCACTTACAAGATCTATAGTTTTGATATTATAAGTTTTTAATATTTGCCGTTAATGTAATGAGTTTTTTAATGCATGAATTTCTTAATATTGATAATATTTTTAAAATTGTTACAGGATCGAATGTTGTTTAATAATATAAAAGAAATATAAAAATAATAATTTATGCTGAGTTTCAAAATCTTGCTGCATACTAAATCTTTGTAGTTTTTCAATCGAACATTTTATTCTTGCTCGTTTTCATTTATTAAAAATTCTCTAATAGTGGCTGATATAATCAAACAAACCAATTATTAATTACAGATGTTGTTGTTATTTAAAATATGCCGTGTCCGGAATTGCAATAGGCGTTGGTTTGGTAATTATTTATAGAGCATTAAAGTCAAAATAATTTATGTTAAAAAAAAATTTATGAGTACATCGCAATAAAGTATTTTCAAATAAACAAAAAACAATGTTTTAAAATTGCATTTTAAAATAAATTTAAATTAGAACTTGATTTCAGCTATAAATGTAATTTCAAAAAAACTAGAATCTAGACAATTACTACAAAAAAAGTTGAAATAAAAAATAAATTGTTGCATGCCGTTAAACAAAAGTGGATTATGTGCTTTTGGAGAATATTGTGTGTCACCAGTTTAAGTAAACAAACGCTTTGCAACATTACATAAAATTGAATAAGTTTCTATATAAATAAAGAAAAAAACAGGACAGTGTAATGATGCAGCCATGCACTGAAAAGATCTTCATTAATTTGAACACGCCGTCAGCATTTAATTTGCGTCAAAAAATTTTGGGAGATCAAAATGCAAATTTGCAGTATATTGTCAATGAGACAAAAGCTAGCATTTCATTGCGAGGTCGTGGATCAGGGTTCATTGAATCAACAACTGGATCGGAGTCGTCTGAGCCCATGCATCTTTATCTTGAACATCCAGTCATGAAAAGTTTAATCGAAGCAAAAAATTTAACAAGGAATTTACTCGAGACTGTCCAACAAGAACTTCAAGTCTTTCTACAGTCAAACCAAATATCTCCACAAAATGTACCACTTCAGCAACCTCCTCCAATTATTCAGGTAAGAAAAGATTTTCTATTTAAAGATAAAAGTTGCTGACATGATTGTTTTAAATTTTTAGAGTACTCAGTCTATAACGATACCATCAGCAATTTTATCAGTTCCTCCACCAAATATAATGCAGAATAATAATATGCAGCCAACGCACATTTTACAAAACCCCAACTTTATTCCTCAATCTCAAATAATCCCTCAGCAGATGCAAATAATACAACAAACTCCTTTAAATATGCCTCCACCAAATGGAATGAATTTACAGACTATAAGAACAGCTACTCCAATATCTGTACAATTTCAAGGTCAACCAAACATACAACTACAACCAACATCGCAACCTATCCTTGTCAATCAAATTAATCAAAATCCTGCTCAACAATACCAGCTTCAATATATTAATGCAAATCCTATTGGCAATTCTCAACCCCAAACTTTTCAGCATTTTATACAGCCTCAGCAGCAACTTCAAGGAATTATCCAACCCAATACGCAACAGTTTTTTACACTTCAAGGAAATACTGCTTTCATGCTTCCACCCCCCAACGTCAATCACCAAAATTTGGGAGCAATGCTTAATGTGCCCCCAATTACAATTAACCAAGATGATGTAGCAAAAAATGAAGCTAATAAAGGAAAAAATGAAGAAACGAGAAATGCAGCAAATCAACAACAATTACCAACTTCTTCAAGAACACTTATTAATCAGCCTCCTCCGCCTATTCAGCAATTTCTAGTAAACTCAAATCCATGGCCACAAAATCAGCAATTTCAACAAATGCCAATTCAAATTTTAACGCAACCTCAACAAACTATTAGAAGTGGAAATGAAATTCTAATTCAAAATACTGTTCCAACGGGTCAAGGTCAGCAGGTCATAACTGCATTTACCCCTCAACAAGGTCACCCAATCCAGCAAATTCAATTTTCTAATCCAAATATAATTTCTCAACCACCTCCATTGCCACCTCAAATTCAATTACAACATATTGATACGCAACAACAAACTCCACAGTCTGCATTATCGACAATTATACGTCCCAATCATTCAGTCATGAGTTATCAACAGCAGTTTGAACAGAAAGTTAATGTAAGGATAATTTTGTCTTCGTTTCTTGCTTAGTGTTTATTTATTTGTGACTTCAAATTTTAGCTAATGAATGAAAATCAACGAAGACCAATGAAAAGAAAGGGAGATGAACCAGAAGAAGATCCAAATAAATCATTTGCAAAAGTAGGAATGGGGTAAGTTTTCAACCTGTTCGACATGCTAATATTGAATTAATTGAAACTAAATGTTTAGTATTACATTTTTATATTGATTAATTGTAAAAATAATCTAATGATATCCTATAAGTAGCTGAAGAGAAGAAAAAGAACATCATAATCATTATTAGCTAATAATTTTTTTACAGTTCTTTAATCTATTTTTCACAACTGATGAGATGCCCTATTAAAGATGATTGATATTTTATTATTAATTTTTTATGCTTTTACATAATTTGACTATTAAATGTTTTTCATTTTATATCCTGATTCTATAAAACATGCTCTTTAATAAGAGTCAAAATCAGTTTTTCACGAACTTTTTTGCTTTGCAAATTTTCTTTTTCTTTAATTTTTTAAAACCAAAAAAATGTAAGATCAAGACATCAGTCCATTGCAAAAGAAAGCTTGTGAAATACTGACTTAGAAATTTAAGAAATTTTTTAAAATCAAGAATTTAAAAAGCTTTATCATTGCAACATGAACCATACAAATAATTTTCTTATAGCTCGATGACTAAAAACCGTCCTCCACAACCGATGCAAGCAAATCAGCAATTAATTACAGTTAACTCAAGCAACATTAGAATGATAACAAAACCAAATAGTACTAGTGCTGACAATTTTTCAGTTTTAAATAGTAAAAATAACAATAATAAACACATTTTTACTAAGGCCAACAGCACTACTTCAATTGCATCAAAAACAAATGTTTCGCAAGGTACATTTTAGCATTAAAGTCCAATGACGATAAAACAATTTTGAAATTTCTTAGACTTTTTGATAAACAAAACAAGTCTTATTTAGAATTAAGTTTATTAGATTTTAAGTTTAATTTTTAAAAACATCATTGATGCGTTCCTTGGACCAATGAACAACAAAGATAGAAAAGTCATCAAGTTTTGCTGTCATCAATTCCTGCATGCTTAATAATTGTTATTTATTTTTCTTAATTGGTCTCTATGTAAATCTAATTTAAAGGTACATTTTAAATGAAGACGTTTAACTTTATAACAAGCACCATTTATTCATTAGAAATAGACAATTCATAAAACTTAACAACAATTAATCAAGTTATTTTTTTGTAAATGTTCACATATCTAATTTTATTTAGAATTAAGTGGCTCTTTAAACCTTCATTGGACCTTACAATTTCAATATTTTATCAGTCATATCTAGAATTAAGTTGTTTAAAAATTAATTATTCCAACATTTCTACTTACATAAATGGATGAGTTTTTTAATATATCTTTTTTTTATTGAAAAATCAGCTGATTTAAAAGCAGGAAAGTCGACAATGGAGAAAAATGAAAATGACTTTACGGAAGTACCATCATCATCCACAACTGCATCGTTTCAAAATTTCGAACTACAACCTCAATTCATGGTATAATTTAAAATTTTTTCTAAACTGTGGACTATTAAACCTCCTTTTATGCTCATAACAGCAACCACCTCCGAATATTCAAATCAATCAACCACGAGGTATGTCTCCACACATGATGATGTATCAAACTCAACTTCCACCTCCTCCAATGCAACAACAGCAAGATTTTAGTGTTTTCCAGAACAACAGTAACTTTGTGCAGCCAATAAATGTGAATCGATTTAATGTCCCACGAATGATACTACAAATGAATGGATTAAATGACAATACAACAATGGTTGCAAATCCAAATTTCCCTCAACAACCACAACAACAGCATAGGTTCCGACCGCAATGGTAAAACAAATTATCATGGATCTGAAACAGCAGAGATCAGAAACAGATGTAAAAGATGGAAAGAATAAAACGAAACTTGAACTTTTTTGAATATTAATGTTTTCCGAACTTTAATTCAGTGGTGTTATCTGTTAATAATAAATAATTTAAATTCTTTTAAATTAATATTTAAAAGCGTAAATTTATTAGACTTGACAAAGTTATGCTTTAACTTAAATGGCAAGAAAGGTATTCTAGATAAAAATCTTTTATTCATTCATTTTCAATCAAGCATAGGTACAAAATATTAATTTACCATAAATTATAAAGAAAAGAAAGTATAGAAGTCACCGTTAAAGATGCTTATGGACAAAATAAACGCATTTTCTTGGCGTATTTCAGCTAATTCATGTTCAAGTTACATTCGGAAGCAAAGTGATCCAGTAGAAAATAAGTCATGTTTAGAACCAAAAACTTAGATCCAGTAGTATTCGAGTCATTCTCGCCAAATCTAAAATACAACAAATTTTTTTCGATGGTCTTGAACTGCACAACATTTTTGATTTATTTTTAAAAAAAATCTTAGAAGGGGAAGGGGGTTTTAGGACGTCGGTTTTTGCGTAACAATAAATGAATAGCTTCTCGTTTTCAAAATTTTTATTTATGTTTTAATCTCTAAATGCGTCTTTCGAACAACTTGATTTATTTACTGATGTGATACAAAAAAATTTAATATAAAGGTAGATGACAAGTAGGAATATCGTAAGATTTGCGGTATACTGTGGTATAATTCGGCATATGACATTCATTCTTGAAAATCTTGATTGGTCTTAAAACTTCTCGTCTGGCTGGAGTTATACAACAACTAGGGCAATTTGAGATTTTTGTGCAATTTGAAGGGTACTTTGGGATGTGTTTGATTCTTTGATATAATCTCTGGCAGGATGCGTCGCATGTTGAGTTACAAACAGGCTTACAATTGCAGCATTCATCAGGTAAATTACAATTGCATGAATAGCAGCATAAATCTTCACAAGTCTTGCAACATGTTGGTGGAGCGAAAGTGGAGAGATGATAAACTTCACAGCTTTCTTCACACTGTTCTCCAAGATCTTGTGGTGCTGTAAACTCCATTTTTCGGATGGTAATTTTTTTGGTTAACTTTGAAATTTTGAAATGAATAAGTTGATGAATAGAAATTCAAAGATTACATTGACACAATTTAACAAAGAAATTCTTAATTAATGCATCATTAATGTGTAGGTATCTTTTTAAAAACCAATAAAATAAATTCTGAGATTTTTCCAGAATGCCCAATTATGACCAAATTCATCATCGATTCACCATTCATACTTCAATCGTGAAGAAGGTCGTAATACTCAATTTAAAGCATTTTTTTGCACTTAATTAAATCAAAAACTTATTATTTGGTGTGTCGCGAAAAATTTTTGACTCAAAAGTGTCGAACATAAAAAATCTATAATTACTGATTACAAATTCTTTTAGAATATAGTAAAAAAATTTAATGCTTTGGTGTTAAATCTCAAACAAGAATATCAAGGAAGATTCTAAATTTTACGATGTGATTCTTCCACATGTTTGAAAAATTACACGTGAGAATTGTAAAAGCAGACGATTTTATTCATTTTTCCAATGCCATTTGAACACTAAAAATGTGATGCTGTTTTCGGAGCAACTTCTTGATTTATAAAACTACAAGATTTTTTTAAAAACTATTTTAATTTATTGTCAAAATTTATGTTGCTTCAATTGTTTTTGATTGCCTTAATTGAATGTTGAGGTTTTTCTTGACGTTGTTGATAAACTATTTACTATACACCTTTTGACATAAAATAAATTTATATTGTAATCTCTCATGTCAACCTTAAAGTCAAAATCTATACTTATACATAGCTGAAAACTAATGACAATGATATGTAAGAATGAAAAAAGAGAACCTGTGAAATGAAAATTTCAAGCATTTTTAAATCCTCTTCATATGCACGAAGATTATGTAACAGTTTGATATTCTTTGATCAGTTCTGGAAACTGAAGTTGTTCCTGAAAGTTTTCTTTTTTAAAAATAAAACTCGTATATTATAACCTACCGTATTATATAAGACCGCATGCAGCTCATTTTATCAAAATGACGAAAAACATAGAAGGAATCTTAAATATTTAAAGACTAATAAGAATAGAACTTGATCTTGCAAGTTTATTCTAAAACATTTATTCATCAACATTTTGATGAGAAGAAATAAAATTTAATTTCCAATCATACATCGTAAAATTTTTATCTTTTATGCAAATCGGAATTTTTGGTTGGCTGCTTCATTTCTAGAAAATAATATTGAAACTAAAAGATTGTCATTAAAGAGATGAACAAACCAGTGGTAATAAAAATAATAGCAATGAAATCAACGGATGCTATCTTCTATATCAAGAAATAACTACGATATTCTACAGTCTCCCTTTTAAATAAAGATTCCACGAGTTTTTCCTCAAGAACACATTGTCGGTCTTTTATATTCCATATTTAAAACATAAAAAAAATATTAAAATCGTAAGTATTAATAATAGGCATAATCTGAAAAGAGTATTGAAAAATCTGAAAAAAAAATAAGTCACGAAAATAATTTAATCTAAACAAAAAGAATTTAATTCTTTATTTCAATCTTATCGTTCCATTCCATAATACCAGATCTTCTTGTTGAGCCATTCCTTTCAAGCTTTACAATAACAATTTAGTATTTTAATTTAGCTAATAATTAACAACTTATTTCAAGCTACAAAGCATTTTAAGGACCTAATTAATTGACTACATAGAGATGCGGATAGAAGTAAATGCTTCCTTTGAATTTTGTTTTGTGGAAGCAAAAAAGTTTTTATGTGAATTTAATCTTTGTCTAGATATGTTTTGATCATTATTAATCTACGATCCAAAAATTGGATCATCTGAATTGTGCGTCTCAATTTAATTATGTATGGATGTAAAGTCACAACATAAATCAAATGTTACGAATTTCTAAATGTTTAAGCGTTAAATTTACTATATTTAGAATATGTTTAAACACAGAAACATGTTAAATTCACTCAATTAAGATTATTTTTCTGACTAGTTATCGTTGTTGTTTAAGTGATTTAATATGTTTCTGCTATGGCACATCTAAGTGTTCAATATAAAATGTGTTAAAGATGATTGTTGTAAAACTCTCGAAAAATTTCAATTTCGAGATTTAAATGCAAAATACAAGCATTTTTTTCATCAAAATTTAAAAGGACTTATAGTGAGAATCCCATCAAAGCAATTAAAGACATAACCATCATTAATGGAATTGAAATAAGTTTGGTTGACACTCCAAAGTTCTCAGTATATCCATGACCAGGAACGTAGATCAATGAACGACTGTTGAGAGGTTGAATATGACGATAATTGTGTTTCAATTCATGGCCTGAGTCATCGTGAACGGATTTAAATCGTTCGAGCTATTTCAGAAAAAAAAGTGACGATAAAAAAAAAATTTCGTGAACGTTCTTAAGTTAATCACGTTTTAGCAATAAATCAAAACTGTTAAAAACAAACCTGTTCAACTGATAAGGGTAAAGATTGATTAAAAACAGTCCATACAACTGCTTCACCACAACCTATTAAGATGAAATGAGTTCGATTAAGCTATTAATAATTAATCACGTTTAATCAAACCTGGTGTAGTCAAGGATCCTTCATATCTGAAGTATGTTTCTTTATTTTTTGGAAGTATTTCAGATAGGAGTAAATTGTCTTTGTATGTGGTGTTTGTTCCGGACGACTCAAAGACTCTGTGTGAGTTTTCAAGAATTTTCTCTACAACTGGATTTGGATCTTTTGTGACATGAAAAAGAATTCCGAGTACAGCAACACCGTTCTTCTCTTGAGCAGCTCTTTGAATTGTGTCATAACGTTTGTCATGATGAACCATGTGCAATTCGAGAGCATATCTGTAATTTTAAATTTTTCAAATCTTTTCTCATTTTTTTTAATAATTTATTACCTTCCGCCATTTATTGTATGTTCTGACGCCCAATGGAAGTGCATTTGATCAAATATATAATTTCCATTTAATCCACCGCCAGCAATAGAAATGGGACCAGGAACAGTACTGATTTGAACTAAATAAGGAAAGATAAATTCATATTATTTAATTTGTGTTGACACATGTTCATAATATATGCAGCATATATGACAATTAAATTGATTAATTCATAGTTTACTTCACAGGTGATAATGACATATTAATGTTTATTATATTGTTTATTATTCCGTCGTTATGATATTTTCGGACACACATTATAAGCTATGGGCTAAAGAATAAAAGTTATATAGATGCTATCACTAGGCAATAAAATAATTCTCCAACTTTAAATAAATGCTCATAAATGCGTGACATATCATCGTGACATGCTAAACTAAATGATGTTTTTGTGCAATATTCCATAATAACAGCTTTCTTGTGCTTTCTGTGGGTGCGTCGAAAAGGAAGCAGCACCAATGGGAGGTGAAAATACACGTAGCCTGAGTATAATATGTCATAGGACTTCCAAATTAAAATGACAACCAGAAAAATTATTTTAGGACAATGAGGCTTAAATTTGTTGAACTCTTTAGTTTTTAATGAATGAATTTTTTTTGCAACCGTAGAAAAATAATTTAATTCCTCGTATTTCATTCCGTGGCATTCAATTTGCAGAAAGATATATAGGTAATATTAAATTAAGCATTAATGGCATTAATAATGAAATCAAAGAATATTAACATAAGTTTCTCATTTCATTTGTAATAATAACCACTTATAATGCTTATTCTATAGCTTTGTATCAATATAATCGTGTTAAATATTCACCATTCAAACAAAAATAATGTCTAGTAAACAATTGTCATTTATGCCTTTAATGATAATAATAGTATGGTCAATCAAACATCTAAATTTGATGTCTACACAGTATAATTGTTTATTACTTACTTGAGTGACCATTGTTGATTACATTTGGATTTTTCATAGGTGCATCGTAATTATGGAAGATAAAGCTATTAAATTCTCCTCTAACCGAAGCGTCTACTGCTAAATCTACAGGAGACTGTCGTTTTCCACTCGAACATATACCACCCCAATCTTCGTCATCTGTAATATTAATTTTTGAAAATGAATTAATTTTCACATGGAAATAAGCATAAAAAATTGATTAAATTAAAAGGTAGCAAATTTTCATGATAGGAATTGACAGTCTTCAAAAAACCAAGTATTTTTTTCTATTTAAATATGTGAATTCAAAACGTGTGTTTCCTATGCTGAACTGTTTTGCTGACAACTTTTATTTTATGTTGCTTGTGGCTGATTTTCGGTGATAATTCATTGTAACGTTGAGGTTTTCGGATAGGTTACTTAATTTGGCAAATTATTATGACCATTTTGGCAGTTTTGTTTCAAAAAAATAGATTTATTTATTCACACTTTCATTTATTAAATTAATATCATTTGAATTGAATTTAAATTGTGTAGCATATTATATTTAATAATGACATTCATGCTCGTTCAGAATTAAGGGCAAGTTCATGAACTTTCTTGATAGACTCATTTTATGAGAAAAACATGCTTCAATCATCAATTTCAATAAGATTTATATTTTATTTTTAGAACATAAATATATTTCCGAAATTCTTCACATGTAAATAGTGACAAAAAATATTTATTTGTGTAAATTTTCAAACACTTTTGTTTTCCTTCTATGAAAATGTATAAGTACATACAGAATATATAAGTCGTTATTTTTGGCAACCAAAAGATTGAAAAGCACTAAAATATATCTTATTCCTCGTCATATGATGTCTCCGAGAGCAAATACTCTCATATATCATATCAGTCTGATTTTTCTTCTCAATAAATGTAATTTTGTATCATGAAGTAAATTGGTACGAATGAAATAAAATATGTCTTTAAATTCCACTTTAAAAGTCCTTTTAATCGTTCTTTATCAACTGCACATTTGTTATAATTAGTTTAATAACTGCAAAATTTATTTTTGTATCTTAAATAAATTTTTGCGAAACAAAAAACTTTAATAAAATGCACGTCGCGAATCTATTTTAAAAATCATCAGAAATCTCCCAATATAAAACTTTTAAACGGTATGTATAGCAAACAAGTGAATATGTCATAGCTGATTGACTTACGTTTTATGGAAATTTACCAAGAATTTTTTTTATTTCATACCTAACGTGAACTAAAAAGTCATCGTAATAAATTTGCTCAAATATTTATAATTGATGTCTATAAAAATCATAATAATAACTTATTTACTAATAAACATGTGAATCAACTCAGACTCAGACACAGATTTCATGTGGAGTACATAAATTCTTCAATCAAGAGGAGATGCTATCAAATAAATTATCAAAAATGTTCTTTAAATTTGATGATTATACTCATAAAACCAGTAAAAATTGCCTTTTTATCAATTAGCTTCAATTTGAATCGCGTATGTGACAAATAAACGTTGGCTTCAGCTAATTTTATTCAACACGCACGATGAATTTATGACCCCTCTTTTTGCCGACGATAACAAATTGGACCTCCAATTATTTGCACAAAAAAAATTACATAGTATTAGTGAGAAACATTCTTCCAAAACTCACATGGAATAAATACATAAACAGTAAGATGCATTATTAAGTTAAATGTCCAAATGTTCAAAAAAATGCATGTTTGGCATAAGATAAGATTCCGTAATAACAGAACTCAACATAATATCATGACAAATGGTTTATAAACATTTTAATCTATTTGATATTTCACTTGACCTTTGAATCTATATTGTAATGACATTATAATAAATTTTTATACATATATCTTCTTTACAAGCAGAATTTATTATATTAAATTTAATTTATGTCTCAAAACTTGTTATTTATGCGTAGATTTTTTTTTTCTGTTAAAATATTTCAACCATACCTGATAAAACTCCATTAGGCAATTCCTTTGGATAATGCCAGTCTGAGGCTACTAAACTAACAGTGAAATATGCTGTAAAGAAAAATTAAAATTAATTATAGTATGTATGTATTATTACTTTAGTAAATTACTGTTGCCAATATAAAGTCGAAATTTTTTCACGAAAATTTTTTGAATACTTAAATTTTAAGTCTTTCTTTGTATGCATTGCACGCAATGCAATTATAAATAACTTTACGGCAGTCGTAAAATTCATCCTTAAAAATTCCCGTTAGCAAATGTTTTAGCATGTTCACATGAAAAATGCTACAATTGAAATCAGAATAGTCGTAAAACAAAATCATTAAAATCACTTAAACAGTCTTTAGAATATTTAAATATACTTAAAATTAGGGGAGAAGTAGCTCTTTATTTATTTTCAGAATTGAAAAAAGAAGTCTAAAATTAGAAGAGAAGACAAATTTGAACCAAAAATAAAACATTTTTTAATGCAACCAAGTTTTCATGGTCTACATTAAAAACCCTCTCAATTTCCTTTAAATTTTAAATAGACTTAATTTAAGGTCAATAATCTCTATTCTTCATCAGTTCTACTAAGATTTCTATTTATGTAGTTTTCTTGTTCTATATTTGTATCTTTACTGAGTTTTAAAATGTTTTGCAGACTAGATCTTATTTTTTAAAAGCTTGAAAACGAAGTATGTTTTAGAAACAACCATGTGAATGATTTCTAAAGTTTAATTACAATGAAAAAGGTTGTTTAATTTTTTAATGGTTCTATACTTTGTAAAAGAAAATTAACGATGTTGAAAATAGTAAATCGAAATTTTAATTTGATAGTAAAGTATTTAAATTTTCTTTGAAACAAATTTTAAAGACTTTCGTCTGTTTTGATAATTTTTACAGGTGTAATTAAACTTTACGAGCGTTAAGACTAGTTTTGAATTTTGGAGTTATAGTCGGAATTCGGGGGTGACGAATTCAATATTTGATTTTTAAACTGCACCTATTGAGTCTTAATCTGAATCTTTAAAATTTTAATTTAATCTCATAAAAACACTGGCAATCGCCTCACTAGAAACAACAATTTATCAAAATTTTCACAATTGCTGTTTCCCGAGATTACATTCCCGAATAGACAAAGAGCGTGCTCACTTTTGTGAGCACGTTAATGAGCATGCTCAAAATCATCATTTAACGTGCTCACCTGAGCACACTCAGTTGAACATGCTTGTGAGCACATTGTGAATATGCTCACAAAAAAACAAATTTTTTGAAATTTTTTATTTTATTGAGCATGCTCGAGAGCATACTCAATTCCTAAATCTAAGCATGCTCACTTGAGTACACTCTTAAGCATACTCGTGAGCACATTGTGAATATGCTCACAAAAAAATTAATTTTTTTAAAATTTTTCATTTTATTGAGCATGCTCGAGAGCATACTCATTCTCGAGAGCATGCTCATGAGCATACTCAATTACCAAACTTAAGCATGCTCACTTGAGTACACTCTTAAGCATACTCGTGAGCACATTGTGAATATGCTCACAAAAAAAAACAATTTTTTTAATATTTCACATTTTATTGAGCATGCTCATGAGCATACTCAATTCTCAAATTTAAGCATGCTCACTCTTAAGCATACTCGTGAGCACATTGTAAATGTACTCTAAAAAAACATTTTTTTTAAAGATTTCACATTTTATTGAGCGTGCTCAAGAGCACATTTATTGAGCATACTCTGAGTATGCTCATGATTTTGTATATACTTCACAAGTCAAAGTTTCTAGAATTATATATAGTTATCTACTTTTTAACTATAAACATTGTTTAAAAACATTTTGAGATCAATTTCGAAGTATTTAACTTTGTTATAGTTTATATATGAGTTTTTGCCATAATAAATTATAAAGGTAAATTGCAGCAGTGGTGTAATGGTTATGGTAATGGTCTTAGCAACAGAGCGGTCGTAAGTTCGAATCCAGGTAAAATCCAAAATTTTCTTAAGTGTTTTTTTCAGATTATTAATGAACAAAATTTATTCTAGAACATTAAAAAACTCTACAACAGTAAAATATATCAAAAAAAATAATTTCAAAATTTAATTTTTTTGAAAATTATAAAATGATGTGAGTACACTCAGTGAGCATGCTCAGAGTACACTCACGAGCACACTCACTGAGTGTACTCAAATGTCACTTCATATGACATAAAAAATGTTGCATGTCACACAACAATTTGAGCATGCTCAAAATTTGTTAAAATAACGTGCTCAGAGCATGCTCAAAAAACGTGCTCATTAGCGTAAAGTAGTGGCATCACTTTTCGTATGAAAGAGCACGCTCACGCGAGCATGCTCAGCACTAAATTTGAGCGCGCTCATAGCGTGCTCTTTGTCTATTCGGGATTCTCATCTCATTTACAATTCAATTATGCGATGATAAAATGACACTTCCTTCAATCTTACAATTTTCATTCACTTTTTTTTCTTTCTCATATTCATCAGTTTAAAATTCCCATATATATAATATGTCAACAGCATGGTTGCAGTCGTTTTTAAGTTGAATGAAACAACGATAATCATAAATTAATCAATTACTTGTCCATTTCAACAATTATTTTTGATAAAGCAATAAAAACGACATTAATTGACATTTAATTGACACTAATGCTTGATACAGTAGACTAATTTACACACTTGAATGGAATATTATGATTCGGGATATTCTTTTGCTTACAAATGATCATCGTGATAAGATTAATGAAGTATCAAATATACCTCGTGGATTACAACGTCATGTATTGACAATAATCTTAATTAACAATTATAACCTTATTAATCTAGTGGACTGATTAAGCTTATGAATTTAATTTAAAGCTTATCAGATCTTCAAAGAGGTACACAGTTATTTACCTTTTGAAATTTATTACGTTCCAATTTTTTTCAAAAATTAATTTGTTCTTATCGGATTTTATGGATTATGGGGCATTTATAAATCATTGGAGAGTACTGTGACTTTAATATGTTCCTAATATGACAATTTAAAGAAAATGATTTATATCCCCTCAAATCACTCATTCGATAATTTTTTTTTTCATTCCTTCCTTTAAGTGCTTAGTTTTCCATCTGGATTTTGCAATTTAAAAACTAACTTTTGATCTAATGAAAGGGCCGTGAAGAACCACTTGATATGGCAGAAGAGCTTTTCAGTATATTCATTGACTTTGTCACTGAGATTTTTCATATTTGCTATCTTCAAGTGCTTCATTGTAGATAGCATTAATGAAGTCAGTTGAAGAAATAAATGAACAAAAGCAATTTACGTGTACAATTTATCTTAAGTACGTATTGATTCATCAGACAACTTGGACTAATGTTGATTGATTTCATTGACTTTATCGCATTTTTAGAGACAGTAATAAGGAAGGAATTAGCTGTCGAAAGTATTCGAGCCATAAGAAGTATTATTTTCTTATTAGTTCCAAAAATAGGATTAAAGGGTTAAATATAGCCTTTCTTATCATCAAGTGCTTTTTGCAGAAACGTTTTGCACTTAATCATCGGTATTAACTGATGGCATGTCGATAGCCCTCAAGTTGATTTATGGTATAATTACTCAAATCCAGTAGAAAATTGCAATAACTAATCACTAGATGATGAAAACAAAGTACAATTACAGATGAATAGACAAAGATATTATTTAATCAATTATAGTATGTCATTTACAAGTGTATTAATTGCTCAATATTGGAATGCTTAAGCCTGTCAAGTGACGCTATTAATTCCACTTAATGTTTTCTTGCTAATCATAGCTGGAATAATCTCTATTGGAAATTTGCAATTCGACATTAAAAATCCATTGCAACTTATCGTTTTTCTTTATAATAAGGAATTAATAAAATTAACTCAAAAGCTTTGTTTTTGCTACTTAATTTAACTTCTTGATGATCATAAAGATTAAAATCGATCGGAGTTGAATCTTTTATAATGTTTCAATTAAAGAATTTTAACATTATCGTTTCAGTTCTGTTGCGTCTTAAAAAATAAGTAAAATAGAAACTAGAAGCGTGAGAAAATCTTGCGAACTTTTCGATTCTTTTTTGTTGTCTTTTGCGAGCTTTTGAATACGTGATTTAACTTTTCGGATACACAACTTTTCACTTAAAACTTTCTGGAATTGAATGAATATAAATGCATTCATTATTAATCTAAGCGAAACATTACTTGAGACTTATTTTTATCAATTTGTCAATTTCTACAAATAAACATCATATTTATTTACAGAACAAAGTTTAAAAGTACTTCCTAAAGTGCATAATAAATACAATAAAAGATTTCATTTGAATACTCATTGTAAAATTGTCATAAATGATAGAACTACTTATGCACATGTATGTAAATGTTATCAATGTGTAATTATTTTGCAATTTTCTTCTACTTCATATCTATTGTCATGTCTTCTTCGAAACTTCCTAAATACTTATTGCATATAATTCTTTATAAATTGCATTAAAACGATTTTAAAATGCATATGTTGTCGTTGACAATATGATAAATATGTGAATTTTAGTTCTAGCATTAGCATGTACGTTGGAATTTTGGATTGTGCAATTTTTAAGCAGTCTAATTCACGAGTTTACAATATTGTGACAAGTTCAGAATTTTTATCACTTTTTAACACAACAAAGCGTATATTAATATCGCGAATCTTAATGAAGAAACTTATTGTCTTTTGATTGCTATCTGGGATGCATAAGTAATTTATAAAATATTTTCTATACGTTTCCTTATTTTTTTTTTAATTCAGTCAATCTCTGAAAATCTTTTCAACCAGACCAAATGTCAGATAGAGATAATAAAACTTCACTGTCGTTTGTATGCTGGTAACCATCTTGTGTTTTAACCTTTTAGCTTAATTTACTTTAATCAATATAAACGAACAACTATGACAGCTTTTGGTAACCGATACAAATTAAGAACAATAGTTATATTGTAATACTCAGACAAACTTAATTTTCAATGCATGTTATTGATAAATTTGTGATGAAACAGTTGCTGCAATCAAGCCATGCAGTAAATTTTTCACTTCTTCTACTTTAGTCTTATGATCAACTGCTAGCAATCCAAAATCAGAGCAAAATATATATCTTCATGTCAAAATTATTTGATATTACGATCGGAACAAGTACAATCAGTACGTTCTTAAAATTCATAAATATTTGAGAAAAATTTAAAAGTATAATCTTCAATTTTCATTTTTGGAAATAATTTTTCTGAGAAATTATTAAAATACTAAGTTTCAAATTTCGTGATTGGCATAGCAATTATAACTAAAGTCATTCATTTTAAATAAAAAAAATTAAAGCCGACAAATTTACCTGCAAGAAATATTACTGCGAATTTGTGCATTTTATCTATCTATTACTTGATACTATTTTCAATAAACTTTCACACTTAAAATGCTATATTTATATGTATTTTATAATTTTTATTTTTTTGCAGAATTCTGGCAAAGAATCTTCTACTTGCGGTGTAATTAAATAATTGCTCTTTACTGTCTATTAATAGTCACACTAAATAGTTTTCTCCTCACTCTTTTAACATTGAACTTAACTTTGTCACAAATGTATTTACTTTTTTTTTGTGATTTTTTAAAATTATTTAATTTATAAATTAGTTTAAGAATTTTGTCAAATTCCTCCAAGGAACTGCCGCTGTTAGAAAATTTATTTTTTCTTCCCAACTAGTTCCTCCAACGGACTGATCTAGACTAATGTGATTGTGAGCTGTGAAGCGAATTTTATACATATTATAAGCACTCATTGCTCTAAAGAGTCACTGTGTATATCTACATATGATGTATGTACTTTTTTATTCTATATTATACATTTTCTCTCCTTCTTTTTGTTTTTTTTCGTTTTTTTTCAAATACGTGCACTCTCTTAAATTTGCTCCATTATTATTCATTGAACTTAGTTTATTTTTGCGTTGACAACATTTGATCCTTTTTTGCTTGAAACAAAAAGCTTTTTTTTTCCTTTATTAAAAAAATGAATAAATTAAATATTACTTATAATTCTAATTAAGTACTGATTGTCATTATTTGTTCATTGAGTTACAATTAATATTTTTCGCAAATCTTTTTAAAAGGTAAACGAATTTAGAATGCAAATTAAAATTAGAATTTTTTGTGGAAAAATTAATTATTTATTTGTTACTATTTCCAGTTTATAATATTGTTTCACGTCACATTAAATTTTGGACTTCTATTTTTCCGGGACACTTTAAAAGTCTGAGTCCTTCTCCTTTTCTTATTTTCAACACTATGAATTAAATGAAGTCAATGACAATTATTTAAAAAAGTAAAATTCTGCAATCATAAAACGGATTTTCAAATAACTCGTCCTTGCCTATTATGAATCTCGTGGAAACTCTATCCTTATTAAAATCGTATGTAAAAAATTATTCAGATCACAAAAAATCAAAATTTTATTCTAACCGAATTTTATTTGACGATGAAATTGCCATTATTTTGATTCTTTCACTATCCACGAGTAGTCTCTTCATAAAGGATCATTAGCATGCTAACTGACTTAATACTGTTTTGTGGATGAAGAATTTAAGATTTTGAAGATAAAAATATATTGAGAAGAAAAAAATGATTAGTCTCTTGATGATGATGATGTTTTGTGGCTCTTTAATTAAATGCAGTACAACAACAAAATGTTCGATCTTAACTCAATTCTTCGCGAAAATCTCTACCTTTGTTATTTATCTTTCTTATTATTCCACCTTTTCTACGTCGAATTCCAAAAACGAAACCTGACTCTTTAAATATATCCATTGACTCCTTTCATTAGAATATATTAGTTTCAGTTTTATTTTATTGTAATTTTTATATATCGTAAATTTATCAATTTTTGTATTCATCAAGTCCGTTTTACGGATAGCTTTTATTTAGAAGCATCTACATCCAAAATCATATGAAAAACGTGTTTATTAACTAATTATATCTTCGATGATACATCTTTTTAATAGGCTCGAAATGAATTTTAATATAATTGAGCAAATGTGACGCGATATTTTATTGATAAGATTCTAAAATAGATACAAATGATACCTTTTTTTAAAAAAAAAATAATATGTAATTTTAAATTTTCTTTTTCCTCGCACGATTCATTATGAAATATTAGATATTTGTCATAATCTAGCCGTTTGAAAAAAATTCCAAAATAAAATTTTTAAAATATTTCTTCTCAACTTGTTGGAACAATTGTTGCATTTTTTCAATCGTTTTAATTTTTGACGCATTTAAACCTTATCATATCACGCATTTAAACCTACGTCTTCAAAAAAATAAGATTTCATATTGCCGATTCTTCTTTTTCTTTTAAAAAATTATAAATTAAGACATTTAATTTTACCGATAAAAATAAAATAAATAAATCTTGTTTTAGGATCCTTGATCGTTGGAATTCAAAAGAAGAAAAATAATTGAGTGCCACACGTGGGCCTTAAATTCATACAACGGTTTTGTAAATTTTGAAGATAGCTTTATATTTAAAATTATTGTGCTTTAATTTTGCATTTTTTCAACTTCATATTAAATACATTTAAATGTTTTAAATATTTTTCAATTTGTTTAATTTTTTTGAATTTTAAATTAAAATTCTTTCAAGTACAAAAATGCCTCAAAAAAAACTCAATAGACTTAAAATGCGCTTTAAAGTGTTAATTCTAAAAAGTCTTTAAAAAAATAGTTTTGTATTATTTTAATCGGAAGCATCTTGTAAAGATTTATAAGTTATTTGCAGTTAGCATTTCAAGCAATCAACAATGGGTAACGATCAATTTACAATTGCAACTTATGAAGAAGTCAAGGACTTGCCTAATCATCCTGAAAAACTATTGATTGACGTCCGAGAACCATCCGAAGTTGTTGAAACCGGAAAAATTCCTACTTCAGTTAACATTCCATGTAAGTCATGCCTAAATGTAGAGCATATTTCGTGACAATTAATTTTTAATGAAAATTGATAATCAATAAAATTTACTTAAACTGTTTGTATTACAAAGTGTCCACAGTCGAGAAGGAATTGAAATTGAATGACGAAGAGTTCATGGCTAAATATTCACGCAGTAAGCCACAATCTGAGGATGAAATCATCTTTCATTGTAAATTAGGCGGAAGAGCTGGAAAAGCAGCTGACGTTGCAATAGGTTTGGGTTTCAAGAAGTAAGAAAACAAAATAATTGTATGACTATTTCATTATACTAATCATTTAATTGCAGCGTTAAAAACTATAAAGGAAGTTGGGTAGATTGGGCTAAACAAGAAAAGTTATAAAGTGGAAAATTGATCGAACAAAATTATAGATTATGGAAAGATAAGATATGAAATCATGCCTTAAAAATAGAACATATGTATTACACTTGAAATTTCTAGCAATCATGCATGTTTGGTGATTTTAATGTTTTAAATGGTCTTAAATGACTTAAATATCTATTCTGTACTTAATGTCTAATTCACAAGTATTTGCATTTTAAAGCAATAATTACTTCATTTGGAAGGAAAATTGTAACTCTCAATAAAAGAAATAATAAAACACGATTATTCACTATTTTCACATTAATTATTCAATGGTCTTATTATTGAGCTAATTAAGCAATTTCTTTAGATACGTGATTTTTTTAAACATCATACAAGAAGAAAGATATTTTGCAACAGTGGTCAAATATTTCATTGTGGACTTTAGACTGCATGTTCAACATGCTTAACATTTTGAAATAACGACATTCGATGTGATGGAGAAAATCTTTCAATTTTTGAATACAAGGAAGTAACAAAACTTTAAGCATAAATAACTTATGTTTCTTTTGAACTTTTTAATCAACAAGGTCTTAAAGCTTGTTAACTAAAACTTGTTAACTGAAAGTGTAAATACCCAAATTAAATAAAAAATTTAAAAAAAAGAGTCTGTCGAATAAGTCAAGAGAATAAGAGAGCAGCATGTGAGGTAATTCTCATATAATCTAGTCAAATAAAAAACAATTTATGTGGGATCAGTGCATGTAGATACACACATTTAAATAATAAATCTCCTCTGATAGTACGACTGCATATAATAATTTAAATATATTGAAGTTTGTTGTTCAATAAACAGCATAAAATAATAGTTTTTGGATTGTAATATGCTGTAAAAAACAGCTGCAATTAGTGCAAATTATTTTTCCTTAATTGAGTAAGTGAATATTAAATACAAACAAATTTATTATTTTCCTCTCCTTTTTGTGGTCAAAATATTAAATTTTAATGAGAGAGAAAGTGATGAAAAATTTATGTGATACAGTTCCTTTAAACGCATTTATGAGATGCCTATGTGAATAATATTAAAACTAGCTATTTGTGTAAAATAATATATTGTGCATGGAAAATGATCAATTAAAATTTTTACATCCAAGTTCTATGGATTTACTGAATATCCTTCAAAGGTGACATTTACCAAAATCATGTTTTCAGAAACACTTTATAAAAGTTTTACGGAAAATTAATAAATTTCAAGATTTAGACATTCTGCCTTCCAAATAGTCGCAACTTCTAAGCAAAAATGAGCCAAAATTAATTTTCTTATTCTACCTTACTCTCAAGATCGAATTTCTATTTTGACAAATTTTTTTCGTGATGTACAAATACTAAGGAAATATCTCTCGTCTTTTGCAGTTTCCAATACTTTTCATTTGCTCGTCGTTAGTGTCGTGTATAATGACGTCATGAAATTAAATGAACTTGAAAAACGAAAAAAAAAACAACTACAACTCATATGCAGTTTATCTCATGTGAGTTTCCCAACAGCCGCAAAAGTGTTTAATTAATTAAGAGACTAAACTTACCGATAATAGTATATTGTTTTTAATTCATGCTTTTTGATCAATAGATATGATAAATAAAGCCATGTAATTCATACGAGCACATGTCAATAAGCTTTTGAAATACTTCCAACATTAAGCTTTTCGTTTTCCAAGCAATCTTGCGTCCTGAACATAAAAAAAGCACTGGAATTTATTTTTCATCATTCGTAGTTTTTCCTTTTGGTGATTAAGAAGCTTACGTGATTTATCTTAAAATTGTTAAATAATTTGAGTGAAAATTTTAAGGAAAACCGAAAATCTATCGTTGAAGACTAAAGTAGTGATATCTTTTAATTCATAAGCAGTATTAAAGAATTATAAGTGAAAAAGAGAAAAGTGAATTTTTTTTTTGTCTAGAAAAGAAGAAAAAAAAGTAAGAAAATTGACGACGAAAAGTATTCATTTTCTTAATTTCTTTTTGCTAATATGATAATGTGACACAACTTAATTTTAAGACGTGACTTAAATAATCTCAAAGAGCATTAACACAATTAAATGAGAAAGTAACGATTGATGAAACTGTTTTCGCACAATAAATATTATTAATAAAACGAAAAATGAGGATATAGACACAAAAATGCTCTTTTTTAAAAATTATTATTTTTCCTTCAATCATCTCTTATCCATTATTAATGATATCAACCATGTTATGTTGATATGATAAATTATGTCATAATCACTTAGATTATGATAATGGATTTCCAATTATCACCTCAAAGTTGAGCATTAAATCTCAGCTATAAAATTTATTATAAGAATTAACTTAATAAAATGCATATTTCCGTCTAGATTATAAGCTAAATATTCCTCTACGTAGTCTAGTGCTGCGTCAAAAACTAGATGAAAAAAAAAATTATGAGCGTCACCAAGATGAATTTACTTCTTTATTATCGCATTTTTATCGAACGAAAAATTGATATTTTATTCGATAATGAATTCTTTACAACAAGGAACCAAAGAGCTCATATTGCATCATAATATTATGAGACTAAATAACAATATCCTAAATTACTAATTTATGGATCATGAAAATCAATAAAAGAAAATTGATTTTTATTGAAAGAAGAAAACTTTTTTTTTGTGTAGACTAAACCATGAAAGCTTCATTTTTGTGAATGAATGTCTTCCTTTCATGACGCATGCGTCCATCCAGTGGTTGTGATGGAAAATTGAGAAAAGTTGTATTTTTTGCGAAAAATAATTTTTATGTGAGAACACGCGATAAAACAATTTATCGTTTAAGGCTTGAGAAAAGAAACGTGAAAAGGGTCGCAGTGGTGTTAAAGGTACATGTGGATATTATAACAAAATATAGCGATAATTCAAGGGATTTTTGACATATACACACATTTTCAATCAAATAAGTTCTCAATTCTTTTGATTTAAAGATGACATTTCATAAAGTAGGATAGAAAGTTCATTCTAAGCATTGACATTTATAGAAAAGTAATCAGCAAGCACTAGAAACTTAAATATCCTTAAAATGTTAATTAGTATCATGTTCTGGAAATTTTTCGAAGGATGAAAATTAAAAATAGTATCAACCTGCAAAGCATCAATTGCGTAGGATTATCATCATCCTACTTCGTTCTTTCTATTGACTCTAAATATAGACTAATTCGCTATGTTGATCAATTATCAAGTAACAACTTCCATTTTTTCTTCAATCCTCCACAGAATAATTTTCACGTCAGTGTAAAAAAAAGTCCATACAAAGTTAAACCAAAAATTTAATTAATAAAAATGGCATTTGCTGGATTAAAGAAACAGATAAACAAAGCAAATCAGGTGAGTTTTGATTTGATTTTTGCTCTTATAAGAACTAAGAATTTATTGCATCATGCATTGACAGATTTTATGCATTTAATTCTGACCTAGATTTGCTTCTGTACTGAGTGCATATGAGCGAACAATAAGAGTAAGCTCTCTAGATTTGCAAGCTGAAAATAGGTCACGGTCAATTATTTTAACACTCATGCAGAAGTTTATAGAATTCAGTGGTTTTTAGAGCAGAATGCATAAATTTTCATCACACATCAACATTCATCCTTGAGTTTTAAACCTAAATGCAATTTTTTTTCTCTTCTAGTATGTCACTGAAAAGATGGGAGGTGCTGAGGGCACTAAACTCGACTTGGATTTCATGGAAATGGAACGTGTAAGATAAAAATAAAAATAATCTGTTTGATGATTTGACAAACAAGTTCGTGATTAAATTAAATTTTCTTAATAGAAAACTGACGTTACCGTTGAACTTGTTGAGGAAATACAAGCCAAGACGAAAGAGTATTTACAACCAAATCCAACTGCTCGAGCAAAAATGATTGCTGTTAAAGGAATTTCAAAACTTTCTGGACAGGCAAAATGTAATACTTATCCACAAGCAGAGGGTGTCTTAGCTGATTGCATGTTGATTTATGGTAAACGATTGGGTGAAGATCAGAGTCTTTTTGGTAAGCTTTAAATTGCTATAAGTGATTAATAGTTTATAACGCCTTAATTATTGTTTCGTTGCAGCACAAGCACTTGTTGAATTTGGGGATACTTTAAAACAAATGGCGGATGTTAAGTATGCTCTCGATGATAATGTAAAACAGAACTTTTTGGAACCACTTCATCAGTTACAGATGAAGGATCTTAAGGAAGTTATGGTAAATTTTCATTTTGTATAGAAAGAATCATTTTCATTGTCATTTTGTAAACGCGATTATAAATTTTGTTATAAAGCATCATCGTAAAAAATTACAAGGTCGTCGTTTAGATTTCGACTGTAAGAGGCGTCGTCAAGCACGAGGTGGTAAAATTGTGTGAATAACTGGACCAGGTATCAAAAAAACTTTCAATATATCTTTTCATTTTAGATGATGAAATAAAGAGTGCCGAGGAAAAATTCGCAGAATCATTACAGCTCGCTCAAATTGGAATGTACCATTTGTTGGAAAATGATGTAAGTTATACATATTAACTGTTTTACGTAGCATTGAATGATTGATTGATTACTCCTTGAATTAAGATTGAACAAATATCACAAATGGCATATTTCGCTGAAGCTTTGCTCGATTATCATCAACAATGCACAGAAATATTACGAGGATTAGTGGAGAATATGCAACAAAAGTATAAAAAATTCATTTGTTGATTTATTCAAACTATTAACAAAAAATTGTTCATTTAATTTTGATAGACGAGAAGAAGCAGCTTGTCGTGAAAAAACAGAATTCACCCCTAAAACACTACAAGATTTGGTAGTTGAAACTGAAGGTGGTGAGTTATATTTATCGCTGTACATAAATGTTTTCTCTTTAAATGGACCAACGATTTTTTTTTCTGGTAGAAATTCTCATTTTTATTATTTTCGATTTATCGATCGATTTTTCTCCTCCTATTCTGCCTATGTCTCACTTCACCTAAATATTTTGAAGTTGTATCTTATAGTCGGAAATAAATGTTATAATTAAATTTGGATTTTAAAAAATTGATTATGGAAAACTGTAAGAAATCCCCTCACAATATCTGCCAAAATCACTTAGCATCATATGGTTCATGATTTCATTATCATTCTTCTTATGATTTTCAAATGAAAATTTATTCTCAAATTTTATTTGTATTTATTTATCGTCTTCTCTCTTTTGACATTCTTCTCTAAACATAATATACTTCACATCACTATACTCACTGTCCTTGTTATTACACAATCTTCAATAAACACTTGTCTATATTCTAATGTAAAAAAAACACAAGATGGATTTTCCGGCTCAGGCTCCGGAACCCCAATAAAGCCCAATCATTTGGAAATTATGGGCAATGGCAGTACCCAGCGTTCAACTAATGGTAAAGTTGCCTATACATCTATAAATTTTCAATTTTTTTTTTCATTTCCCAATTCTTTGTGGATTTATTTTATAATTAAGAAAGCTTATCATGCATTTATACATTTTTCTTTCTTAATTACTTTTACTGATTTTGTGTATTTAAAATGAATTTGATTCGATTGAATTATATTGATTCTAGTCTAATACATATACTCATTTAGCCATTCCACACGTCCTTTTTAATTTAACAATTATTGTGTAATAAAAATGCATCCTATCTTGACTTTTTGGCTTTATTAAAACGCAAAAATAACTTATAAATGAATGTTGATGGTTTTCTTCCTTATGATTTTCAAATTCATGTTTTTTGCTCTTAGTCTTAAGTTTTTCCTTGCTTAATTGACGTTTTCTTGGTTTGATTCATAAATATCGACTCTCAAAATTCGCAATTTTGTAGAATCGAAACAAAAAATTTTTAATCTCAATTTCAAATAAATTTTGCATGCTTTTGAGCTTAAACTTGCGTTATTTAAAATTAAAAACTAATGATAAATTTTCTTTAGCGTCTCCTTTACCAAGTCCAATGCGAAGTCCTGCAAAGCCTCCACAGCCATCACAACAGCAACCATGCTGTGTAGCATTATACGATTTTGATCCTGAAAATCCAGGCGAACTTGGTTTCAAAGTATGTTATTAAGTTTGATAATAATGCATTATTATATTTTCTAAAAATAAATTTCATCACTTCAACAGGAAAACGACATAATTCAGCTTTTACAACGTATTGATGAAAATTGGTTCGAGGGTAAAGTAAACGGAAAATCTGGCTACTTTCCACAGACATACGTTGAAATAAAAGTTCCACTACCTTAAATTATTTCCAACTTATAAAATAAAACATCTGATAAGAATCATTTCTAAAAGTTGAATTAAATATGATCATCTATCGAATATATTTTATAGTTTCATCATATTAATGTGAAAATTACCGATATTAATAATCGTAAAAAATTCAATTTCCGCTCCATTTTTATTTCTTGTAGACTTAAAAGTGCTTGAGAAATCCAAGTGATTAACAGTCATGTACGATTTTTCATTAAATTAATATTTTCATTTAAACGACTAATTTTAATCTTCATTAGTGCAAGTAGTTTTAGCGTTTATCGAGAGTTTAAATGTTATTTCTGCGTTAAAATATTTAAATTCGCAATAAACGCTTGATATATACATAGGAGGGTCATTTAATTTTAATGTCTAGCAATCACAATAGAGAGGTGTCAACTTTTGATAGACGTTATTCTTAAACGACTCCATGCGTTAAAAGCCAAATTACAAAAAAATATGTATTATGGAAATGAACGATATGATCTTTGGTAAAGAGGAACTAATAAAATTTTAAAAACAAATAAACAAGGATGTGAAAATGATGGAATTAAGAAATGAAAGCAAGCAATATCCAAGTATAGTGAAACTCGGGCCATCATTATTAACAGAAGTATATCATCATAAAAAGCAGTAAATTATGCGTTTTAAAACCACTTTTGATCAATTGACGTTAACATTAAGGGAGTATAAAAGTTTCAAATACATGCTTCATATAAGATCCAAGAAAATATAATGGACAAATGATATAATATGTAATGTCATAAACATAGTTAGATAGGATTTTCACAATTGACTGGAATTCGATTTGGTATTGAGATAATAAAAAAATTGACAAGTGTGATTGTATAAGATGGGTAAGATTCATAATTGATATTGAATAATTTAGTTATGAAAAGGAAAAAATTATCATCGAGTATTGAGTAAAGAGTAAAGAGTCAAGCTTCTTTAAAAATCGTTTCATCATTTAAATTTCGTTTCCCTGTAAATTCTTATTGAATGATTGTGGAAACCGAAAAGCTTGATATTCATATGCTAAACACACATTCAAGTTTATTTTAATTCCGTGATTTGCTTTGTTTTCTTCAACTCGTATTTAAAAGGACAGTCATAGAATTTCGTGATTTTAATGTGTATTCAAGAGACTGTTCCTTACATTCAAGATAAATTAGCTTTCAGGGAATTTATTTTCTTCAATAGAAATCAATTACGAAATGAAACAGAACAAGTTTTATTGCTTTTTAAAGTTTAAAGTTTCTTGAGGACGAACAATCCAAACTTCCAAAGTAATGTGGTCTGTTTGTTTTAGTCTTGCATCATAAAAAGTTACTCATATCATTAATGTTTAATTAACAAATTAGATCTAGTCGTGGTTGATTTTGGTTCATTTTACTTTTAAGTTGTTATTCGCTAGTCAGGATGAAAAGAGAAAATTCTCCTTCCATGCAAAGCTATAAGAGATTAATTTAGAATACGTTTACAACACCTTTCTCTAATAAAATTATCTCATGTAGCTGCGCACAATTTGAATAAATCTAATTACGAACAAGAAATCACAAAATAAAAGAGAAAAAAAAAGATTAAAACATTATTGAGCATTAATTTGAAAGGAAATACTAAATTAAACTATAACAAAATCCAATGAAGTTAAAATTTTAAATTATAGATGTTACAATTCTTTGAAATAAATAATAAATATATTATAAATCGAAATGATCAGTATATGAATCGAGAATAGACAGATAGCAGTCAGTTTCAAACGTATGGAGTAAATTCTATCTTTATTTTAGAGTCATCGTGACTTCATCATTCATTTCTTATGAATTTGTTAACAAAAAAACTAGCCAAATTATTTTTGGTCGAGACTTTAGTGAAATTTAATGAAGGAATGAATGAATTGTGCCAGCTGAATAGCTCTATGGATGTTTCTATGAACATGAATTTGTATAAAGTCGGATTGATTTATTAGCTTGAAGTATGTAGGCATTTTTATTTCATATCAATTTAGATGGCGAAAAATAATTATAAATTTTTGTACTTTTTTTTAAAAGCGTAAAGGAATTGGTGAACATTTAGATACACATATTACTCCTTATTTACAAAATCTTGACAGCATTATTACTTTTTTTAGATGCCTTTGCAACTTTTGACATTTTTGCATTCCTTTTTTTGACACTAAATTTGAGCAAATAATAAAGTGTGAGAAATAAAGCTACATACCTAATCCGTGAACAAAAAAATCAATTACAAATGACAAACACAAAAAAAAAGATAGAAATATATTATTTTTGAAGCTTACATCATTAGCAGATCTTAAGATTCATAAAATTAGAGTTTTGGAGAACGTGATGAGGCTAAGAAAGGATACAAATATTAATTATAGTCAAAAGAGCATCATCTCTCGAAAACTCGGTTCGTATAACACAAATGGACAATACCTAGTTATAAATGAAGAGGATGTTAAGTATGTTTAAATATTATAAACATAATTATTCTATAAAAACTTATTTTTTTTCTCTTTAATTAACATTTAATTCGTAAAAAAAGCATTACATTTCATTAGATCGTACTATACAATTTTTCAAAAAAATAATAAAGTAAAATAAAAAAAGAGAAAATTTTAATTTTTAAATTTTAAGACGAAAGCATATTTCAAACATTGTTATTTAATTGTTGTGCTAAAAAAATTTAAGCGTTTCATATTCACATAAAAATCTATGATATGACTAATTTTATTTCAACACATTTTCTCCCTTAAAAATTCCATTATATACCTAATTACAAAAAAATAAATCATGACGCATTTAATAAAAAGAAAACAAAATTAAAAATTCGATTATCTTAATCGTTACCTTATCAACTCTCTATCTCATTAATGTAAAAACAAATAAATTTACTTATATTTTAAAACTCTTTACAGAGAAAGAGAACAAAAAAATATTAAATCATTCGTTTATTGATGTCCTAAAAAAGATAAAGAGTAAATTATTAAATAAATTATGTGAAAACGCATATTTTCGTCTTCTCTTGTTCCAAAATTGATGCTCATAATAAACAATTTAAAATACATAAATAAAATAAAACAAAGTAAAGAGACAGAGAAGCTATATATTTATTGAAATGCATGACAGAAAGGTATCAGAATCATTTTAAGAAATTAATGAAAATTATTTTAAAGGCGACAAGTTGAAATAAAGGTAAATAAGTATATAGTATAACGCGAAATAACTCTATTGATTTTAAATTGCTATTTTTTCAGAATAATCCGTTAAAAATTAACACCACGTGTTGCAGTTTGTTTTTGAAATAAATTCAAATTTTTCACGCTTTTTTAAATTTTAAGATTACCGTTATTTTTATTAAAATCTTTCTGTGTCCTAAACTTATTTCAAATGCTATTTTTAATTTATAAACATCATTAATTGATGACGTAATTAAAGGAGATGATCGACAAAAATAGAGAATCAACGGAATCGAACTGTTAATTTCCCTAAAATGATTTCGCATATTTTTCGCGCACTTTTCGGTAGAAAATTGTTCTATTTGTCGGTCTGACATTTCAAAAGTCAAAGTTTTTGCAAGACATAAACATTTAATTATGAATTCAAAAATAGAAGATTTTAAGCTATCGACAGAAGTAACAGGACATACATTGGATGTTCGAAGTGTAGCTTATGCTAATAATTGCATTGTATCTGGATCTCGTGATAAAACAGTCCGGATTTTTGAGAAATTATCAGACGGGTAAGAACACAAAAGAAAATTTCCATTAAACAGGTCAAATTATTAAAGTGATTCACTTAAACTTCCAGAAAGTCATTCAAGCAAACTGAATTGCTGACAACTCATACTAATTATGTTTCATCAGTTTGCATAATAAATAATGGTAATTGGATATGCACTGGATCCAACGATAAAACAATTTGTTTGTTTAATTTTGGTATCGTTCAGCCTTTTGCCGTCTTAAAATCCCATACCGAAACTGTTTGCTGCTTATCTCAAGGAAATGAACCGAAGACTCTATTAAGTGGCAGTTGGGATAAAACCGCAAGAATTTGGAGTAATTTAGATATCGATAGTTCATCAATTGAACTTACAGGACACGAAGCAACAGTTTGGGGTGTCTGTTCATTGAAAAACGGAAAATATGCTACTGGAAGTGCTGATAAAAACATCTTTATTTGGAATAATCGAGGAGAAAAATTGGTAGTTTTGAAAGGACACACCGATTGTGTAAGAGCTTTAGTTGGTCTCGAAGATGGATCTCTTTTAAGTGCTTCTAATGATGCTACAATACGTCATTGGAGTGATACATACGATTGTATTCGAGAATATCATGGTCATTCCAACTACATTTATTCTATTGCTTTAAATCCTGCTCTTGGTGATTTATTCGTAACTGGAAGTGAAGATAATACTATTAGACTTTGGAGTGTTAAAGAAGGTGCATTAGGAGAATCGTTAAGCCTTCCTGTACAATCTGTTTGGAGTGTAGCATGTATGGATAATGGAGATATTATAAGTGGATCGAGTGACGGAATCATTCGAGTTTTTTCAAAAGATCCATCTCGAGTTGCTTCTGACGATGTTTTATCTGCATACGATACGTCAGTATCAACAAGAAAATTGGAACAAAGTAAAGAATTAGGTGGAGTGAAAGTTAACGATTTACCAGGACCAGAATCATTGTTAAAGGAAGGAACTGAGGGTCAAACTAAAATTGTTCGACATTCAAACGGAAAAATTATGTGTTATGAGTGGAAAAATGGGAAATGGGAAGTTATTGGTGACGTTGTTGGAGCTCCAGAACAATCAAAGACCTTGTATGAAGGCAAAGAATATGATTTTGTGTTTAATGTTGATATTGAAGATGGACAGCCACCTATAAAATTACCATTCAATTCTATTGATGATCCATGGCTTGCAGCACAAAACTTTATTCATAAACATGATTTACCTCAAGTTTATCTTGATCAAGTTGCAAATTTCATAATTAAAAATGCAAAACTAACATCAGCACCTTCGACTTCAAATCCTGATTTTGAGGATCCATTTACAGGCGGTGGACGATATGTTCCAAGTTTTGATTCCAATCAAACAGCACCGACTTCAAATGTTAACGTAAATTTTCGGGAACAAAGTAATGGATCATCTGGCTTAGTTAATTCAGATCCATTCACTGGAGGTTCCAGTTATTCATCAGGAAAGAAAGAATTTATAGTCCAAAAGCATATTCCATTTAATATTTTTACAACATTTGAAGCATTTGATGCATCCAAAATCCTTGCAAAAATTAAAGAATTCAACAATGAAATTAGTGATGACGGAATTAAAGCGACTGAAGAGGAACTTGAAAATGTTGTCCAATTAATGTCGCTGAAAAATATAAATGATCAATCTATATCTACACTTAACAAATTGATGAAATGGCCAAAGGAAAAGCTATTTCCTGTTTTGGATATTATCCGTTTAGCAGTTAGAAATGCAGAAATTTGTGATCTTCTTGGTGGAAACAAGTTGATGGATTATTTGACTCAATATTTGAACACAACTCCAGCGAATCAATTGATGTCAATAAGAGCTTTAAACAATATGATGCTTCATGATTTAGGCAAAAATCTTGTCAATTGTAAAGTAAATGACGTCTGCAACATGATCTCTTCAACTTCTCAAGGAAATGCTAATCTACAAAATGCTATTGCAACATTTTTTCTGAACGAATCGATTATTCAAAAAGATATGAAGTCGGATGATATTTGTGTAATTCTATCAATTGGCGCATTAAGAGCTTTTGAATGGATTACAGATCCTGAAGCGACATTTAGAGGATATCAGGCATTAGGAAATCTAATTACTTACAATTCGCAAGCAGTATTATCAATTTTAAAGTCTGCTGATACATTGAAGGCTTCGCTTGAACGAAATCAACATGCTCAGATCCAAAAGCTCTCGGAAATATCTTTGGAACTGACTGAAAAATTAATTTAATAATGTTAACATGACTTGTGTCGCTCCTTCTTCTTTTTTATGATATTTTCACAGGATTATTAATAAACATGTTCAAGTCGATGTGGCTCTAAATCCGAACATACAATGAGTATACTCAGAGCACATTATTTGTGAGCTTGCAAACTTTTGTGAGAATGTGCTCATTTCATACATTAAAGTGATGCGATCACGGTACCTTTTTGAGTATGCTCAGTGAGCACATTTCCAAGTGACATGCATTAAGCTCACTGAGTAAACTCATGAGCATACTCAAATGAGAAGGCAAAATGCCACACGCCACATTTTTTATTGAATATACGTATGAACATTCTTAAAGAGCATATACTCGTAAACATACTGAAAGAGCTTATACTCATAAAGATACTCAAAAGATATATGCTTAGTGAGTTTATTTATGAGCATATGCTCATCTGAGCACTAATGAGTGCAATCAGTTAAAGTCACAAAATTCAAAACATTAATTAAGTTAAATTTGAGTTTTATAAGAATAATTCTCTGAATAATTTTGGAAGATTTAGAATTTATTATTAATGTTTTATCTCAAATACTTAAGAGGGAAGTTTTAAAAACCGGTCACCCATCCTTGTTGAAAAACCTATTGCATTGCTTAACTTCTGTCACCTCACACTTTTCCTCGGAGCCATTTTCTATAAATATATAATAATATTTACGTGGCAAAACACATACTTAAATTATTATATTATTACAGGCGAACTAAGTTCTTTGAAGTTTGATTGAACTTTATTTTTATGAAATATTTGAGTTGATCAGAGCACGATCGTGAGAACATATGCTCAAGAGTATGTTTAAGAAGTGTATTCATAAGAGTAAATACCCATGAGGATGTTTTTAATATTCTCATGAGCATGTTCAGTAAGTGCACTCATATGAGAATGTAAAAAAAAATTTTGTCACACAGAAGTGAGTATGTTCTTAATATTCTCATGAGAATGTTCAGTAAGTGCACTTTTACGAGTGTATTCACATAAGTATGTTCTTAATATTCTCATGAGTACAATCGTTGAATGTACTCACGTGAGCTTATAAATTTTTTGCAAAAAAATAAAGTGAGTACATTCGTAATGAACTCCTGAGCATGCTCAGTTGAATGAGCTTGCATGAATATAATTTTTGAGTAAACTCACTTTTCTGAGCATGCTCTTTGTATGTTCGGTAAACCAAGAAATTTTGTATTTATTTTTTAAGAACTAAAATCCCTGAAATAGTTTTAACAAAGGAGATAGACAAGGTACGTACTTCCACAAATTTTTTTTTGTATTTTATTTTCATGACTGACTACTTGATTTTTACACTAGAATCATCATAGTTTTCTATTAATGTTTGTAAAATGACTACATTTATAATGAAGAATATCGCACTAGCAACCCATATAAAATCGAAACTATTGAATCCTTTAAACTCCAAGAAATATCCGCATAATAACCACAATCCTTGACCAGCAAACCAAAGGACTGGCAATATAATCATCTGCTTTGTAGTCATGTTTCTAAAATTATTGATCGTCAATGGAAAAAGTGAAAGAAACCAGACGAAATATTGTGAAGTAATTACTGGATTATACATGACCATGATAAAAGCAATTAAGAATAGACAGAACTGAAACGTTTGTCTTGTACGACTAAATCGAAAGCTAATTAATAAAATTAGCACTAATTGAGGTGTAAATGTTAGAATTTTCTCGAGGATATTAATTTGAGAACCAGAATTAAGATATTGTAGATAGAAATATAATGAAAAGTTGTGCCTCGTATCCTTTCTAATAAAATGATAAATGATCGATTCGTATAAAAATTTATAATTGTAAAGGAGATAAAATATTCCAGTTAGAAATATTAATACCTTCAAGACAGTTAAAATAAGAATTATTTGCTTCCGGTTTGGTTTAAGAAAGCAATTAATCAATGAATGAAAATTTGTGATTTGACGGTTATTATTAGATAGATACATATAGTATGCAAGACTAAAGAATAAAGGATAGAGTCGAAAATGTATAGCAAGTGCATGAAATATTCCTGACAATACAATGTGCTTCTCATTCTCTTTGTCACTCACATTTTCGTTAACTTTTAAAAGATAATAAACTGACAAAAGTACCAGACATGATGATAAAGCATCACCATTTCCACGAGTAGCAATAACCATTGTTAGTGGATTATAAAGCCAAAAATTGGCTGCAAAATTAGCCATTCTTTCAAATTTCGTTCGATCACTCAATCCTATCAATCTCAAGTCTTTTTTGGTATTCAGCAGTCTTACTTTGCTTTTTGCACTTCCAAAATATTTCTTCTCAATCTTAGCCTTGTTATCTTCAACTGATGCCGTTTGATTAACAACTAATGTATGATATTCGTCCATAATTATCCATTTAATGATGACAGCAATCATTAGATCAAATAATGAAAATAGAATCTTTCCAAAGCATCTATGGATGTAAATGTTGGGTAATAAGAATATAGCCAAAAGAGGCGTATATCTATAAGTATTCCTATTAAATGGTGACTTTCCGTTGTAAATATGCCAAGATCCATCATTTACAACTTTATAATCTATATCTGTAAATGGCACCTCTGATATTTTGTCCTGTATCTCACCATAAATGATAAGCACTAATCTAATTATCAAACTAATTATTAAATGTTTTTGAAAACTTGACATTTTTCTCTCTATTATCTTCAATTATTAAGTTTTTAAGGAAATACTACATTATTCACTATTCACAAAGATGTTTTCATGTTTCTAGCTTGTTCAATTAAGCACTTTTTAAACTGTTGGAACTCTTTATCACATGCATCTTGCTTGACATTTGCATAGTCTTTGGTCACACAGGCTGCATATGTTGATGCTGCAACAGAGCATTTTGCTAACAAAATTGGATATTTACTAAGACGTTCCTTTGCTTTACGAACAGAATCCATTTATCTTCGATTTGGAGGTATTCTAGATGATTGCTGGAAAAATTCTTCGTCCTTTCTGATGAATATGTCGTAGATTTGACGCGAAAAGAAAATTGAAAGACTTCCAGTAATAAATAAAATTGAGAATAATCGTGGATTTCTATTGATCCAGCTGTTTTTTGGTAATTGGTAGCTTGGTTTCTGATACTTGTAACTGAAATCCTGCTTTTCCTTATAATTTTTCATATCACTTTAATTAATTTTTCTTCTTGTTTGATTCTTCTTTTGTTGGGTTATAACTTTTGTTAATGTCAATTCCTTCACAACATAAGCTCACTGGTTTCCATTTAATGCAACATTGTCGCATTTCCTCCAAAACATCTAAACACTTTTCCTCGATATAATTATTATCTAAATGAGTTAATATTTTAATTAAAAACATTCCATAACAAAATATATTTTATAATACCTCTCAAACAAGCCTGAATTTTACACGCATTCGCTTTGCAAGGATCAAAAGTCTTTCTTGGCATTCAGCTTGGTAAATTTATGTTCGTATTCTTATTAGATTTTTAATTTCATTATTCAAATAAGAATGATTGAAAAAACCCTTAAAAATGTTGTTCAGTGAACAAAATATTGAAAGACTAGTGTATCGGGTAGAAACCCAATGCGGATTATATTCTCACCGTACCATCAAAAGTCTTATGGATAGACCAAGATTTTCCCAGCATAAGTATGTAGGTATGAAGCTTGATTAGTCAACATAGCTTCGCTCAGCAAAAGTTTCAAGTTATAAAGCTAGCGTGTAAGCTGAGCTTCGCTCAGCATAAGTTCTAAGGTATAAAGCTAGTGACTTAGAATTTGAACTACTTTTATTGGAATATTTTTATGTTTCACCAGTGCACAACAAGACCATAAAAAGTCACATCACATTAAAGAACAGAGCATTATTGTAGCTAAGTGGGGAAACAAGCTTAAGATTATGATTATAAAACACTCCACAAATGTGGCAACACTGTTGCATGCCATATATCGAAGTTCCTATTGAATGAAATAAGAAACATTACTTTACTACGTTTATACATTGGTGCGAAAGTAATTCCATAAAGGAATAAAAGATTAATTTACTACATTAAATGGTTCATATCTTATCTTTGCGCTAAAAACCTCTAAGGTATGGCAAGCAACTGGGTCCTAGTATTTTATGATTATATAACTTTATTGAACTGTGACTTTTATAATAAAGTTAAACATTCATTAACGTCTGGTCCTTTACAACATTTCAGCATCACTAGATTTATTTCTAGATTGATTAAGTCATAGAGTTCTTCATAGGATTTGAGTTTGAAACCAAAGTATCATCTGAGAATAAGGAAAATCGATAAATGCTTAATTTTGTTTAATTCATGACCAAGAACTAGTTCAACTACCACGTTTTATATCTCAGCCGAACGAACAAAGTGTTTTATTAAGCACCAAGCAAAAAACATGTTTTTAAAAATGCGCTAAAATAGGGGAAATATTTTGGAGCATTTAGCTAAGTTGGAAACCCTGTAAACGAGTTATTTTGTATAGAAAACATTACCCTTGAATTTCAATTATATCGGCATTTAAGCAGATAAATAAGCAATAATTAAACATGTCTGATGATGAATCAAAGATGAAGGTTGCGGGCCACAAACCAGCAGGCAAGCTATAGCTTAAATATACTATAAAATCATTAAAAAATTGCATCCAACTCATCAAAAAAAATTCTTCTTTTTCTTGTTTTCTTTTGTGTGCATTGTCTGATTTTGCCGATACAGTAAAAGCAGGTGGAATGCGAATTGTTCAGCATAAGAATCCAAGCACTGAAAGACCAGGAAAGGATCCAGTTGAAGTTATTGGTAATTATTACTTTTTTTTTTTCACTTTAATGCGTAGTTTAATTATATTCATTATTTTGCATAGGATTGGCTCAAAATAATCCATTAGATACCGCAGTGCAATTATCGAGCTCTCCAACCCAAAAATCTTTAATTGATACAGGTAGTCACGTAGCACATCAACAAAAACCACCAGCTAATGTTCCTAGCAAGCCATTGAATAACATTCAACAACCAAGAAAATGATTTCCTGAATTTCATTCACGATTTTCATTTTGTGCAAGAAATATACTTTATGCATTTTTGATGAATTATGTTCCATTTTTTAAGTATTTTCCGTACTCAAAATATATATTTTTCCATTTTATTTCAATACATTGAATAAAACATTAAATTTTTCATATTCCATGAGAAATAATACAAACGATCATACCTATTTAATATTTTATTTATTTCTAAGAAAGAGCTTGAAATACAGCACAAACATGCCAACGACTTTTTATATTTTAATAAAATAATATTTCGAACTTGTTCCAAAAAAGCACACGCTTTAAAAATGGATGCCTTTATTTAAGGGATTCAACACATGTGTCTTAGTATTTAATCTTAAATGATCAAAAAATACTAAGAATATAGGACCAAACTAAGCTGCTTCCGCAAATAATACTCTTGTACAAAAAGGAACAAAACAAAATAGATTTAGTCTAAAAATCGAAAAATGATTTGGACATAAAAGCAAATAAAAATTGGAAGCTGAATAAAAGCGGTGAAGTAATGAAACTTTAGAACACATTCATCCAACTCGACAGACAACTCACTTTGCAATAACTCATTTAAAAACTAAGTTTCTCCTTAAAAAATTGGAAATATTAAATTAAATATGAATCCTAAAGTTTTTGTTTGTATGGTACTCTGTTCCTTGGTTGCTTGTGCTACATCCTGCACTGTCCAATCAACATTTTATACGACAGAAGGTAAATAATTTGCAAAAACCGAAATAAATTGAGAATTGGAAAGAAATTTCATTTTTTATGAATCTTTATAGATGATTTAGTGATTGCAAATCAGATAGGATTTATCACAGAATTCAAGCTTAAATGCAAATCGGAAATCAACTCAATTCCATTGTTTGCAGAAGTAAATGGAAATATTTATCCAGTTTTTCGTGTTAAGGATGATTATCAATTCAGCTGGACAGAAGATAGAACTACAGCAAAGACTGGATCACGAGAAATTCGTCTTTTTGATGAGGAACAATTCGCTAATTATCGTAAATCACAAAGAGCAGGAGAAACCCCAACAGCCAAGGAATTGGCAAAGATTTATGTCAAATACTCGGGAAGTTTCGGCTCAAACATTTTCTTCCTTAATTCCGAATCATTTGTTCTCTTATTGAGTGTATTTGTTGCTTACTTAGCTTTCCAAAATCGTATGAAACTCGTGTCATAAGACATGCAGGTTCAGGTCATGTTAATTATAATTTAAATCCGTTCATGTAACAAATTTTTATCTCTCATTGCAATAATTAAGAAATAAAATATGAATGAGTAAACCTGGAACTATCTTGAGTAAATTTACCGAATATTTTCAAATTTATTGATAATTGGAAGCCTTACATATCACCCAACATATATCCATCACCCATACTCTAATCATAGCGATTTTGTCTTAAATTATTTAAAGCATGGCAGCTTTACACAAACGGAAAAAAACAACAGTTTTTTCAACTTTAATTATTATCAAGGTAGGTAATTAAGTCAAGACTTTTGGGGGATATAGAGGACACCCACGGAACTGGTCGACATTATTATTAGACGAGAAACTAAACATTATTTTTCATTCATTGAGTTTTTGAAAATTCATAAATATCCAAATTAGTCACATAAATTAATGGAAAGAAAAGTCAGTAAAAGTTTTAAATCGTTGTAGGAGTGATTAATAGTTTTAGAATGGCGAGTTTATTGAATGAAAGTGATGAAGAAGTCAACGAAATAAATCAAATACCAGACGAAGAAATTGGGAGTTTGAATAATTTTACTCTGAATGGTAAATTATGTTTTTTTCTTGTGACTAATTTTATAAGCTAGTGCATTAATCACTTATACATTAAAACAACAATTGTTTGAACTCTTATCAAATTACACAACTTATTTATATGTATACGACTTATAAATGTTTTTTTTTTTTTGTTCCTTATTCTCATCAAATCGACATTTTTCTCTTTTTCCTACATTAATTCTTATCATTTACTTGTTCGCTATTGAACATATTGCAAATGTTTTGTGTCTCCACAAATTTGATTATAGGCGAACGAGCACCAATTCCTCAACCGATTCCACAAGAAATTGAATGGTATCATGGACGATTAGATCGATATAGTGCCGAGCAGAGATTAAAAGCTACATATAAGCTCGGAAGTTATTTGGGTGAGAAAAAACTCATCTCGATTGTCACAAATTAATCATACTAACAATTGTATTCCTTTTTTTTATCATTATCACATCCGAACTATGCATTAATTAATGCTGAACATGAATGAAACACAGTGAGAGAAAGCGATAGAAAACCAGGAAGCTATGTGCTGTCATATTTGGGTAAAACAGGAATTAACCATTTTCGGTATGTTTAAAAAGAAGTCATAAATATTAAATTTTTAATTCTTCTTCTCCTGCTGCGTTTAATGTGCGCACATTCTCACTTACAAAAAAAACATTTATTTTTTTTTTCTCTTCATTCTTCACTTAAAAACATTATTATTATTATTGTCGCTAACTTGTGTGACTCACCAAAAAATTTCTTCCCTTCTATTTTAAGCATTGCTGCCGTATGTGGTGATTTTTATATTGGTGGACGTCAATTTTTCTCTTTAAGTGATTTGATTGGATATTACTTATGTAATGATTTATTGAAACGTGAGCGACTTATAAATGCCATTCCTCCTCCGGAACCGGTAAATGATAAGAAGAGAGTTGTGGCGATTTTACCATATACGAAGATGGCTGATACAGACGAATTGAGTTTTCTGAAAGGAGACATCTTCTTCGTACATAATGATATGGGGGATGGATGGTTGTGGGCTACAAAACATCGAACTGGAGAACAGGGAATGATTTTTAGGGAACTGGTTGAAGATCTTGATCCATGCATTGATCCAAATACAGTTTTTCCATGGTTTCATCCGAATTGTACCAAAAATGAAGCTGTCGATATGCTCGTGAAAAATGGACCAGGTATATTACAAAAACTTATTTTGCTATACTTTTGTCCCTAAACCCATCACACTACTACAAAAATCAATGCAATTCAGCACTATTCAGCTGTAAAAAATGTAAACAAAGAACATTATTCAAATTGAATTTTCGTTAAATTCTTACTATTTTACTCTCAATGTCTATACATTAACTTGATTCAATACTTCAAATTGCTCCATTTTATCTTTATAAATCATTTGAGTAGTGAAATTCTTTTGTTAAGGATGAATTAAAATTCAATTGGCTATTTCAAATGTGTTAGTGCTTCATTTCGTAAAATTTCAAATTAAAATCGTTAAAAAATAACACATTTTTGACATGCTTTTATTGCAATTATAGGAAGCTTTCTAGTGAGGCCCAGTGATAATTCACCAGGAGATTATAGTTTGTTTTTCCATATAAACAATCAAATTCAAAGATTTCGAATTGAAAAGAAAGGTGTTCGGTATTTGATGGGAGGAAGGATTTTTGAATGTCTTGATGCAGTCATAAATCGTTATCGAAAGGAGCAAATAGTTGAAGGACATACACTTCAGAATCCAGTTGTTGATGGTGGACAACCAGAATTTCATCAACCATCTACAGTCACGGCTGCAGCCGAAAAGATTTATGCAACTCTGCGTGAATGTCGTGATCAAAATATACTGAAAAAGATTAAGGGTATTAAGCAACAAGGATATTTGTTGAAAAAATCAGAAAAGACGGGAAAATGGAAGCAATTATATTTTGCTCTTATAAATGAAGGCACTGAAACACATTTATTCTTTTATGATAATCCCAAGAAGACGAAGCCAAAAGGATTGATTGACTTATCTTGTGCGTATCTCTATCAAGTTCATGAATCATTATGGGAAAAATCAAATTGCTTCCAGCTTGTCGAAAGGGCATTACCATGTTTATCAACAATTACGCATTTATGTGACAAGAGTACAGAAACATATATCCAATGGATTACGATTCTAAAGCAAAATTGTCGAGCGCAATTTAGTAGAGCACAATCCAAAGTACCACGCTTACGTGAATTACGCTGCTTAAATTTGCAAGTTCTTGAAGCCCATCGGATTCCATTTAAGCTAGTTCCACATTGCTTTTTAACTATAGCTCTCAATCAAATTAAAATTGCCAAGACAAAAGTCAAGTCAACGCCAGACCCGATTTTCGAGGAGGAATTTGTGATCGATGATTTACCAATAGATATTGCTACTTTAAATTTGACGTTAGTCTCAAGAGCCAAGAGAAATAAAGACTCGGATGTTGCTGAACTAACAATTGATTTATCTACGCTTAAGAATGGAGCCGAAACTGAAAATTGGTATGATTTAAATGGAATCACTCCAATTGGCGAATGGGGCTCAGTCAGATTAAGAATAAGATATATGGATGATCTAGTCATGCCAGCAGAAGAATACTCACCATTACAAGAATTACTTTTGGAGAATGAATTTCATTCTGTCAAAGCGCTCGCCGATTTATGTCACTCAAATCGTATTCCTTTAGCATCATCATTATTGAAAATCTTTCGATTTGAGAAAAAAGAATGCGAGCTCATCAAGTCATTGTGCCATGCAGAAATTATTAGAGAAAATGATACTTCCACTCTCTTTCGTGCCACATCTTTGGCTACAACTTTAATGGATATTTACATGAAATCTGAATGCGGATTATTTTTACAGTCAGCATTATCTGATACAATACAAAAAATGCTCGACAGTAAACGATCTGCAGAATTAAACCCAACAAAAATGGAAGTAAATGATGATGCATGCACAAATGCCGAGTTTTTACTTCTTACATTAGATCAAATTACACAATCCATATTCACATCAATCGAGTCATGTCCAAAGGGTGTTCGCTACATTTGTAATACTCTCCAAAAAGCTGTTGTAGCGAAATGGCCTGGTGAACGACTGGTTCGAACACGTGTTGTGTCAGGCTTCATTTTTCTTCGTCTCTTATGCCCAGCATTATTGAATCCACGACAATTCCTACTTGTTCTCGAACCCCCACCTCAGATGGCAACACGATCTTTAATAATGGTTGCTAAATGTCTTCAAAATCTAGCAAATCTCATCGAATTTGGTGGAAAAGTGAGTATCATTTATTTATATCCTTCTACTCGTAATATACTAACATGTTGATACTTCTTGCTTACTTTTCATACAAAAGAAAAACAAATTTTGTAATATAGAGAGAGACGGTTTTAGGTCAAATTGAGACATTCCATTTAGTTAAACATACCTAATCATTTGAATTTTTTTGTTCTAATTGACATTTTCCCCTGCTTCTCTTTTTCTTCCTTGCAAATTAAATACAGGGCGAATTGCCATCGTTTCATGTAAGTAAAGCATTTCAAACAATTCTAGAAATACTTTCTTTCATTTATTGCTTAGAAAAACATGTCATTTTTTGTTCCTTTTTTATATAGTTTGTTCCCACATTAATCTCAATAATATTAGTTAAGATACTTACTTATTAATGCTCAACCCATTTGCTTCTCGACTGCTTAATAATGAATCAATGTCAATTTTTTCTTATACTTAAAGGAAAGCTATATGGAAGTCGTCAATCCCTTTATACTGAAGAATAAGGAGCGAATGATTGTGTTCCTTGATCAACTTTCAAACGTATCTGATCCCTTTATACCACCAAATATGGATCCATCATTATGCAATAATAATTCAGATACAGGTACGATTAAGCTCTTAATACAATTATTTTCTATTAAATCATAATTGATTTTGCAGGAAGAGACTTAGCAACACTGCATCACATTTGCGTTTCACATCTAAACGAACTTCAAAACATGTCAAAAGTCAATAATTCGATTAAGAAATTAGTAACAGTAACGGAAATGCTGTCGAAACATAAACTCAGATATATGGAGATGATTAATGAAACTGCACGCTAAATTCTTTAAATTGAAGCGCTTAATTTTACAGTGCGATTACTCATTATATTATATTCAAATTCTAATGTAAAGAAGATATAAATATTTTAAAACGAACGCGCACATTCGGACAAATCTTTCTCTTTTTTCGACATTAAAAATTAATTTCTATTTTACTGTATGATTTTTTCTATGGTGTTGGAAGAATAGAATAGTTCTTAGCAAGGAAACAAAAAAAGAAGAGATTTTAAAGATACCCAAAAAAAAAATTATGCTTTTTTAGGAAACGGTAAGAGTAATAATCCTCATATCTGCTTATATGCAAGAAAATCCCTCTGCAAAACTATTCAAACTTTGAATTAATCAATCGGATCATATGAAATACATGAATATGAATATTATTTTTATTCGAGTCAATTAGATACTCAAATGATAGAACGATATCATCAACTGATAACAAAGGAACATGCATTTTTGCTAAATAATTAATAACTGCAATATTCAATCAAAAAACATTTATCCCATTTAGATGTATACATAATATACATAAAGTCAGATTTTATGAAAAAAAAAAATAGATTCTTTTTTTTCATTTCATTTATTGTTACTATAATGTAATCATAGTTAAGTGTAATTCTAGATTATGCTAGTCCTTTTTTATGTGAACCATTAAACTAAACTTAAAAAAAAGATCAGAAATAAAAAATATGTCTTTATCATTAACGATTTTTGTCTGATTTAATGTTGTGAATTGTTTGAGAAGCATAAAAATAACGTATAAAATAAATTCAAATTCATTTGTCTTGTCATCAGCAAAAACATTGAGTTGTAAAATTTAGCAAGATAGTATAATTATCAAAAAATGGATAAAACAACTCGGAAGGAGGCAATTAGATTGAGCGATATAAACTTTATGCCAATTTTCTATGCGTTGGCTGTTGTCATTATCACTTTAAGTAAGTTTTTCTTTTAAAAAATAGTCATTTCTGAAAAACATTTATTTGATTTCATTTTATTACAGTTGTCATTTACTTAATTAAGAAAAGAGCTCCAAAAAGAACCGATTTGCTGTTGGCTGGATTATGTGATTCTGGAAAGACTTTATTATATTCATTAATTCTTAATGGAAATGAGGTTGAAACATTCACATCGCTCAAAGAAAATTGTGGATTATTGAATTTAGAAAACAGCAAGACATTACGTCTTGTTGATCTTCCTGGACATGAAAGATTGCGTTTGAGATTACTAGACAATTATAAAAATACAACAAAGGCAATCATTTATGTTGTCGATTCATCAACAGTTCAAAAGGATATCAAAGATGTTGCCGAGTAAGAATTTTTAATTTTTTTCTTTCAAACAATCCAATAACAATGACATTTTCTTTAGCTTCCTTTACACACTTCTTGCTGATAAGGCTCTATCTTCAACAGCGGTTTTAATTTTATGCAACAAACAAGATGAAACAATGGCCAAAGGAGTGCAAGCTATTGAATCGTTATTAGAAAAAGAAATGTAAGTCACTTGATACATAATTTAAAAAGCTTTGTGTAATATCCACATCTATTAAATATTCTTTTCAGAAACCTCATAAGAAAGACAAGAACAAATCAGCTTCAATCTGTAGACAATTCATCAGACACGTCCGTGTTTCTTGGAAGAAATGATAAGGATTTTGATTTTACACAAATATCCCAAAAAATTAGATTTGCAGAATCATCAGCTAAGAATAATAAGATCGAACAATTGCAAAATTTTATTAGTGATCTGTAAAGTTAAAATGAAAGGAATTAAAAAGACCTTGATCATGTAATTTTTAAAGGAAATTAATGTCTTTTTATGGAGAAAACATGAACTCTATTAAAAACATCAAATTAATCGAACATAAATCATACACTTTATATAAAATGCCTTTAGCTATCACACCTTAATTCTTTTGTTTGAGGGAAAGGGATTATTAATTGATTATATTTTCACTGAACTCCATTGTCGTTGCTGTTTGTCTGATTTTGTTGACTATTTTCATTATTAGACTCATTTTGGCTTTCCTCTCTGTGTTCACTATTTTCATTATTACTAGATTGTGGCTGTGGGGATGGTTGAGGTGTTTCAGGCGGAGGCCTTCTTGAATAGATTATCATTCCTAAAAGAATGGTAATGATTGTAATTAAATATAAATCCCAATTTGATGCTATGTTCTCATTTAATCCCATTGATTTGAAAACATTATTTTCTTTATCTACAATGGATTCAAATTTATTGAGAACTTGGAGCTTTAATAAAGCGAGTGCAACAGGTATTTTTGCGTCTGAATTCGTTTCTGCCGCTAGGTCATAAAACCTTTTTGCAAGATGAATGTCTTTTTTCATTCCCAAACCTTGTTCATGCATGTATGCTAAAATAATAAAGAATAACAATTTTATAAAATTTGAAAATTATGTTTTTTTCTTTAAAGCTCAAAATAATATGAAATTTTCATACCTAAATTAAACATTGCCATTGCATTGTGTTGTTGCTCGGAGGCAGTTCGATAATGCGAAGCTGCAGCTTCATAATCAATAATGCCTGTACCCAAACCGTAATAATGATAATCTCCTAATTTAACTTGAGCAGCTGAATATCCTTGACCAGCAGCACGTCCCCAATATTGTAATGCACGAACCAATTCTTCTTGACGATTACTATTGAACATTTTGATTTCATTTCTATCAAGTAGAAATGCTGCATTACTTTGAGCAACTTCATATCCCAATTCAGCTAGGAATGCATATTGCATAAAAGCTTCATCAAATTTATAACTACGATAATCTTGATATGCAACCATTAATCTTTCACCCCATTTGCCACGTTCTGCTACGTTTTTAAATAACTCAACTGCTGTGGGACACGATCTAATCATACCAACTCCTGAGCTGTGCATTTGTGCGAGATTATAAAACGCCAAAACATGTCCAGATTGAGATGCAAGATTGAAATATTTATTTGCCAGCTTAAAGTCTCGTTTGATTCCAATTCCTCCATAGTACATTAGACCTAATTGAAGTTGTCCTTCCACCCATCCTTGATCAGCTGCTTGTGTAAAATATTTTAATGCCTTTTCTGTGTCTTTTTGAACGCCTTTTCCTTGCAAATACATTATTCCTAAGCCTGTTTGACCTACCGGATTTCCTAAATCTGCAGCTTTCTTAAAATACTGCAAGTATAAATTCAATAAATAATACATTTATCTAAATATTGATCAATTTTATTACCTTGTAAGCAGTATCATTATCGGCTTTAATATTTTCACTTCCTTCAAGGTAAATTTTTCCCAAAAAGCCCATCGCAACTGCATTTCCAGCATTAGCAGCAGGCAAAAAATATGATAGAGCCTTCTTATGATCCAATGGAATACCTCTTCCACCTTGGTAATGTAATTGTCCCAAACCAACTTGTGCCTGAATATCTCCTTTATTGGCAAGAAGTTCGTAATAGTCAATAAGATCATTATCTAAAACACCGGAACTTAAGCCAGAGTTTTCAACTTCATCTAATAAACGAACTCGATGAATTGCTGGTCCACCTGAAAATGTAACTTCCGATGCGACTTTTGAGGCAACTTTTCGATAAAAATCCAGTGCCTTTTCACAGCTATTTGCTAATGTTATTCCTGCCCAATACCGATATCCCATTACCATTTGTGCAAATGAATTATCTCCAATTGCAGCCATAGTATAATGAATTAATGCTTTTGATTGAGATACATTATATCCAATTCCAGTTGCATACATAAATCCTAAAGCCATATGTGCTTCTGGAACTCCCTTTTCACCAAGTTCTTCAAATGTCTTTTTTGCAATTTCTACACGCAATTCTAATGGATTACCTAAAAGTTGTGCCCAAGCAATATTAATTTTAGCCATCTTATGTCCTTTTTCAGCAGCTTTTCGAAGTAAAGAAAATCCCTCTGCTCGATTTGATGCTTTCGTTTTGTTAAGGATAGAGAGTGCTTGATCATATAGATTATCAGCTAAACACAATGAAAATTGTTAATTATTCATTCAAAATTACTTAATTTAAGTACGTATATACCTTCAATTTCCTCAGCAGTTTTCTCTACTTCAACAGTTTCTATACTTAGTTCTTTTTTGTTAATTTCATCCAACTCTTCTTCAAATTGCTGAATCCATTTTTCTTGACTTTCTAGAATTTTTGTTATAGATTCAGTTACAACTTTTCCCTCATTATCTTTTGATAGATCCGGTGCCTTAACAATCTTAATTCCACTAGTTGGCAGATTAAGTTCATCTCTAATTAATTTAAGAAACTTTTCATCTTCTTCACTGTTTGTTTTGTCTTGATTCTCATGAATCTCTTCTTGCGAATCCTCATCCAGACCTTTTGCTGATTTCCTTTCGTATTGCTTTAATTTATCTCTTTCCACTGACTCTGGAGGTTCCAAATTACCAAATGAATAGCTTATCAAAGTTGTTGCGAAAATTAAGATTACTAAACTGTATTTCATTTTGGTTTTATTTTGGATTATTAAGTCAGTCTTAATCCATTAATTATTAAAAAATATAAAATAATGACTTCAAGTGATTGTTTAATTGATAAAATTATGTAAATCTCTCAATCTTAGTCCCTTAAAATTTAATTTATCTTTTCAAAGAAACACGTACTTTTTTTTTGTTTTTTTATATATTTATTATGACCTGTATTTTTGTTGTTCTAAACGCACTCAAGTTTTCAAAAAATTACCGTTGGACAGTCACATGTGATCAAAATCTCTTTTTAATTTGAATTTTGTTTACCTATTACATTAAAGTCTTTTCCATACAATTAAAAAAAATTAATTGATTAACAACAATTTGTTCACTTTGAAAGTTGTTCTTTAAGTGCCCTAATTTGTTCCATTAATTCATCAATTTTTGCATCCTTTTCTTCGATTATATTTTTTAAGCGAATAACTTCTGTAGAGGAATTGTCAATGTAATGAGATATTTTGTTCTTAATCTCTGTTATTTCAGGTCGCAAATCTGATCGATTGCTCAATAGTCTGGTAATAAATAGACATAAATTCGGTTCTATTTCTGATAATATTTCTCCCTTTTTCAAGCTATCGACTTTATTCGAGCATTCCATGAACGTTTTGCATCTCAGAAGTAATTCAATTAAAATTACACCTAAGCTGTAAATATCTGATTTTTTCGTGCAAATTCTTCCTTCCAATTGCTCTTTTGCAGCATATAATCTTGTTCCAAATCCATAATGTGAAACCATTTCGTTACCATCGAGAGGACAGCTTAAGCCGAAATCTCCTAATTGAAATAATATAGAGGAACTGTCAAACGATACAAAAACATTGCCTGGTTTCAAATCATGATGAACTATTGACCTAATTAATTAGATTAATTATAAATAAAGTTCAAAAATTGAGTATGAAATTAATAAAAAAAATCATAACTAGTACCTATTATGAATGTACTCAAGTCCGTTACAAATTTGTAGGAAAATGCTCATAACAATAGATGTCATATTATCTCCATTTAAATTGAAGGATTCATAATATGATTTAAAGCTTTCACATTCGTTTCTCTCGTCGAGGAAGTTTCGAAGAGTTTTTTCACACAATTTCATTTGAATGAAAAGTACAGACCACGCAAGTTTAACATGTGGTATTAATGACTTAGACTCGGAACTACAATTTGATAAATCAAGACGCCGGATTCTTTCTATATTTGAAAGGCTTTCATTATTTGTAGCAATTGATGATAGAACACTTTTTTTTGATTGATGATTCTCGCTATATTCAAAATTAATACTGAAGCTCTCATTATTATTAGTATGAAGTCTCAAGGAATCATTGCTTTGCGTTATTCGTATGTTGGCACTCTCATTTCTCGTTTCCCAGCTCTCTTCTTCGTGCGTTACCAAACGTGAGTTTGATTCAAAGGATATAAGTGGCTCTAACCAACATGATTTATATGGGACGACATTTAAATGATTAAGTGACGCAAATGTCTTAACTTCCTTCAAGTGTGGAAGTATATTTTTAACAGAAGTTGATTTAATAAGAATCTTTTTGATCGCATAAATATGATTATCTAATTTATGTCGTGCCTTAAAAACATCTGCAAATCCACCGTGTGCAATCTTTTCGATTTCTTCAAAATCTTTATAATATCTTGACCATTCTAATGCATGCTGTGGCTCACCATTTAGCGGAAATTCAACAATATTATTATTCGGTAGTGTATTTTCACGTGCTATGTTCACTAGTGCATTAATGGCAGTTTCATAACATGAACGAATGTTTTCAAACTCATTTTTTTGGTAGCTTTCATCTATCATTCGCAGTTCATGTAATTTAAGACATATTTTATGATACAATTCATTGGATTTACTCCTAAAATAATTAGTATAGATTGCAATACAGTATTGAGTTATTTTCTAGAAATAGGAGCAGTGTTACAATTAGACAGAATGCAACACTGAATAGGAATTAGACTTACTTATTTCCTTCGATAAAATTGCATAGTTGCTTAATTAAAGATTGAACTAATAATGAGTAAGGAGTAGATGGCATTAAAGCATCGAAGAAAACTGTTTTTCCTGTGTCTATCTCATCGATTCCTGCCTGATTACTTGATGATGATTTTCTTCGTGCCAGAACTAGTTTATTAGTTTCCTCTGAAATCACAAAAAATTATGTCATGTTTTTTCTTAATTTAATTAAGCTTACCATCAAAATTCCTATTTGTCTTAAGTTTTGCCCACGAATCATCAATCGGCTCATTGTCACTGCTGTCTGTGCTAGATGTCATTTTTAATTAAAATAATATTATTTTCGATAAAAATGTTATATTGTAAACAAAAGGTCTCAAATGTTAAACTTCCACGTTAGTTTCTTCTCTGTTTATTTTGAATAGGTAAACACTGTTTTTTGAAAATTTGTAAATATTTTGAACAAATATTATTATTTTGAAAAGTTTATAATTTAAAAACCGTTTAAAATCCAAAACCATCAGTATAATAACAAGTTTTTTTTAAAATTAATTAAAACATTTAAAAATGAAACGAGTTCGTTCAACTGAGGAAACAATTGAACTAAAAGTAAGGATTTAACGATAAGCTGTACAATCAGTTTAAAGACAGAATTTTAATACTATTTTAGCGAAAAATTGTAGCATTAAAAGTGTCAGATCTTCAGAACATTTTAGGTGAATATAATATAACAAAAACAGGCAGAAAGAGTGAATTACAGGATCGCGTTTTAAGCCTAATAAAAAATGGCAGTTTAATTGATGTTCAAAGACGAAAATTAATTGGAAAAATTAATGAATTAACGAGGTAAATTGTGAAAAATTATAATTTGTCAAAAACAACAATTTTAAAACATAACCTTAAGAAAAATGATAATTATATTTTAGTAATTTCAAACAATTGCCTATCAATATGTGCTCAAAAGTCGAAAATAAGCGATTAAAGACTATGCCAGCAGAAGAATCGACAAGTAGTTTGCAAACACAACCAAATATAAAATTAAAGAAAATTCCTTTTTTTGATGAACTTGGTGTTTTGCTGGAACCATCTGTTTTGACAGCATCGAATAATAGTGCTAGTGAGCAGATTAAATGCTTCATTTTTAATCTAAATGATCGACAAGCTATTGAAATTGAGAAAAATAGAGTCATTGACGCAAGCAATATTGATTATACTGTTCAAGTGCTTTTCCGGATATGTTTAGTGGATCCTTCAATACAAAATGATTTGTTTCCATTAAACTTCCAGCTACGAGTTAACAATCGAATATGTCCATTGCCTCCCTTTTTACCATCTAGGCCAAATACAACTCCAAAAAGGTCTTCAAAGCCATTAAATATAACACCTTTTGTCAAAATATCACCAGTATCGTCTAACAGTGAGGAATATACATTTACATCCTTATTTTTCATTTATCTAACTAGTTTTTATCATAATTAATAGTAATCGAAGTACGATGGCACAAAGAACCACAGAAAAACTTTGCCGTAACATGCTACCTTGTTCGCAAATTAACATCCGGTAAGTGTATAAAGTCAATCAAGTTGCTGTGGTTCTATCGTATTCGTTATTTTTCAGAAAATTTACTTCAACGTCTGAAACTTCAGGCTGAAAATTTGACACGGGGAATGATTGAAGAAAAGTTGAGCAAAGAAGTTGATTCGGAAATTGCCACAACTATGCTTCGCGTCTCTTTATTCTGTCCTTTAGGAAAAAATCGAATGAAAATACCTTGTCGGTTTGTATAAAAATATATTGTTTTAAAGTATACTTGCTATCTTCATGCTTTCGTTGCCATTTAGCGCTTCAACATGTAAGCATTTGCAATGCTTTGATGCTTTATTGTATCTCCAAATGAATGAATGTAAACAAAGCTGGATCTGTCCTGTTTGCGACAAAGAAGCATTATTTGAAAACTTATCAATCGATGGCTATTTTTTGAATGTCATCAAGAGTCTCAGTATTAATGACAATGAAATTCAGCTTCATAAAGACGGATCATGGTCAAAACTTGAGGAAAATGTGGAACATGTTCAAAGTGATGAAGGCTTTGTCATTAGTGACGAAGAGGATGCAAATAATAATAATAATAATATAAAGACCGATTTAATTCTCAAAGGTATCAGTTGTGCATTACTAGTTCTTATTAATTTACTAACTTGATATTTACTTGATATCTAGATGAACCAAAACCAGTCAAGATGAAGAAGACAATGCACATTTCAAAGAAGATTAAGGTTTTGCATTCAGTTGATGTGCCAGAAACAATTGATTTAACACTTGATGATTAACTTGTTAATTTTTTATTAGACTTTAAAATCTCTATTATAAGACTTAAATGAAAATATGAAGTGATTAAAGCATAAGTCAGCTATAAGTCATATGTGTGTGGAAGTTTATTTATGATTTTCGAAATATTCGTAAATAGAGAAATACAGGAACAGAAGTTTTCAGAATTTTTAAATTGTGTAATGTTTTCTTAAAAATAAAGACCAAAGCATTAATTTTTCATGATTTAAATAATAAAACATTTTTGTGTCGGTTACTATAAAATTTAATGTGCATAAAAAATGGCTCAGAGGTCGTTTGCTTCTAAATTATCAACGTAAATACTTTATTACTTTGTCATATTTTTAATTAACATTTTTATTTGAACCAAAAAGATTAAACCAAAATTTATGACTCATTGTGAAATTTGAGAATTTTGTATAGACAACAATTTTAAAATTTAAAACAACCCCTCCTTATGTATTTGTTTAAAAATGACTTTCATAGAAATATACAATCAATCATTCGCCATCTTTTATGACTTATTTTTTAGATATTCTGCAGCGGAAGTAAGAAAAGCTGTTCAAACGGATCAAATCATTTCAACTAGCAACTCATTTTGCTCATCCTCAATATCTTTGAATGATTTAGTCGACAGCCTAGACTTTGAAGAATTTTTACAGCAAAAAACATCATCCCTTATATTCCGTGACCCGTTAAAAAATTTACTTGAATTTCCTCAAAATGATGTCTGTATCAAGACAACACCTAGGAAAATTCGAACTGAGAAGTATGTCTTACCGGAAGAATTTGAAACGAATAAGGAAGATCTTCCAATGCATATAACTGATTGCTTAAAAGCATACACGAAAGCTTTCAATTATATAAAATTTTCTTGTCGTGATGAAATGTACCGCGATAGATATGAAAGGAAAATTGATCCTCTTTCATATCATCATCAAGAGTATGAAATTGACAATTCCATGAGTTTCATATCTGGAATGGATGATTCAACCTTAGTTATGACTGGAAGTTGTGCAAGTTTGATATCATCAACAAATACAGATAATACATTAACGCCTTCATGTCGTGGATCTTGGATATCAGGCGGTGATATTGAAGAATGTAATAATTTAAGATCAGTCGTGTCAGATCCTTTAATACCGATTCTTGAGAAAGTTCCAATTGAAAGCATTGATAATGAGAATGAAAAAAATCGCCAAAAGAATCGCCTTCGAGATGTATTTTCTCAAATTGTTGAAGATGATGACTATATTGAAAGACGAGTACCAGCAGAAATTCCAATGGAACATATGGGACATAGATTCATGGTCAAATTTTTACAGATGAAATTTGAAATAGAAATAGAACCAATATTTTGTTGCGCTGCAATTTATGATGCCAAAGAAAAGAGAAAGATATCTGAAAATTTCTACTTTGATATGAATACTGAAAGTATTAAACGAATGTTGAATTCCCATATACAATATGCTGATGTTAGTACCCAAAGTCGATCAGCAATTTTTGAAGTCAGTCATCCATCAAACGATCTTTTTCTTGTAATTCGTTTGGAAAAAGTACTACAAGGCGATATAAAAGAGTCAGTTGAGCCATATCTTAAGGAATTTTCCAATGTTGATAAAGCAAAACTTAATGCAATCGACTATACAGAAAGATTAGGAAAATATCGAGCGCCTTTTGCATTCACTGCGATATATTTGAATAATATATTTAAAGGAGAAAGCGAAAAGGAAGACAGAGAAAGCATTCAATCGACAAATGCAAGTTCAAATAGTTTAGATCGAAAAAGCATAAATAGTTTTGATCAGTTCAAAAAACGTGCTAGTGAAACTGTAACCACGACATTGTCCAGAAGAGGATCATTGGAAAGAAGAGAGAGCCAAAGACGCTCGTGGTCTCCATTTGAAGATTTTGCAAACTCGGTTGAAAGTTTTAAGCCAATTTCAATTACAATATCAAGCTTTTTTAAGCAAGAACCAGAAAAAATGAAAGATGAAGATCTTTATAAATTTCTTCCGGAATTAAAAAGACCTGGAAGTACAGTAATGAAAAAATATAAATGTATTCCTGGATCCATTAAATTAGAAGTATCGCCATTTGTTGAAGGAGAAGTAAAAAATGCATTATCATCGGAACTGGCTAAAATCAGTCCATATAATGATAGCGAAAAGAATTTACGACCAACAAAAGAAATTTTGGAATTTCCAGTTATTCCCATCTACAATACTCATTATTCCTATCGAAACTTATTATTTATAAGCCCTAAAGAATTAAACTTCTCAACAAGAACAGGCTCAGTACGTAATATTGCTATTAGAATGCAAATTATGGCTGGAGAAAAGCCATCGGATGCTTTGAATGTAATTTTTGGAAAGAGTTCATGTCCGCAATTTCAAAACGAAATTTATAGCTCAGTCAATTATCATAGTAAAGTGCCATCTTTCTATGATGAGGTAAAGGTACAACTACCAGCAAGTTTAAATCAAAATCATCACATCCTTTTTACAATCTTCCATGTCTCATGTCGTTCTGATAAAACAACAGATTCGATAGAAACGCCTGTTGGATGGACCTGGATACCTCTTTTGGTTGAAGGCCGTTTAAATGTTGGAGAATTCAATCTACCGATTTTATTACATGATCCTCCACCGTCTTATTCGTATATATCACCCGATGTTAATTTGCCTGGACTAAGATGGTGTGATAATCATAAATCACTCTTTACAGTTGTACTGGATGCATATTCTACAATTTATACTGATGATCAATATTTGTGCAAATTCTTTTACCTTGTGCAGTGCTTAAAGAACAAAAAAATTGATACACATATTGGAACTGAATCGAATTTTGAAAAAGAGTTGAAGAAATCATTTCACGATCTTCAAAGTGCAGACTTGAATGCTCTAGTCAAAAATCTTCAATTAGTTATGGACAAATTAATTGACCTTTTAGTAACAAGCTTTAAAATTGGAAATCACGTCATGTCAATTCAATCGAATGTATTTGAATCAATTTGCCTTATTGCTGATAAACTTTTTGAATTACAAGATACTCAAAATTATGGTCGTCAAGCCATTTTAACAACCTACGTTCAATATCAATGCACAATTCCACAACCAACAGAAAAACAGCCAACGTTTGTTGAGGAAAGTGACTCATCTGAGCAGACACGACATTTGCACGAAGAAATTGCTCTTCATTGGGTAGTTGCAAATAATGCTGCAGCCGAATTAAGTCTGACAAATTCATGGTTTCTTTTTGAATTAATAATTAAGAGCATGATTGAATATTTGGACAGTTCACATCAATTAAATGCACCGAGAAAGAATCGATTCTCTCGACAATTTACGGATGATATACAAACATTAGTTCAAATGATTGCATCAAAAATTTTTGGATATCATTTTTCAGACAAGAATTTGGCATTCAGCTTAAATAATAGCTTAGCATTTTTTGTTTATGACTTATTTTCAATACTCGATAGAGGATTTGTATTTCAACTTATTAAAAATTTCCTCAAAATTATTACAACAAAAAGTTCATCAAGCTCACCAGAAGTCAATCATTATAAACTTGATTTTCTTCGAATTGTGTGCAGTCATGAGCATTTTATAGCCCTTAATTTACCCTTTGGAACTCCATTTACATATAATATATCTGCACCAGCATCTCCGACATTAAGCATAAAGTCTGGAACTAGTCAACATTCTGGATCAACCAATCAAGATAAATTCGCTTTTGCAGACCTAACAGCTGATTTCAGACAGCAACATTTTCTCATTGGCCTCATTCTTGTCGAAATATCACAAACTTTTGAATCACCGTAAGTTCTTTTCTTTTCATCATTATAAATTTAAATCCAATTGAGTCATTTTTGTTCTCAGGAATCAAGCACTTCATGGACGTGCTATAAGATGTATCAAAAACTTGATGACTTCACATGAAATTGTGAGTAATACTTACATTTACCTCTGACTATCTGTACATCATATTATTTATTTGAATGATTTAGGACTCGAGATACAGTTCAATTGAGGCAAGATCTCGCATAGCTGCTCTCTATTTGCCACTCTTAAATATTGTCATGAATGCTCCTTTATTCATCTTTGATCAAGAACATTATTTATTGGATGATTATCAAGGACCAACCATTGCAACTGCAATCATTAATCCAGACATTTTTAATGCAATTTCTGGAAGCAGATTGTATACAGTTAATCAAGAAACAGCGAAAACAACAAAAGTACAATTAAGTGAGGCTCATACTAAGGATCTTCTTCATTGCTTTCTTTGGATTATTAAGAATTTGGAAAGTTCTGTGCTTTTAAAGTTTATAAGTTTTCTACCACCACAAAGAGTTCATTCATTCCTTCAAGTATTAAATAACTGTATACCATGCTTTGAGTATAAAGGACAAGCAATTAAACCGGAACCAAATTTATCACAGAGAAAAAGTCAAAGTTTTCGTAAGACATCTGATATGAAAGAGAAATTGGAAGATATAATTCGAGGAACTGGATCTGCTCGCAATGACTTGATTAATCGAAGAAAAGATGGAAATATTAATGAAAAGTTTCGATTCCGTAAAGATCAAATGTTTTATAGGACATCATTGCAAGGTCAGGATGCTAATAATCCTCAACCTAAATATGAAGATGCTGACTCAATGTTTTACATTGCTGGTTCATTATCGACAGAAATAACATTAATAATACTAGATGCATTAGAAATTATAATACAAGTAGCATCATCATCCGAAGTTCACAACAATCTACTTGGATCAGTTTTAAAACTTCTTCTGCATGCTTTATCACGAACACAATCGTTAAACGCTTTAATCAACTTGTTCGGTTCTCAAAGGTCATTTGTGAATAAATTTCATAATTTATTATTTGACGAAGAGAGTGATAATTGCGCAGATTTATGCTTGATATTATTAAAACATTGTGGATCCTCAATATCGACAATTCGCTCACAAGCATCTGGATCTTTGTATTGCTTAATGCGTCAAAACTTTGAATTTTATGGAAATAACTTTTCACGTGTCAAAATGCTAATCACTATTTCTCTTTCATCTCTTGTTGGCGGATCCTCATTTGAAAAGACTTTTAATGAAGTATCCTTACGTCGATCATTAAAAACGATATTGGTCTATGCTGATGAAGAACATCAGGATTTACAAATTACTTCATTTCCAGAACAAGTCAAAGATCTGCTTTTTAATTTACACATGATTCTGTCAGACACTGTCAAAATGAAGGAATATAAAGAAGATCATGAAATGCTCTTAGATTTAATGAACAGAATTGCAAAGGGTTATCAAAATTCTCCAGATTTACGTCTGACTTGGCTTGAAAATATGTCTAAGAAGCATATTGAAAAATCCAACTATACCGAATGTGCGATGTGTTTAATTACCATGGCGGCACTTGTTAGCGAATATTTACACATGTTGGAATCTCAAACTTATCTTCCTGTTGGTGCTGTGTCGTTCAGATTAATTTCACCAAATGTTCTTTCGGAATCTGCTGTGAGTGATGATGTTGTTCAGCCTGGTGAGGATGGAATGTGCTTGGGAAATCGATTTACGGAAATCGGACTTAAAAATTTACTTGAAGCTGCTGCTGAGAAGTTTCAAATTGCTGGAATGTACGAAGCTATGAATAATGTCTATAAAATATTGATTCCTATTTTAGAGCATTCAAAAGAATTCCAAAAGTTGGCCAAAGTTCATGGAAAATTACAGGAAGCTTTCAATCGAGTTTCACAGTTGAATGGAAAGAGAGTTTTTGCCACATATTTTCGTGTTGGATTTTATGGATCAAAACTTGGCGATCTGGATCAATTGGAATTTATTTATAAGGAACCACCATTTACTAAACTTCCAGAAATATTTAATCGACTTCAGATGTTTTATGAAGGACGTTTTGGAAGTGAAATTGTTGTCATCATTAAAGATTCAAATCCAGTAGATGTTTCTCAATTGGATCCTGAAAAAATTTACATCCAAATTACCTTTGTTGAGCCATACTTTGAAGCCTTCGAATTAAGACAACGTGAAACTCATTTTGAACGTAATTTTAACATAAATCGTTTCATATTTTCAACTCCATTTACAAAGGCTGGCAAGGCACATGGTGAATTACACGAGCAGTACAAAAGAAAAACAATTTTAACTACTGCCAATCATTTTCCATCTTTGAAAACAAGACTTCAAGTAATATCTAGACAAACTATAATTTTAGAACCGATTGAAGTAGCGATAGAAGATATTCAGAAAAAAACGTGTGAACTGGCTGCGGCTACAACTCAAGAACCAGCAGATCCCAAAATACTTCAAATGGTTTTACAAGGATGTATTGGAACTACTGTCAATCAAGGCAAGATCTTATAATTTAAAACTTTTTAAATGATTTAATCATTGACATTTTTAATTAGGTCCGATGGAAATGGCAATGGTGTTTTTGTCAGGAATAGCTGATGGACAAATAGAAATCACAAAGGAACAAAATAAACTTCGATTATGCTTCAAGGATTTCTCCAAAAAGTAAGTATATATTGGTATATATACGTAATCTAAACTTTACTATTTTCTCATTTTCTTTTCGCTTATTCTTTTAATTTGTCTATAGATGCAATGACGCATTAAAGAAGAACAAGAACTTGATTACATCAGAACAAAAAGAATATCAGCGTGAAATAGAGAGAAATTATTTAAAATTCACTGAAAGGCTTAACCCATTGATTAATATTAGTCGAGCACAAACTATTAATATAAATGCAAAAAATAACAAGTCTTATTTACGCTGGTAATTACGTATACTTAATCAGCAAACTTTTTTAATTGTGTGCATGTAACGACTTGATTAGTATTCTCTTACTTTTAATAAAGCTTTAATCCTTTTTGATTCAAAAATATATCTGTTACTAGTCAAATAACTGAAGAACCAAATTATGGTCAAGCATTAAATGTTACTATTCCAATAATCTTTACCATGCTTTCAAATTTTAAAAAAATAATAACTTTCATTTATAATTATTCAATTTTTGCAAAAATGACTCTTCAATAAATTAGATAATAGTAATTCATTTCTGACAATTCATGAGATAGCTTTAATGAGTAAAACAGTTTGATTCATTTATTTTAAATGAATTTTATTCTTTTCATAGATTTCTTTTTCGATACAATTATAAGGAAGAAAAAGAATACTTAAAAATGAAATAATTAAAAAATAATAATATAATATATTTTACTTTATGTGTAATTAATAATTTTCCCACTTTTTACATATTTCTTTTTTTTTTTGTATCATAAAAATTATGTTTATTCTTTTCTTTTTAAATAATATTGTGGTCTAATGTGTAGTTTTTCATCTTGAACTACAGACAATAGATGAAAATGCAAATCTTGATCTTCTGTATGAAGGCATTAAACTTTTTGTAGGTTTGAATAAAGGTTTCCAAAAAATAAAAGAAACTAATATCCAGGAATAAAATAACAATATTTTTTAACAACGATCTGAATTATTCGCCATGCATTGAGCTCTTACATAATTTCTCTTTTAATACATACATGTAGGTTCAATTAAAATATGTTTAGGGAAAGATATATTTGATAATTAAAAAGAGATGAGGATATAGATTTTTTGACAACTCAATTTTTGTAAAACTCATTTAATAAGTGTTTAATAATTTTGATAAATTGCTGATTATTTCAATTCATAACAATGAGATTTGATTTACTTTAATTAAGGGGACTTGATTTATTTTCTCTAAATATTTTTTTTTTCATCATCATCTTTAATGTTTGATTCAATAAAAACTTTCAATAAGAATGTTAGGACTATCACGAGAATTTTACTTTAACTATACTATACGTCAAGTTTTCCTTAACTGTCATAAGGTTTCCCCTTGAAAGAAAAAACTTCCTCGCCATCATCATCATTACTATCATTATGATACATTAATAGCTTAACTAGTCCTCAAATATGAATATTAATCTTCTGTTGTTGTAGCCGAAGTTTGAACATCATTATTGCTTATTGCATTATTTGTTTGTTGTTCAGTTGTTGTTACTGTGTTTGCCGGTTCATCAAAAAGCGAAGAAGATTCGTCGATTGATTGTTGTTGTTGAGGCTGATCTTTACTATTAGTAGTATTGGATGAAATTGGGGCGTCTTCCTCTTTGCTTGGTGTTTTATCATCATCAGTATCAAAAGCCAATGGATTGCTTCGAACTTTTGATCCAAGAGCTTCATGCTGCGGACTTTCTTCTTCTGTAAATAATCCCATATTTGATTGATCAGTTAATGTCGGCGCAACAGGAGATGATGTAGTATTTCCTCCACCAATTGGTTCCTGCTCATTTGTTGTTGTTAAAAGATTATGATGAATTAAGGACGATGCGCCTTGAACCAAATGTGTTGGCATTTGGGCATTTTGCTGAGCTTGTGTTAAATTATTGGTACTTCCTTGACCAGAGGAACCGCCAATTGCACTATTTGAGAGAGACTTTCTTGTTTTCTCAGATTTGCGCCACAAAGTAATTTCTTGTTGCTTAAAGTAGCGACGATCTTCAGTATCCATTAACACAAGATTAAGAAAATAACGCACAGAAAACTTTTTATTAATATCTCTCATTGTTGGTGTCAGATCATATCCTGCTAAAAATACTCGAATTGGAATACTTTCGCCTTTGACAGGGGCTCCATCCATTATTTCATATTTGGCGATCGTTTCATTTTCCGTAAATACATTCGAGCCTTTAAAAAGATTTTCAATATTAACTTTCAAGTCGACATAGCTATGGATTCGTTTACTCACCAGCACCAGTTGTTTCTCTTTTAATAATAGCTATTTCCATATGCTTGATTTTGATGCGAACCAGCAGAAAATAAATCTTTCCAACAATGACATCTTTAAGATGATATTTGCTCTTGTTGTACTCAAATTCTATATGTAGACAGTCTTCGATACCAACTTCCATTTTAATTGGACTATTCATGTCTGGATAACTGCTTAATGTGTGTACAGCTATGTCGACCTCACGCACAATATCGCTTATTCGTCGAACAATTGTTACACGCAAAAAGTACCTAAGGAACCAAACCAAGTAATATATGGAATCAGATATTAATGGGAAAAAAAAGTTATATACCTCAAACGAACATTCGATCCTGTATAAACTTCGTAGGATTTTTCCACATTTGGAAACTCAAAAGGGTAACTGGTATTCTTAATTAAATCTCCATGCCTCGCCAGTTCTTTTAATTGTGTTAAAAACTCATGATGATTTCCTCGGTCATAAAATAACTCAATTTGGCCTATGAATTATGATAACAAAGAAGCAACATTATATGAGCTGATTATGATAATTTCAGTAAAATGTAAAATATCTGTTTATGGACTATGGAACAGACCTATCAATTCAATTTTGATTCCCTGATGCTCTAATTTAGTTCCAGGCTTTTTTAATGTTACGTTGACCTAAAAATTAAGTTAAGAATTTAATACAGATCAAAATAAAATAAAGAGCAAACACATATTATAAACATAATTGCATTGATGGTGATAAATAATTGATAACATGAAGTAGTAAGTAAGGAATGAAGATTTAAATAAATTTGTGTGGGGAGTTTCTCTTCTCCGGAAATCATGATAATAAAATTATATGCGTACTTGTACGAATTTGATGCATTATTTTAAGGATATATAAATTGATTTACCTTGCCAGATATTGTTTCTCCATCATAATATAATAATAATTTTTCTTTTTTGCCACTTTCATCCATACGACACTCTGCATATTTTCGATTCTCTGTATCTAAGAAAAGAATATCTATATCTGCAGTTTGTCCGAATCCCAGGAAGTTCTGTAACATAATCAATATGCTTATTAACTATTTAAATACACTTTAATTATGAGTTTACCATCTTAAATCAGAAAGTTAATGATGAAAATAATAAAAATTCACGGAAAATTTCTTTATGCTCGAAAAATAAATCCGTATCAGTGATGCAGAAAAGCAGTAATGAGTACAGTCGTTCTGTTGACACAAGACTAACGCGCACATGATTGATATCTTTCTAAACAACAAACTTTCTTACCTGAGTTTTTTGAAAGGTATCACACTTCAACCATGCTTTTGTAAATTAAAACCGTTAATTTTGAAAGTCACTCACACTATAACACAATTCAGCTTAATTCAGCTGAAACAAATGTAAACAAGGAAAACTTTAAAAGATTTTTTTTATCAAAAACATGCCTAAAATGATGATTAAGCTCTTAAACATGTGGTACAGGACCAAAATAAAATGTACACATATTGAATTGTTTAGATTTAGAAGCCATTTTTACTGGTTTCTAGAAACTTTTGCAGATTTCTATTTTACAGCATTTCTTTATTAGTATTAGTTTTACAGCATAAAAAGATATTAGTAGCTATACATTTGATTGGCTTGAAAGATTTTAAGCAATGAATAAATACCTAGACGGACAAAATATTAATAAGGATGATCTGTAATTGACCGAAAATTCGATATAGATCCGGTAAATTGTGAATTTTTCAATTCATAAGCAGAATAAACGTATCAAGCATGTCATGTTCTGTTCACAATCTTTGATACTACTTGTCTAGTTATGAATATTAAAATGTTAAGTTTAATATAATGATTAATTAGCTTTTCTATTATTATCGCTTTTGTGCATAGCATTGTGTAACTTTTTCTCTCATTTAATTCACAAAAAAAGTCAAAAAATATAAATAAATTAAAAAAAGCTGAGGATTAAGAAGAAACAATTAGGCAGGAAATTAAATAGTAAGGCATTTTAAGAAGTAGCAGATACACAGAGTATAAAGTAAAATCAATCGTCGGTAATTAAATAAAAGCTTTCCAGATTGTTTGTGTGATGTCTCTAGTGTATAAATGTATAGATAGATCTTTGAGAAATTGAGCAGGAGAAGTGATGTGAAAAAATTATTTAGTCAAAAAGTTCGGTTGCGAAAAATAAACTTATACTATTTTTTAAAAGGAGTCTGAAGCTTAAATTTGGCTAAAATATTATCTCAAGTGTGTGTTCTTGTGGATCATTGCTTTATAAAATCATTTTAGCTTGTCAGTATTAATAGAAATTGATTTCATTTATGTCCATTTGGGAAAAGCAATTTCCCAGGAAAATTTTGGCATGGGAAAATTGAATAAATGGAACAAGTGAAAAAGTCTGCAGAAATGTTAAATCATTTAAATGCCAACAGTGTCACAAAAATCAACATAAATATAATTTGACTTTCAGAAAGTCAAATTCCTCTTAAATATACACATATATGTGAGTCCATAAAATGGTTAGAGAAAAGTCGGAAAATCTTTGAATGAAAAAGTGATGAAAAGTCAAAAGTACGCGTGCGCATTGGCATGAAAATTGAAGGAAAATTTTACTAAAAAAATAAAATAAAAAAAGGAAAGAAGAGAAATAAAAAATCTCGCATTGCAAAAGGAACGAAAAATCGGAAGTATTAAAAATATTTCCTTAAAAATCTTGCATTAAAATCGATAAAGATTTGTATCTATCATCTCATATATACCAGGATTATTGTGAACGGCATAAGTTAAAGCCAAAAAAGTGACTGCTTAAGATCTCATATTTCTAATCGTAGAAAATTCCTACATATGCTAATCGATTGAAAGCTCTTCCAGAACCTTAACTTGGCATGTTAGGCATTCTTTATTTCAATTGAAGATATCATTTGAATATATGGTGTGTAACGTATGCCTCAAACAAGTGATTCATTTGGAATATAGTGTTTTTTTTTATCCACTTTATTTTATTATATTATAGTGGAATATGTAATGATATCATAGTCTCCTAAAGCAGCTTGTTATTTGTATATCATATATTACATTCAGAATGAATATTCTCAGTCAGTTGCACTTGCAGCACATTTTAGTATAGTTGAAAAATTCTTTTGTCGTTTCCCAAAAGACCTATTTTTCTATTATTAGATGTGTGTTTTTGTAATTCAGGTATTTTTTTTACTCAGAAATCATAAAAAGCTTGAATGATCCTCAAATTGTACTATATTTCATTTCAAAAAATGCAATAAGAATAAAAGTAATAAAAAAAATACTATAGACGTAGGAGCGAAATAAAAAAAGGAAAACACAGTATTTCATTGACCTTTCTATTTCTACACTTACGTAGTGTCTCTATCTTGTTTATTTATAATCTTCATTGTATCACTTTAAATATATACACATATCCTAACTTAAAAACAGGAACAAGAATGTGTTTCACGTGATAAAATAAAATTAACAGCACGCAACAGTGAATAAATATCAGTATAATCAGCAAAAAATGACGTCTAAGAAAAGAAAAGAAACTAATTTGTGAAAATCCCTCATCCATAAAAATGAGAAAGAAAACTAGAAATGACGTTCATAATGCGAAAATCAATTTTACTTAATATCGTCTCAGTTTTCACATACATATTATATTCATTTGAAACTGTCATTTCATCCTGAATAAGATATTTGAGGATTTCATTTTATTGCTGTACGTTTCATTTGGACATAATTCTCTACTTTGCTTTTCTTCTTTCTTCCCTAAAGCTTTTTACTACAACAATATGAAGCATTTCCTATTGCTTCATCGATTAGTATCGGTCAGTTTTCTACTTCATTATTTATTTGATTAAATTTTGCACGAGACGAGAAACAAGCATTGAAAATCGTCAACTTATGCCTACACTCAATTACTTATAAAGGAACTTTATGCAAAATGAAATTGCATTAAGTGTGTGCTTAACGGATTTTTTTTTCGAAAGTAATTTAATAATACCTAGTTTGCATCGGAAACTGTCAGTTACTACTGTAATATGTAATTGTTGTTTAAAATGATTTTTAAAGCAATTAAATTTAAAAATATATTTGTCGTAGCATTCACAATAACTTACATGCTGCTGACTTCTATGATATAAAATCAAGTGTACGATTTAAATATTCGCCTTATACGATATCGCCAGTTTTTAATGCATTCACCTTTCGTTTGCATTTAAAACAGTGATTGTATAGCATTGTGAATCTTTTTGTGACACTGGATGTGCTAAGTTAACATTCGTGCAATTACGGAAACTCAATGAGTGATAATAATTTACGTATTTTAAAACTTGTTATGGAAAAGAATCATTCACAAATGATGTCTGTTGGTCACATCACCGGACGTCATAAATGAACGACACTTAAGTTTTAAAATGCATTTTCTTCTAATTGATAATATGCTGTTTACTTATTACGTAACGCTTTTTAGGGGGGTCTAAGATTTGTTACGGTTTTTTTCATACAAATTTTTATACAAAGGGGGGTTACGTGTAATAGGTGAATAAATTAAAATGACATATTCATCATTTTTTTATTATTTTTATTTCGTTTAGATCTTTACTATTTTAAGTGAACTAGATTTGTTGTGAGTAGCGATAGTTAGTACAACAAATAACAAAAAGGTGTTTGAAGGAAAAATTAAATAAAATCAAGGGTCATGTGCAATAATTAATTCAATCTTGTGTGGAAAAAAAAACATTACATACATAGACATCTAATACATAGTGCTGTTACAAACATCTTTCGGTGAAAAAAAAAATAAACTTAAAAACAATGCTGAACTAATTGTTTAAAAAAAGTGATTCAAGTAGCATTTATTACATTCGGCACTGCTAGCAGAAATAATTGTTATTAAATTTAAGCTTCTTCATCAAGCCTAAAAAAGTTAATGGACATAAAACATAGCTCTAAGTAAAATATCTACCTAGGAGCTTTTTAATACAAAAGAACAGAAATATTGTATCAACAGGTTGTTCGCAAATAAACTTAAAATGGCTACGACAGCTTGTACACGATTCTCAGATAACTATGAGATTAAGGAAGAATTAGGAAAGTAAGTATGATTTCATATTTTTGTTTGAATATTATTAAAATAAATATAAGGCATATCCATCGAAAAAATGTCTGTAAAAGTTTATTAACTCTGTTAATGTAGAGTTTTATTACTTGAAATAAAATAATCATCGTTTCCATATATGAAGTTCTTCAAAATAAATATATGAATCTTTTTTCAATTTATTAAAGCATGACTCAACTTCAATTCAAATATTTCTAATTAAATGTCAAAGTTTAAAACTTAATATAATGTTATTCTTGCAGAGGTGCATTTTCAATTGTAAAACGATGTGTTCAAAAATCAACAGGACTTGAATTTGCGGCTAAAATTATCAATACAAAAAAATTGACATCTAGAGGTATGATTGTAGAATCCGAAATTGTCTTTAATGAAAATGACAAGAACGTTTAATTATTAGATTTTCAAAAACTTGAACGTGAGGCGAGAATCTGTCGGAAATTGCAGCATCCTAATATAGGTAAGGCAACCACACCACACAGGAATTAAAAGGAAATTAAACATTTTTTAACACAATAAATCATTGGGGTCCAGACAGTAAAGGATTTCAAGCATAAAATTTAAAAAAAAAATTGTTTTGGATTGAAAATTGTCTAGCACTGCCAAGTTAAAGTTTCGCAGAAAGTATCAAAACAACCAATTCCACAGACATAAAAATGATAATGTTCTATGTTGTGAAAAAGAAGATAAACAAAAACCTGTTGAATGCTGAATCGCGGAGAGTAAACAGATTTTAATGACAATGTTGTATCTTTTTATAGTATTATTAGAAACAACTGTGGCCAAAAAGTTTGAAAGTATTTGGGATGGATCTTTGTTTGGACATTGTCTTTGTTCCATTTCCTCTTTCCACAATTCCTCAAACTTCAAGTGTGTAATTCATCATGTCTTATAAACTTTTTTTAAGGTTTAATCCAAAGTTAAACATTGTTCTTTCTTAAAATAGTCACATTAAGTTTGATGCTTATGAATTAAAGCTATACTATCGAGATAACTTAATTTAATTGTAATAAAAAATGTTTCAATTCTACATTAAGATTGAAATTATATCTCTATTGATAAATGTAAATATTTGGATGCTTTAAAATGCTTCTCATTCCGTTCGATAAATATTTACATAAGCATTATTCACAGAAAATCACTCATATTATAAATGCTCAAAAAAAAGTTATTTTAATAAGGCATCATTAGATATCATTTTATTATTATTTGAAACTTGATGCTGACAATAAAACATATCTTAAGATAAAACTACTATACATTTTATTCCATGTCATTCTAGTGCGGCTGCATGACAGTATCCAAGAAGAAAATTTCCATTATCTTGTATTCGATCTGTAAGTATTACTCATCGTTTAATTTAATCAGTAGACACCGCCAAAATATTTATTTTGCCTTTCATTATTACATTTCAAACTTCCAAGTCAAAGAAAAAGCAATGCCGAAGATATTTGAGCAACATGTGTATCTTTTCATTATTTGTAATCAATAATAATTTTTTATATTGGCGAGCATTAAATTTCATGACATTAATCTTCTCAAAAAGAAGCGTTGATTGAGAAGCGAATCATATGATTCTTTTAATATCTATATTAAAATCAATTCACTATACAGAAGTCTACTTTTGTTACTAAAATTGAACTTGCTGGGCATGTGTGTAGTAAGCATATACACAGACAAATATGAAAAAAATCTGATTTATTGTTATATTCATCATTTTCAATTAATAACAAGGCATTTTTGTTAGTTTTTCATCTCTCTTTTTCATTTTGACTAATAATAGATATACACAAGGCACACAAAAAATCAGTTCCACATTCTCAAAAAAAGTATTTTCCTTTATTTCGTGGTGAAAGGTATTACGATTTGTGATTTATCGTCTTTTGTTTGATAAATTCAAGTTTAAGTCCAATTATTTAGCTTTAACATGTAATAACAAAGCTAGATCAAAAAGTCTAAACATTTGTTTGACATGAGTATAATAAACCTTTCATCATAGATCAATGTCCAATTTTGTTTTTTGCGATACATATTCCTACTTACTATTAATATCTTGTATTTTGTTTCAAAGCGTTACGGGAGGCGAATTATTTGAGGATATTGTCGCACGTGAATTTTATTCAGAAGCTGATGCATCACATTGTATACAACAGATTCTCGAATCGGTAAATCATTGTCATCAAAATGGGGTAGTTCATAGAGATTTAAAGCCTGAAAATCTCTTACTAGCAAGTAAGGCCAAAGGAGCTGCTGTCAAACTGGCGGGTAAGTTCTTGAATAGAGACATGTTCATGGTAAAGATTGAATTTTATCATCTTTTGTCAAAAGATTTCGGTTTGGCAATCGAAGTTCAAGGAGATCAACAAGCTTGGTTTGGATTCGCTGGAACACCTGGATATTTGTCCCCTGAAGTATTAAAGAAAGAACCATATGGAAAGGCTGTTGATATTTGGGCTTGTGGAGTAATTTTGTACATTCTTCTTGTCGGGTATCCACCATTTTGGGACGAAGATCAACATCGCTTGTATGCACAAATTAAGGCTGGTACTTACGATGTAAGTAATAAACTCAATATTCAATCTAGTAGAAAAATCAAAAACAAAAATAATATTTTCCAATACATAGTATCCATCACCCGAATGGGATACAGTTACACCAGAAGCCAAGAATTTGATAAATCAAATGCTGACTGTTAATCCATATAAGAGGATTACATCTGCAGACGCTTTGAAACATCCTTGGATTTGTGTAAGTATTTGTTTCATTCTCGAGCAAAGCTTTTGACATCATGGTGCATAAATTGGAAATGTCTCGAAAGCATGCTCAATTTTTTCTAATAGAAAAAAACTTTATTGAATATCACATACGTTTCCTTTTCTTTTTTCATAGCAACGTGAGCGTGTTGCATCTGCTGTCCATAGACAAGAGACTGTCGACTGCTTGAAGAAATTCAATGCTCGACGTAAGCTTAAGGTAAGATTTGAATAATTTCAATATTATTATAACTCGTATAATGTTATAAAATCTCCTATATTATAAATCATAGGGCGCCATCCTTACGACAATGTTGGCAACTAGAAATTTTTCAAGTGAGTACTTACGTTTGTTACTGTAAATTATCGTGCATCTTATTAACCATTTGACGTATTTTTTGTTTTTTGAACAATTTAGGTAAAAGTATGATAACAAAGAAAAGTGATGGCTCACAAGTTAAGGAGAAAGAATCAACAGATTCAAGCACGACTTTGGAAGATGAGGATTTAAAGGGTAAGTCTATAGAAATTTATTCATTTATTCCTTTTATTTCTCTTTCTTCTACCTTTCTTTTTTTCTTTCTGACTAAATCAGTAAAGCTTTCTCTATGAAAATTAATTAATTTTTTTTTTGATTTTTAAAACTTTTATGGACGAGAGTTTTTCGCCTTTTCATTTTGTGTTTCAATTATTGACTCTTCCTTGAATTTTTAATTGAATCTCATTAAAGGTTTAGTTGTTTTTGCTTAAATTATTCATCTGTTCTGAATCAGTTATCATCAATCCTCTCACAAGGCATGATAATTTAATGTTTCCTTTATTTCGTATTTTCTTATTTGATAAAAGTGGACATATCATGTTGCATGCACAGAACAATGTTAATTATAGCATTGCAATCAAAATTAGAGGAAAAATGAAATTCTTTTCCATCGTTAATATTTAACTTTAAAGCAAATTCATTTTTATTTTCTCTTTTGGAAGTGAATTTCGTAGATTAGGCATATGCACAAATCTTATGCTTAAAATACAATTTATTTCATCAAACGCAAAGTAGTCATTAGATGTTCCCTTTATTTAATGTTTACATGTATAGGATTGCAAAACGAGATTAGCGACATAAATTTCCTTAAATTCTTTAAAATTCAAGTAAAAATCCCTTTGAGGTAATTAATACTTTATAAAAAGTTGATTATTCAATGACACAAATGATGTTCAAAATTTTCCCAAATGTTTTTAATTGTCCACATAATTTATTTTATTGTTTATAAACAGCACATTAGTTTTCTTAATGCACAATTTGCATGAATAGTAAAGCTCTTAGATATTATTGATAGTAAAGAATAACATATTTTGAATGATAAGCTAGAAATAATAGAAAATACAACTGAATAGTCTTTTATTACACTCACTAATGTATATGATGTACAGCAATAAAAAAAGACTATTATTTCAAACATTTTTCCTAAAATCTTATGTTTTAAACATCACATAAAGCACTTTTTATATGCCAGGTTTTTTTTTTGTAGTCCCACTTACACCATATCTCTCTTGATTAGTATGTTTCATTCGTTTAAACAGTTAAAGATAAAATTACAAACTTAAACATTCTTGGACAATTGAGAAAAGTATATTAATGTTGAAATTGTATATGACAATATTAGGTGGTCGAAGTTTTTAATTTTTACAATTTATTTGAAAAATATCTTAACTAGATAAGATTCATAACTTCAGTAAAATTTAATATGAAATTAATATTTTCTGGCATTGATTCAAAACTTAACCGAGGAATTTAGAATTTCATTGCTTAAATATGTTTTTTTTTGGATATTAGAATATATGATACTAAAACATGCACTATTTGTAGTTTCTACTTGAATTTACTTTTAAAAAAAACTACCAATAATAAAGCATTTTATTCACCCATATACTATTTTTAGTACATACGTAGTCGGTTGAAATATCTTTTCTATTTGAAATTATTTAAATCATAATAATAATTTTAAATCAAAATATTATCGAAAAGAATTTTTCTGTTAATTTTTATCATAATTAATTTATTAGTTGCCTTGACGCAAGTCATTAGATTTTTGAATATTCTAATTTTAGTTAAAATCTTTAATTTTTCCTTTTTTCTCTTTCAAATTTTCTTAAAAAGCTACTAAAATATCTAATAATTTTTGTGATCTCGTATTTTTTTTAAAAAATCGGTAATGAATTTTTCTTTTCTCCAATTGTTTTCTTTATATTTCTCTCAAATGAAAAAAAAATATGAAATTTATAAAATGAATGAAAAATATGAAATAAAAAAATTTAAAGATGAGAAGAAAGGAGGAGTGGATCGCAGCTCAACGGTCATAGCTAAAGATCCAGAAGGTAAAAATACACACAATCACTATTAACATTAAATATTATTATCTATTTTATTTCTTTAATCATTCAAAATATTCACAAAATACCTATTTATATAATTATTTATTCATATTTTATGAGTTTAACTTTATTATATATGAAATTATGCAAACATTTCTATTTTTTTTTCATTTTAATTGCACTTTATTGCATTTATTGACGACATACTGTCCGGAAATTTGATTCTTAAAAATAATAAATTTGTCGTTTAAACGATATTTTTATAAATGCGTTGATTGATGCTGATCAAATGGTGACCACGACACTAAGAAATGTTATTTTGACACGAAAAAATATAATTGAGGGGAAAGGAAATGAAAATAGATTTCTTCAAAAATGCTTTCAGCATAATTCAGAGGCTTTAAGTACATTAACAAGATTTTATTCTGCTCCAGAATAATAATATGAAAAATAATCTTATGCTCAGGGCTGACGCTAGATATTCTAAGCAGGTGGCTTTTATTGTTTAATCGTCCTTCAAAATTTTCTAAATCTGATTAGAGGATATCTAGTAATCGGTTCTGCTTATTGATATTGTCGAACTAAGAACTAAACTCTCAAAAATAAATATTTATAATTAAACTTGTTGAAATAATTTTTTAATTTTCTAAAATTATATATTTATTGGACATCCAAAAAGCGTGAGAATAATTTTTAAATGTTTTGATTAAGCATATGAAGATCATTTTTGGTTCCATATTTTTATCATGCATTTGAAAATATTTCTCGTAGCTTCTAGATTTTGCTAAATCAATGATATGATATATTTAAACATATTATTATGATTTTAATACCAGACAATTATTATTTTATTTCATAATTTTATGTATTTTCTTTTATTTATGTTATTAAAAAAAATAATAAAACTCTGGTCTACGCAAAAATTCCATAAATGCTGTCTGATTTTTGATTGTATCTAAAAATAAAATCGTCAAATTTGATTTGATGCATCGATATCAGATAGACCGCCAACTTCAGCAGCAGCTGGCTTAATAGGAAGCTCCTTAACTGCAATTGCAGCTACTGGATTTGCTGGCATGGAAAGTTTAATGAGTGCTAATAATCTCAATCAGAATCAAGATAATTCACGAAGATCAAGCACACCAAGTGCCTCAAGTTCGACACCAACGACAAGTAGCGGAGGGGGCTTTAGTAGCATCTTTAATCTCAAATCTGTAATTAGTGCTGCAACTAAAACAGCACATCATCAACAACCACAGCAACAGCATTCTCCAAATCAAACATCTTCGAATACAAACTTTCATATGCCTCAACCTATCACAACTATAGCAGATCAATCAACATTAATGGAATCTCATGCCAATCCTACAAACATATCACAAAAGCCCGTCCAAGGTATACTCAATCAGCTTTTTTGCTCAATGTGCTCTCGTCTGCGTTTATGTGGCGGCTGTTGTCCATAACAGAATGTCTTGTTATTTTTTGTATTTTTCTTTATGTTTTATTCCGTTTGGTGAAATATTGTTTTAATTAACATAATAAATCAAAGCTTTTGTACTTAACATGCATCAATTAAAACCATGAAAGGTGTTGAAGCTACTAACATAAAAAATTAAATGGAATATTAAGCAATAAAGTTGTGTCATTGGAACTAAATTGCAAAGGGGATATTTTTGTTGGCAATGCTTTGATTGCATTTTTAATGAACTTAATAATATTACTCTACAGCAAAGCTGTAAGCTGCTTAAATATTTTTTAAAGTGTATTACACAATTTATTTTCTTCCATTTCCTTAATTCCTGTCAATCACAGTCTTTTCATATTCTTTCGTTCCATTTCCCATGCTTTATTTTTTAAAAATTTATTGAAGTAATTACAAATTACATTAATATGCCCTTTTTCGTGTATTTTGTGTGCTGTGAAAATTCTTGTTTTTTCGTAAAAAAAATTCAAGTTCACAAATCTCCTCGAATTGTGCCAAGACATAGCGATGATATGAAAAATGATTCAACTGGAAGCTTTCCTAGTATCGAATCGTTACATACGGGTAATATTTTCTTTTTTAAACCCTCTCAAATATATTCATTGCCAAAATTAAATTTACATCCAATTAAATCTTAAACAAACTTCAGAGACCTAAATAATACCCTCTTCCTGAAACTATATTTTCCTTCAAAAATTTGTATAATTCATACCAATTGAATAGTGTATTCGGAAGAAGAAATATAACTTTCTAGAAACCAACTTTCCAATGAATTTCCTTGCAAGTGTAATTATTAAATTATTGCTAGTATCGATCCTATTTCTCTTATAACATTTCTGTACGACTAACTTTGTTCTTTTTTCAATATTGTGCTTCATGAACTAAATCCGCTTAAATGAAATGTCAAAAAATTCTATAAACAATAAAAAGAGGATAGTGACGTTGCATATCGACCTCTGGGTGTACATAATAATAGTTGGACAAACGAGGGTGAGTCCGATTTTCTAAAGACTTTTCCTATTTGTGTTTTGCGTTAGTTCCTCTGAAAGAAATCGGCTAATTTGTATTCTATAGTTAAAGCTTGAAATTTCAATGTCAGTTCAATACAATAATAAACAGTACAATAGTAAAACTGAAAGTTTTATGCTGCACATGTGCAGACATTCAATATGTTGAACATAAATTTGAAAATATATCTTTTACTTTTTTTTGCATTTCATGCAGAAGCATATTAAGGAAACAGTATAATAAGAAATGCTCTTTATTGTCAATATTGATCTTTCTTTTATTTACTAAAACTTGTTATTCTTATCTATACAAATATCTTTTCAAATTGGATTAGATGTATTATTCACTGCAATTTTGATTGTCGCTATAAACATGTAATCGATTGAAGCTTTATTTTATTGCCATTTTTCTAACCTTTTTCGATTTCATGAAAAAATATGTTTCCTTTCCCCATAATAGTTATAATGCATTTGCTCGTTTAAACTCTTAGTAAAGCTCGCTAACAACAAATATAAATAAATCGGATGATTCAAATCGATATTAGAAATTGGAGATCCTCCTGAACATTTTCAAATGTGAAGTAGATTACCTATTGATTAGCATCTGTTTTGTAGTTATACGTATCATGAACCTTCATTAACATATATAAATAATATTTTGCCCTGATATCCATCTATGAAATATCGTTGTGGTCTCAAATCCTGAACTAGAGAATCTGTTCAATTTCCGCAAAATCTTTTAAGGATTTTATTTCACCAAAAAAAGTCACGAGGCTATGCTTATTTGAAGTAAGGAAATCCAGACGATTATTACAACAGAAATTGAAATAAATAAGAGTTCAGATTTAATTTTTTTAAAAATTAATTCAGCTATTATGATTTTCAATCACAAATTCCCAGCTTTTGTTCATACATATTTCTTTGTTTTTTTTTTGAGTATTTTTTATCGCATATATGCACACACATTTAAATATTTTATGCTATACTAAAATATAAATATTTTTTATACCATAAATCCTCCCATATAAATTAAACGATGATGAAATCCTTGCAAATTAGATATAAGGATTGTGTGTCCTGCTAAAACTTATTCTCAACTATCTACCAATTCACAAAGTTCAGGTAAGAAAAAATCTTCTAAATATGCAATGGTGATACAAGTACTCAAAATTATAATCATATTAACAAAATTTATTCTACCATTTGCATATTTGAATGAACAATAGCTTTCTTTTGAATGTATTGAGCAGTATTAAGATTTCTTGATCTTACATAATATACTGATACCATGAGAGAAAATTTTCATTTTATTTTTTTGTTTCTTATTATTTGTTTTTCCCAAACAAAAATTCTTCTTATTTTTTTCATAAATTTTTCAATAAAATTCAGCCAAGAGTATACGATGTATAGTAAACGCTTTTGTTGTGTGATAGTGAAATGAAATAACGAAGAGATATAGAACTGAGGAAACAGATTGTTTTGTCTTTTATCTACATTTTTTTTTGAAATTACATTTCCTTTTATTTTTCATATATAATGTTAATCTGCATGCGTACATGCTGAGCATATATTTTGTCAATGACCCTATGTTCTGAAGTATGAATCCTCCCTTCCAATCAATTGTTCAATTTTCAAAAAGCAGTTTTTTTAAGAATATTAAAATATTAGAAATCCCAATTTTGATAAAAAATTTATAGCGTTACGTAATATCCAAACCTCACCTTATTTATTTGATACCGCCATTTTTGATAAATCCTTTATTTTTAACGTCCGATAATTTAATATATTAATTCAGTTTCCAATATTTTTAAAAGCTTCTCAAAATTTCTTCAATATTCAGCAGTCATTCACTTCTTTGCTTTATTTATTGTTGTTTCTATCGTAATTAATACAGGAAAATAATTGGTCGACATTCAAGATACTTTGTACATGAAAACTTAAAGTTTAATTCCTTACTCAAGTTTAAGTTAATTACAACATAACAACACTTTTTAAACTCTGAAATGTATCAACATATAAAGCAGAAAGTAAAAAGCTTTTAAAGCTTAGACATGTGAATGTGCTTTTTAATCTTTCCCTACTTATGAGAACTAGAATTAATTAATTTTGTCTTTATAGCAATTCAGTGTTGTCATGTGTGTTAGGTTGTAAGTGATTATGAAACTTTTTACCGCTACATAAATATAGAGCTATCCGCTTCAGCGGAAATTGTAATAATAATAATGCTGCATTATGAGGAACTACCAATATGTTTTGTCTGTAAATTTGTTATTGTCCTTATTGTTTTGTTTTAGTACGTTTTAGAATAAAATGAAGCTTAAACTTTCTCTTTTGTTTGTTTTAAGTTATTTTACTTATATTTCCTTTATTTATTCTTTCGTTTTTGTTTAGCTCGTCGTCAGGAAATAATTAAAATGACTGAACAATTGATCGAGGCCATCAATAATGGTGATTTTGATGCATACACGTGAGTCATGTCTAATGATAAAATAAGTTGTATGATTTTAACGGAATTTATTCTTTGTTTGTCCTTATAGAAAAATTTGTGATCCTCACTTGACTGCATTTGAACCTGAATCGCTTGGTAATCTCGTCGAAGGAATGGATTTCCATAAATTTTATTTTGAGAATGGTATAACCATTAAATGATGGTCTTCAATGAAGTTATTTAACTAATTTGTTGTCATATTGCTTTCATTTAGTGCTCGGAAAAAATTGTAAAGCTATCAATACCACCATTCTTAATCCACACGTTCATCTTTTAGGCGATGAAACAGCATGTATTGCATATGTTCGACTAACTCAATATATTGATAAGTAAGTTTCATCAACTTAAATAGCTTACACATTCCATAAATCCTGTGTTTTTTATTATCTTTCTGTAGACAAGGCCATGCTCATACACATCAATCAGAAGAGACGAGAGTTTGGCATAAACGTGATGGAAAATGGCAAAATGTCCACATTCATCGTAGTTATACAGGCAATTTAAGTGGAGCAACACCATTTGATTTTGGCCATAGTAGCAAATGAGTTTCTAGTATGATCATGTAGTTTGGGATTTTGTAGAATGATTGAACGTTTTTATTCTTGTTTCTTTCTTCGAATTATCATTTTATTTCTGTGGAAAGGAAGGATGTACACAAATTACCACCCACCAATTTATAAACGAAAAAAAAAGTTAAAGAATAACTAGAAATTAAGATGATATTCGATTTGATCATAAGCACATTTTCATTTCTAATTTCGTTTATTGATGTAAAATTATATCATTTGAAAATGTAAAATCGTGAAAAAAATTAGCTAGAGATGGATAGTACGAAAATCGAAGTTTGAATTTCATTACTTTTTAAATTAAATGTTTAACAAAAGAAAAAAAACGAAAATGACATAATTTTTATTTCCGTTGTCATCTCTTTCATTCTATTCCGTTGTCTAAATTCATTCAATAATTCATCGAAGTTCACAAAATAACTTTATATGGAAAACAATCAAATTCTTGCAATGTAATCTTTTTAAATGTAATTTTTGAATGTTAAGTTTTCCAAAAGAATGAATTCTAGTGATAACTTAAGACCACATTGTCTACAATTTTTATACGATGGAGATCCTTAGATCATTTTTAAATACTAAAAACTGATGATCTTTTAATTTAACGTTTTAAAAAGGAATTATTGATGGTCTTACTTTCAATCACTAATAAATTCAAAATGTTTCTAGAAGAAAGATTTACTTAAATAAATTTAACAAAATTGATATAGGTAAAGTGATAGGAACTCTAGTTGTAACCTAATTCCGTAGATGTCAGTTAATGCCAGTTAAAAGTTTATCCTCATGACCAAGCTTTCTATATCAATCTTGTTGAATTCTGTATGCATCTCCAAATTGTTAACATTATTTGATAGTTTTTCTATGTCTTTCACTTCATTTTCTAGAACTTATATATTAGTTGAATGAATAATTTATAACTACTTAATAGTTATCACTAAGTTTAAAAGCAAAGATACTAAAAAAATTAATTTATTGAAAAGTTAATGTTGAAAATGTTCTAGACTTTTTGTATTGTTTTACTTACTACCTATCGTTCTCTCTATTTTATACATTTAAAAAAATATTAATATGAATAACAGACATTTTTGTATGATAGATGTTGAAGGCATTTTTCTGAATTCTGAATTTTTGAAGAAAAAAACTAATTGATCATATTATAATGAATATTTCTATATATTTGACGAGTAATTAACATTTGAGATATGGAAAAGAAACTTGTTTAAATTGTAAAGTCAAAAACATTAATTCATAAGATAAAAGAAATCTAATCAAATATCAAAGCATATTTTATAGGAGTTAAGGGTAAAAAGAACGTCATGGAAATGGCAAGTCATATTATATTTACAAACATGCATTGATTGAAATAAATATTTCAACACTCCCCTTAAATGTAATGGGCTAAACTATAAAATTCATGAGTGATTTTCACGAAAGAATGAGATTTAAAGAAATAATGGAAACAATTCTCCACATACAGTTTAGGATATAAATATATAATATTAAAAGAGTATAAAATTGATCATCTCAAATTCTTTTACAACAATAACCTCTAAACACTCTCTATTTTTTAATAACTTAATTATTTTATTTATTATTTTCTGTTTTAATGAGCCAGCTTCCTTGGAGAAAAAAAATATTTTGCAGTAGGTGTTCGTAGAAATGCAACAATACTACTATAGGTTTATACTATGTTATTATCTCTTTGTTTTTGATGTTATTTAATCCAATCAAATTTATTTTCCAAATGAGATCGTTCACAAATAATATCTATCATCTAAAGATGCTGCTTGAAATTTCATGTTGGACTTCATTAGTTCCGATCCCAAACAATGAAACATTAGCTAATAATAAAAAGTGTTAATTTAGGTGAAAGGTTCATTTGTTTTATGATTCTCAAAGATTATTATTTATCAATAAGAGACTGTCACGATTACAGATTCATGAACAATTTTGATGAAGGGATAACTTAAAAGAAAAATTTTGTAATTAGGACAGTAAAATATTTCTCCTTCTTTTTGAGATAATATTATGTCCCCATTTCGCTATCTCTGTAATACTTAAAGAAGAAAGATAAATAGAAAAGAAAAATAAAGAAACCAAAATATGTGGACAAATTTATACAATTATATGAATTGAGACAAAGGTTTAATCATAATAAATGTGTTTTCATTTTTTATAATACAAACATTCATCATTACATTTATCATAACGTGAAGAAATAAAGAACAATTTAAATTGTAAACATATTAAGGGGCTTGAAGAAAAGAATATTATGAAAAAAATAGTGGCACATTGTGCTATAAAATAGTTGGAAATATGATTCTTTAAAGTATAGAACACTTAAAAGTGAAATTAAACAAAAATAAAACATAACTCATAAAGAGCTTCAAATATAACTACCTACATCTTCTATTTTAATGAGAACAAAAATGAAATGAAATAAAAACTATTAAAATATGATTGTCTCAATTTTTACACAAAATAAAATTTTTGTTATAGCGAAAAAAATTGAATTTTCATTAAAGTTACCAAAAATCAGTTGCAATGTGTTAAAATAAATATTTAAAAAAAATTGTCATTTTTTTATTATTGTTTCCACTTAAACAATGAATTTCTGTAAAAAAAAGAACAAAATATATTATGATGAGTGTGATCAGAAATATAATTAACTTTGTCTTTTCTTTAAATTTACTTTAATAATTTCTTACAGATAAAATTACTTCCTATCCACGAGTCTACCACATTGTGGTGAGTTTCAACCTTTTCCAATGCTTTTTGAATTTGTTTTTAGTTGAATCGGTTTTAAACAGTTCGTTTTTACGAAAGAATTTTAATGTTTGAACTTTGTCCATCTGTTTTACTTCTTCTTAAATAAATTTACTATGTTAAAGATTTATAATGTTCTTAAATCAATCAAAACTGTTTTGGATCTTTTAAATTTTTTAATACCCCCCCCCCCCCCTTGACCTCCCTACCTAGGCTGACCATGTGACAATAAAATAGTTTTGATTTGTTTTAATTTGGTCAAAAAATAAATGAAATTGGTAGAAACGTGGAATGTCCTCTATTTAACTTTACGTCCTTTATTTTCAAAATATATCTGATCATCATATCTCTACCTTATTTTAATAGATACTATAATCAACACCCCCGTGTCATTCTCAACAATCTCAACGTGTTAATTCGTTTTCAATAAAATTAAGTCTACAAGTTATTATGCGCTGGCAGTCACACAATCTGCAGTATACTTTATTACTAATTTTTGAATTTTTATGTAAAGTTTGAAATTGAAATCAATCTTAAAATATAAAATAAAGGCTATAAAAAATAAATTTATGCTTAAAAGTTGGAGATTAACATAAGAATTATTAATGTAAGATATCAAAGTGCTATAAACTCATACAGTTTTGAAGAAATTTGTGTAAACTGACTATTTACGTTTGAATTGCGGCAAAACAAATTGTGCAGCTGCGCAATTTACGCTGTTTCTAAGGTCTGGCATCAATTTTTTGCTGCTACTTCAGCCAGTCTAAATTGTTCACTGTTTTAAATAACACACAAATTATTTTCCTTCGTAGTTTATTATTAAGGAAAATATAATTTTATTAATAAAAGTGTATCAAAAAGTATTTTGAGCAGTTTATTTAAGGATCTATAAAGCAGAGTAATATTAATAAAAGTGATTGTGCAGCTTTTCCTCAAATAGAAATATCCTGGAAGAAAAAGAATAACAAAGAAATTTATTTTGACTGCCAGGATTATTGCTTAAGAAGGAAAAGGGGAAAATAATTGAGTGAATAATGATTATTTTAAGCAAGTGATACATCAAAAAAGTATAAAATTGCTAGTTAAAATTATAATCAAACAGTGAAAGAAGTTAGAACGTAAAAAAGTGAAAATTAAAGTGATAAAAAAATTTTAGACGAATATATAACAATGGATATGGATAAATTTTGCAATTGCAGTATAAAGGAAAAGGAACAAGTATATACGGCAGCTAGAGACGGAAACTTATTATATCTAAAGGTAAGTTTGTGGAAATTTTGAATTTTTGGCTGTGACATCGTCTATTGATATATTAAAAGAAATTTATGTATCTGCGCTAGAAATATCTTGACTGACTACAAAAACAACAACCCTGAGAGGAAAAAATACCAGATTCTATTAAACCTTGAATTTTTTTCGGTTCCTCTTTGTTTATTTTGGTTCGATTTTTTAGATGTTTCTTTTTATTAGTGAAAAATGTGCCTTTGAAGCTATCAACATTTTTGAAATTCATATGACATTTTCTCTGATGACTCAAATCATTTCTAGAAATAAATGTAGATATCTAATGAGTCTACTTTTACGATGAAAAAATGGGAAATGCAATAAAAGTTTCTCATAAAATCCTTAAAAATTATTTTGCTAGCTTATAAATGTTTATAAAATATATGTGTGGCATGCAAGTGTACATATTATCAATGAAGGTTATCGTCGTTCACACTTTTTCCTTTCCTCATTTACGCGAAATTTTTGTCGAAGGCCTCTTTGTATGCTTTATTTCTCTTATAGACGTTGATTCTTGATTTTTTTTCATGAAAAAAAAAAATGTTGAAAATTTCTCACAGAAGCGCCATTCAATAAATATTAACGCAGAATGGAAGATGCTTGACGTATTTAAATATTTTTCTCGCATTGTATTTTCAACGAAAAATCAATTTAAATTTTAACGTGCTGATTAAAACAGTCGTGAAATATTCAGTAAGATGATTTTTAATAAACTGACTAAATCTTATCAGTATATGTCTTATTGTTGTGTACTTTGTGATGGCATATTTTTTAACCGGAAGGGATTACTCACTAATTTCATCTCAATTCTGATGAACAGTGTCATTTGAAAGATTTGAAGAAAAAAGAAAGAAGTAGTAAATGATGATGACTAATATTTTCCTGAAAGATTAAACATGAACTACTCACATATGTATAGTCAACAATGAAACGATCTATTGGCGATTTAAAAACACGTTTTCTCATAAATGGAATTTAAATCAACTTCAATTGAGCATTCTTATAGTTCTCGCATCTCACAACAACAAAACTAAATAAATAACGTAACATACATGAAATGATATTTCCGTAATCGTCACTATCTTTCTCCTCTAGTGTCTGATTTACTGATGAAGTTAATTTAAAATGCGTTTTATGACTAAGATTGTACCGCATGCTTTGCTGTTCATAATAATGTATAAAAGAAGCAAGAAAGATTTCCTGATTTACTGAAGGTTGGACATTTCCATCTATGGAAGCTCTTCTTGTACATGAGTTAAATTCTTTTATGATACAACAAAAACAACAAAATTAAATAAAACAACTCGAATTATATGTATATATAACATATAAGCTGTTGATTGAATGAACTTTATTCCATCAGCATGATACCATAAATAGAAGGTTCAGCATAAAACGGTAAAATAATAATATTACTTCCATTACATTTCAATGACCTTCAGAGGTGATGGCACGGAGACATCAGAACTGCTTCCTTAAACATTGTGTCTATTTATTCAAATTACATTCTCAATTATTAAGTACTTACGATTTTCATTGTGCAAACTTGACTAAAACGCATTACCTCAGAACTTTTACACAAAGGGCTCTTGCTATGACGAAATTAAATTTAGAGTAATTATTAAACGAGCATTGATCTCACAAACACATTCGTAGACAATCGCGACAACGCTATCTTTAAATTCAATTTAGTTATTTCGAATTTGATTTGCGCATTCAATATTAAGTTTTTAAAAATAATATATAAACCAATACTACGATTGTTTTTTGCATTTCAATTCAAATAACCTTGATTACTGCACGTTTTTCCCTTTCTATTTCCTTAGAATGTTAATAACTGTAGAATATATATTAACATTTTTTTATGTCTGAAGATTATTTCCATATAACATGATAAACTTATCGTGTAGCTGCTTGAGATATTTTGCATCTTAATATCAATCAGTGATTTGCATTTATTGCTCAATTTTAATCAGAAATACACAAAAGCATACACATTATTTCAGTTCTATTTAAAACCAAGTAAGAGAAATTGTACATGCAAAATATTTGAGGAAACTGAGCATCATAGATCTTCCGCAATTTGCACACATAAGCTTATTACTATAAATGAGTTATGGAAAAACTACTCGTGCTGCAAAATAGGTGATTGATAATGTGATTGTTAGTGCATGCCATTTAATTTAACTACGATACGATATAAATATCTTGTTATAGTTTGTTACCATAAATGATAATCGATTATGTCACACTTTATGACTTTTATGCTACATTACTAACACATAATTTTTCTATCCTTATTAGTTTGAAAACTTCATTAACGGTTTAAAACCTTTTTCCTAATGAAAGAACGATAAAATCAATTCCATTCAAAATCTCAAGAGATCAATAAAAAGTCTACTTAATATTCCTAAGCTCGACCACAAAAATTTCATCCATTTTAGTTTTTAATGGAAATATTTCAATATGCCTTTTCAAAATTACATTAAAGTTGCAAAATTTAACATTGTTCAATTAAGCACAGAAATCAGCTTTTCCCTGTTGCAAAAACTACATTTTGCTTTTGCTTTGAGTTGCTCCATCTGTTTAATACACAAGCGTTAGTCAATTTATGTCTGCAGATTTGATTTTTTTGACTCATAACTTTGTTCTCACTTCTTGATTGATGATTTATTCACAAATCTCGTCCAATTAAAACTTTGGGGAATTAAGTTTTTAAATTTTCTAATAAATATCATTTACGTACAATGCCTTAAATTGAACAATGCTAAGATTTAAGTGGAGGCGAACTTTCAATACATCTTTTCAGAACATTTTGACTGTTCATTCAATATAGAAAAATTAATTTAATAATGATCCCCATCACATGTACAAAATTCATACCGTGTCATTCATGAAGTAGGAATATGGTTTTTGATCTGAAGACTCTTCGACTAGAAAAAGTTTATTAACCCAAGATAGCTGAATTTTTGTAGCCTTTCTTCTGACAAGCAGAACTGTAATTAGAACCAGTTAAATTATTGACAATAAAAAATCTATGATCACATTCAGAATTGGAATGAAGCACTGGCAACTAATTTTGAAGATTTTGTTTGTTTCAAAAGAAGCACAAGGAGAAAGATGGGAGAGAAAGATAATGTGGATAAGACTGAAACTAATTCATCTTCTTCTTACTGCCAAAATCCTTTAAAAACTACCTGTAAATCCAAAAAGAGATTTCTACTTTTTTGTGTCATGACGTTGATTTGCAATGACTTTGAACTCAACGTGTACTTTATATAATCTCCATAAATAGATTTATGAAAACGGTAAATGCTAACTTATGTTTCATTGAACCATGATGAGTCTTAATTTTTTTTTATGGATTACTATCCATATCTTGATGTTCTAGATGGTTTTTTTTATCATTAATGTCTCTTTTTGGATTTGATTTCCACTTTTAATTTCATTGATTAACTTGAATATATGCTGAATTTTCGAACAATTTAATTACTTTTTCTAATTATAACAAAAATATTATAATGAAACTGATTCAAATTACCTTTCTTAATCATTTGAATGTCCAAGCCTAGTTAAGTTAAAATAATTATCAAAACTAATGTTATTATTTCTTATGGTTCAATACTAATTTATATACTTTATGTTTAGTAGTGACCTTGACAAAAATTTCAGTTGTTGCCAATAGGATTTTATGAATAAATCTAGCTAATGCACGCAATACGATAAACGATGGATTTTCATATTTCTCTCTTTGTTTGGTTTCATTTTTGTTTTATTAAGTTACCCTTGCTTTGTTAATTGATTTCATTATTAAGGAACGAAAGGAAAAGCGAATATCATTTTGCTTGCCTTTTCCGCAATTTCATTTGTCAAGTCTGTCATTTTTTAACGAAAATAGGATGTAGAAATTTTATTTCAAACATTATTGCTAGTTTTTTGCTTCCTTATTCTCAACAATTCTCAGGTAAATAATATATTTTATTACTTATCCAAAAATTATCCTTGCTTTTTCAAATCTTCAATTACTTTAAGTTCTACTTAGTCTGCAATCCCAGAGTCAGAGTTTTCCAACCTGTATTACGTGGTACAAAAAGATTTACAATTTCACTGACTTAAGTTCTACATTCACAAAAAATGCGCTTTAATCACAAAAATGTGTTGTCACACGCGAGTTCGTGCTTATTTTTCTTTTCTTTTTTTCACTTCCTAATTTTATATGCATGTGATAGGCAAATAAAAGCAAACAATTGACCTTCAGACTGAAATCTAAAAATATTCAACACACTTAAAGAAGTTTATATTATTGGAATAATATAATGTTCTAGTAACAAATGCCTATGATAAAAGATGTATATAATAGGTGAGGTAAATGAGAAAGAAATAATTTGCTTTAACCAATTACTTGACACCTAAGAAGAAGTAAATTTTATTCTCACTTTCTTGTGTCAACTTTTTAAATTACTTTGACTGTTTTTCTCCTCATTTCATTCCGCAGATGAATGCGTTTTTTTATATTTATTATTTAAAGTTAATAAGAATTTTTCTTCCCTCTCATCTTAATGACTTTGTGTATACTTTTTTTTTCAAATCGAATGCTGTTTTTTGGATTTGCGCCAGACAGGCACAAAAGTAAATAAGTGTCAGTAGTCATATTAAGAATAGGGAGAAATGAAAATGAAATAAGATGATGATATATGTTTGTTGATCTATACTTGTGAAATATTTATAGACTCTTCTTATCTAAAAACTGAAACATTAGTAGCAAGTATAAACAGAGTCTACTCTTATTGGCAAAATGAGCTAAAATGTAAGAAAAAAATTGTTGTGTTGTATAATTTACGCTTTATTATGCTCATATGAAACAATTGTTGCATCATGTAAAAGAGTTTAACTTGAAACACAATGTGAAAATATGCGTAATACTTCTTTCGTTTACCTCTCGCTCAACGTGAATATATGAATGCTTGAGACTATTT